TTTATTTCGTTTTTCTATCATTTGCCTGGACTTTTTAATTTCAAACGGTTAATTAAATTATCAAATTTTTGGTAATAAAAATAATAAAATAAAAATAAAATAATTCAAATAAAATTTCATTTTTCAACCAAATTTTTCTCATCTTTAATAATTTATATTATCAAAATAATATTTAAAAAATATTTAAATATTTAAATAATAATATTTAAAAAATAATAAAGAGTGTAACATTTTTGAAAATTTTATTATTTAGAAAATTTTGTTTCAATTTTTTTAATTTTTGATCGTTGAACAAAAATTTTATAAAATAGGAATTGTTTTCTTTCAGAATTATTAAAAATTTATGAATAAAAAGTGCGTCCAATTACCCATTAGAGGTTGTCCGAGGTTCGAAATTACTTTCTCACGTTAATGGTCATTCTGGATCATCGATCAAACACCTAAGTGCTTAAGGCTTCTGCCCAATTTCATAGCTATTCCTAGCAGTACGTTGTTCTGAACCGGGGTCTCTGGTGTTTTTCCTGGGATCTGTTGAAGGTACCATTCTAATTTAGGGAGATCAAAATCGCTATGCTCTTAATTATCAATAAGACTACTTTAACCTTCACTTTCCACATCTTCTCTAGTTCCTCCTTCAGTCGCTGGTATTTCTTTAGCTTCTCATACTTTTTCTTCTTGGATCTTGGCCTCGCCATTCTCCTCGATTTTCTAAGGGGTCTCCCATCTGATCTTGGGAAAGCTTAAGTTATATACTGAACAGATATTCCTGAAGATGCTAGCTATTTAGTTATGCCTTTCAATGCAAGCAATTCTTGCCTTTATCTTATATATATATATATATGTATATATGTTGGACTATATGTTTCTGAGGTGTTTTTCCACAAACTTCACCTTTTGTGCTATCTGATGCAGTAGATCGCTACTTCGATGAATCTGATGCTTAATAGCTGTTTTTGTATTGCTATAATCAATGCCTTAGTGCTAAGTCCAGATTAGTCCAGATTTTTTCAGCCATTAGTAAAATTTCTCAGCATCAGCCACCTTAATCAATGATGATATATTCCATGGAAGGTCTTCTACATGGTACTTCCTGTGCATGATCTTCCTCCAGTCTCTGTTGATGTTTCAGGCATTTTCTCAGTATTTTTGAATGCTTTGGGTTTATTTGGGTTCATTCAAGATTGTTAGAACTGAATTGATAATTGGATTATGAGCGGTCGCTGCCCTCCTCCGTGTCAATCGATTATTTCTAATTGCTATTATTGTGAATTTTTTTTTCGAAACTTCTGAAAATTTTTCAAACCGAGCTAAGTTTTTTTATTCTAAAATTTAAAAAATAAAGAATTGAAATAAAAATATATATAAAATTTAATTTAATTTAATTTATCAAGTTTAATTTTTTTTTTGTCTTTGGCAGGAGTAAACCTGCTATTATGTCAAAAATCCGGGTGGCTGCTGAGGATCCACCTTTATACCCAACTTTATGGTGGAAGGGTAAAATATACTTGATATGTCTCCCGACGCTCATGATACTTCGAGCCCAGTGATATGGTGGTGGCATACGATAAATATACAATCGTAAAGCGATCCCAAGGCTGGCAAATAAAATGTGCTCTCAAGCCAGGGTAATTGATCTAAACCTATCAAAGGGAACAGCCCTCTGCACGCGCGGCGAGGTATTAGCCGTATCAACGTGGAACGTCAGAACGCTTATGGACATTGCAAGCCAATCACCGATCACTGTCCACACCCTGTCTAAATATCGTGTGGATATCGCTTGCTTGTCGAAGGTCTGTCTTCCTTATTTTGGGTCTCGAGCAATTATTAATCCTGGTTCAGAGCAGAGATACTGGCTATATAACTGTGGTGCTTCGAATAACTTGGGACGAAATGGCGATTGTCATGTCTGACAAGACCTATTTTGCTTTGATTGAGTGGAAATCGGTAAACAACCGTATGGCCTATGCCCGTTTTAAGGGTAAGTTCTGCAATATCTCGGTCATCAGTGTCTATGCTCCAACTCTATCGGCAGATGACCGTGATAAAGATAAATTCTATGCGGAACTTCAACTGCTAACAAAGTCTTTACCGAAACATGACATGATCATAATCGGTGGGAGACTGGAGTGCTCGCGCAGGTCACAATGCAGCTGTGATAACCTCAACAAGTGGCAAATATGGCATCGGAGACCGATGTGCCAATAGGGAATATTTTGTTCTTTATGCCAAAGAGCATGAACTTTTTGTTACTAATACTTGCTTCCGGCATCATAGAAAAAATCTGGTCACGTGAAACTTCCCGGATAACCAACACTTCAACCAGATTGATTATATCTTAGTCAGTCACCGTTGGAAGAGTTCTGTGCTAGAGAGTCGTTCCTATCGCGGAGCTGAAATAGGCAATCTTCATGGACCTGACCATGGTTCGAGCCAATTCAAGATCCGCATAAAATTGATAACTCGCAGAAAACAACATCCTCCAAGATCCTTCAACTTAAACTAAAAAATTCGGGGACATTTGAGCGCATTTCAAACTGAATTATCTCAATGAAGCATCTCAAGCATCAATGATACAAATATCAATGATTTTTCTGGAACGGCAAATGAATAATGAAAAGACTAAAGGGATATCTCAGAAAATCAGCCACTTCCACGCTAGGGCATATTAGTAGGAAGTGCACTAGTTGGGTATCGGAAGCAACTGTACAATTGTCTGAAAGAGCTGCCAAAGCACGAATGTCAGGTGATCCTGACCACCAGATGCTTCGAAGATTTGCAACGAAAGCAGCAAGGCTGGACAGAAATCTCTATTGGAGTGACATCGCCTAGAAAATGGAGACGGCGGCTCGATTAGGCGACAATAGGAAACTATTCTGCCTTCTTCATAAAGCAACTATGACTCGGAGAACCGATCAGTGAAATGGTAAGGGACAGCAAACTGTGTGCTGATTAAAAATATTAAGGATCCCTTCATAAGATGGAAAGAATTCTTTGAGGCCAAACTTAACCATGAAGCGCCATCTGTTGCCCCTGATATAGCTGATACGTTTGCCGAAGTATACGCTTGCAACTGCGAGCCTCCAACAGAAGAAGAAATAATTTCAGTTATCCATAAGCTTAAGGCCAACTTCGGGAGAAAATGGTCTTCGGGGTGAACTTTTCAAATGTTGTCCATCATTCTCCATAATGCACTTTCCACAAATGTACTTTTTAGTATGGAAAAAGAAACCAGATGATTGGAGCAAAGTAATTCTGCTCCCAACTCTCAAAAAATATGATAAAACATACTACGACAGTTATCGAGGAATCATCCCACTAGACTTCTCAGCAAAAATTTTTGCTTCCCTGCTACTCAACAGACTTATGGAAATACGGGACATAGGATGCGCCCTAATCAAGCTGGTTTCAGACCAGGGCGCAGTTGTGCTGACCAGATATTCATGTTAAGAATGCTGGAACATCGCTTCAAATATTTGCAACCACTGTCACGTGTTTCATCGACTTTGCGGCTGCCTTTGATTCAATTGATAGAGCGGTGCTTTGGAGATGGAATGTGACGGTGTTCCAGAGAAAATCATTAGACTCATAAAGGCATTTTATGACTGGACGACGGCGCAGGTCTGGCGCAGTTGCAATCTATATGGGGAGCTGACAGATTCCTTCGAAATAAAAACAGGTGTCCATCAGGCCTGCGTCCTTTCCCCCACAATATTCAACTATGCGATAGACTGGATAATGGACACTGCTTGTCGGCATTCAAGGGGTATCCAAATCAATCCAGAGCATCGTATCACAGATCTTGAATACATTGATGATGTGGTCGTTTTTGCTGATAATTATGAAATTCAAGTAATACTAAATAACGTGTCAGAAAGTGCAGCAAGAATCGGATTAAATGTAAATAAAACGAAAGCAAGTATTATGTGCAAGAAGCTGATAAAATGCCTCTTTTTGTAAATTCATTGCTGATTGAGGAAGTGCCCGATTTCAAATACCTTGGGTCCACTCTAATACCAAATGGACATGCAAAAGATAATATTACAACTCGGATCACGGAAGATAGAAATGCGTTCTTCCGATTGACGAAACCTTTATGGAATCGTCGTGAAATCACCATAAAAACAAAAGTCCGCATCTATACTGCCGTGATACGTTCGATCTTACTATATGGTTCTGAGAGATGGCCAATGAGAGTGGAGGATATTAAGAAATTATTTGCCTTTGACCACTCTTGTACATATTACGGATCAGTCGAGTGGATAAAATATCACAAGATCGCATCCATCTTCGTTCAAATACCACTTGCATAAATAATATTATCACAGAGCGCCGCCTAGGACACATTCTTCGTTTGCTAAATCGTGTAGTGGTTGGCGTCAAAAACGATGTGGGCCAATCAAGACCTAGACTGATACGGTGAGAAAAGATTTTGAACGTATAGGTGAACCAGCAACATGTGGACTTAGATAATGGAAAAAAGAATGGCTTCTATTATTGTCGACGATGGCATCAGACCGCGCCGCATGTAAGCGTCTTATCCTTGTAGCCGTTGGAGCCAGCCTTACTAGTAATGGTGATAGCTGTTATAAAAGAAGAATTCAAGATTGCGACTTTGAGACACTTACTAATAGGTTTATACTTATTGGACCTACCGGGCCTATAACTCACAAAGACGTCCATCTTATAAACGTTCAATATAAATGTAAATTTGAATTAATAAAAAACGAAGCATCCATCAATTTTTTACATCTTTTCGATTTTATACCATATATTAAAGTAAAAAATTGGATTCATTAAATAAATTAAACATTCTATTCTGAAATCGTAAATATACTAAAAATTTTAGTTATTTTTCTCTTAAATAAGTAATTTTAAGTAAAAAAACAAGTACTTGAATGAGAAAAATGAAAGGAAAATGAAATGGCATAACTAAATTATCAAATCATTCAATTCATCTAACATATTATTCGTTAACTGCGATAGGATTCATCTCTAAATGGTTATAAGTTTTCACCATGGTGAAAAATTTTCTCCACTTTAGATTCAAATACATCGAAACCACCTTAAACGAAAGGAAAACCTACGTAAGGATCTATAAATAAAATAAAAGTAAAAAAAGAAAAATATCAAAAGAATAAAACCATAGAATATAAAATGAGCAATCGGATAATTTACAGAATCATAGGAGTTGCTAAATTCCGTATCAAAAATTTCAGAATCAATGCCGAAAAATTTATCGACTTGTTCAATCTAAAAAAAGTCAATTACAAAAGAGAAAAATATTTTAGGAGTTGCCAAGAAATCAGTCGAATTTAGATATTTATTGGAGATTTATTAAATAATAATTTAAGTATTTAATATTGATATGCATAAATATAAAATATTAATATTTGATAACAATATTATTACATAATATTTATTTAAAATATATTTATTTAAAATGAAATTAGGAGATAATATGAATGATTTTTCTTTTAAATATATATTTGAATAAATATTTTATGGAAAATTTTCGCAAATAAAAATTAAAACCAAGAAAATTTATATGATATATGAAATTTATAAATTTATAATTTATATCATAATTTATTCAATTACCTGATATGATAAGCCAACTGGCTGTATCGCATTAACAGTGGAGATTTTATATCGATTTATGCCTCGTAAATCGCTGAAGCTAAATAATGCATTAGAAATAAAAAATAATATAATAACGAAATAATATAAGTGTTAGAATATAAAAAAAAACAGCTGCAAATTCAAACAATTACGATAATACGGTCGATATTTGATGAAAACCTTACAATGGTAATGTAATATTGAACAATGGGTATGCCGATGTCCAAGTGAAAGTTTTACAAGTAGGTAATTCGCGAAAAACGGGTCGATTCTCAGAATTAAATTCAAACACCACCTAAAATAAGATTTAGATGAGATAAGAACTAAGAGGAGATCAAACTCATTTCACTATTTATATTTATTGCTAGAGAAAAAATTTTAAAAAGAAAACCAATTAAAAATTTATAAACCTGCGAATAAACGGTGAAATTGGAATTTAAAATTCGTTGCGATGCAGCAGATTTTTCTAAATCGCTTATCTTCCAATGATCAATCTAAATAAAAAATTAAACTAAAGCAGATGGACAAAAAATAGTGAAATCATTGATATTTCTAACAGCAAATTTAAATTCATAATAAAATAAAATAAATAAATAAAATGAAAAAATTTAAATAGACAATTATATGAGAAAAGAACAAATTAAGCAATAAAACGAAAAATGAAACTATGTTTTAACCAAAAAAAATAAAAACCTGTCTAAGCGAACGTAAAGAATTTGTAATATCATCGCCACTACTTGCAACATCAAGCAGTAATTCCATAAGCGGAATACATCCTTTATGGTCAAATCCGGACCCTTCAAGGCACGAACTATCACCATAAACAGCAATGAAACCTGATCTAAAATAATCATAAAAAATTAATAAAGATTTTGAAAAAAAAAATATCGATAGATTAAGAATGGATAAATTGCAAGAAATTTATAATTTGTATCATAATTTATTCAATTGCAAGAACTTCTAAATTAAAAAAATTAAATCATCTAAATTAAAAAAATCTCTAAAAACAAATAAAAAATATTTCATTATATATTCACGATTTAAATAAAAATGAATTACTCTCGTCCTGATAAGCTACTGCTTTTATGAAAACCAAAAACAGCCACTTCTTGAGACGACATCTGTTTCTCGCCAGTTAATATTTCAGCACCCTATAAAAAAAGAAAAATGAAAGTGCATAATATATATTATATTATAATGCTTCGAAATTAAGATGCTCAATAATTTAATTTATTAAAATTGATATCGAAATCATTGAAAAAAAATCTTGAAAAATCTTGTAAAAATCACTAACAAGATCAGTTAGATTTGCAAACAACAATAAACTGTTCCTTGGAGCATGAATAATGGATGTACCAGAAGCATAATTAATATGCCTTCGACCAAATGAGATGGTCCCTTCCCAAATCTGAGAAAAAAATGCAAATGCAAATACAAAAATATAAAGATTTAACAGGCAATTCACATATAGAAATTATTAAGAGAATGTCATGTTGAAAATTAATAAGAAAAATTTTTAAAAAAACGAACGAAAGATCCTAAAGTGAAATTCCAGCGCTGCAAAAAATCGTTTAAGCCTGGAAGATTGCTGCCGCCAGTTTCTGGGCGCATCCATTGTCTAAAAAATTGTTTAAAAATCAACTAAAAGCAAAGAAAAATGCTTATCAATAAAGTCCATTTCATCATCAACTGTTAATTATATAACACCGCTGGATTACTAGTAAATAACACAATGCAGAATTAAAGCTAACTTTGTATTTTCATCTGTAAATCCCAGTTTTTCAGCAACACTTGCATTAAACCAATCTGCAAAAATCACGATATTTAAACCAAAATCCTCGATGGCTTCATATAATTTTTCCCGTTCTAATGGGAAAAATTCATCTTCTGGATCAACCACAACATAGACCGAGTATTGATGTAGATCAATACACGTCAAGGGTTCACCTAATACCTGCAAAATAATATATTTATGGTATATATGAATATATGAAAACATATTACTTATAAGATAATATTGATGAAGCTATGGAATTTTGCAGAAAAAATGCGCCAAAAAAATTATAAAAATGAAAGTATACACTGCAAAAATGATTTTATAAAATAAAAAACTTAGCACTGCTATATAAAAAACGTATATTTGTGTATGAAAATATAAAATCAACCAGTTATATCTTATAGCTATAACCTCTAAATAATAGCCACTACTTCTCAGTTGCTGATATAGGGCCTTGAAATTTGTATGTGGATGATCGGCAGTCCAGTCTAACGGATTTGATCGATCCCTAAGATCATCTCGAGGCATATATCCAGGAGGATATCGAATATTTCTATACTGGTCCCAAAGTATACGCTCTCTAGAAACCATTAAAAATTAGAAATCACTTGTAAAATAATTCTAATCTTACTCATTTTACTCAGATCTTTCTATTCAAAATGAGGTTTCAAGATCCAAAATGAGATCTGAGCCTCCATACACAAAGCTAAACTTTCAAAAATTGTCGTTAGCCTAAATACATATATATATATATATATATATATATTCTGTGCTCCGTAAAGATCAAATTATCAAACTGCATGTAAAGCGTTGGCATAATTTTTTTAAAGAAAAGGAAAATAAATTTAATAATTAGGAAAGTTACTAATTAAAATACAAATATAGCACAAACTTTCTTGGAGGTGTCGGCACAATACGTGCTCGAATTGGAAAATATACAGTTGAATGCATCTTTTTTCCTAGAGCGTCACTCTAAAATGAAGCAAGAAATGAGTGGAAAGAAAAAAAAGAAAACAATTAACATGGATAATAAAATATCGAAACATGCTGGAACCCTTACCGTAACGGTGATTTTAATTCTTCCACTCGCAATGCCATCATATTTTTTACCCTTCGCAGCGACAGCTATAAAAATGGCCAAATAACCTGACCAAGGCCACAAGTAATCAGAATGTTTAATTGATATTCTCAATAAATCACCATTTTCATCGATGAATGGCTCCCATTTTGGCTATAATTTATAGATAAAAACGATATGAAACGAACTGAAATTTTTAGAATAAATGAAAACCACTAAAATTCATTTAAAAAATGATAAATTAATGGATTTAATCAGTGGGAAAACAGGAAACACAATGATCTGAATGAGGAATAAAATTAATACCCATCTCTCAAAAATAATAACTTAACTAACTTGTTCAGCGATTTTTCCACTTAAATCAAGACCATTAATAATGGTTACCTGGAAAAAAAACTATTATTATTATGAACAAAAGTAAAGATTATTAAATGATGATAGAACAAAAGAAGAAAATTCAAACAAATTAATATAACATTAACATTTATAACTATAGGAATCCCAGAATAATATATTGGTTGACTGCAATAAGGCCACATATAAGGACATTCATTGAAATCTAAATATGGCGGAAACAATCTGCAAAAAATCCTTCAGCTACAAATTATTGCTACACTAAAATTGAATTAAGTGAACAGATCTAAGATGAGAAGGAAATAAATGGCTAACGTTATCATCGGTTCGTATTTGCGCATAAAGTTGAAAGCAGCCAAAAGGTCCATTCTACCGCTACCCTGTTCAAACATGCTAGCAGAATTACTTAACCTAATGGAACTCTCGATCAATGCTTGCTTAACTACAGCTGGGTTCCACAATTGACGATCTTCGATCCCACTGGAAAAAAAATTTTTTGATTTTCAGACCTTAAAAATACCACATATTATAATTCTCATAATAATTTACAGGATTAATTCGCAGATTTACATAAAGTTGAATTTAATTTCAGTTAAGCGCAATAAAGAAAAATGAAGTTCGTAACCACCTCAAGATAACAGCGACTCCACCAGCAACTACAGGCGAAGCAACTGAAGTGCCAGATAAAATGCGACAATTGCCATCTAATGCTGAACTATAGACAGAACCTCCATAAGTTACAATGTCGGGCTTTACTCGACCATATCCTCCTGAAGGCATAATATGAAGACATTGGAAAAATAGAAAGCAAAAGTAGGAATAAAACAGCCAAAACATTACCTGGTAATTCCCATGTGGTCATTCCGCGCGAGGAAAAACGAGCAATCTTAAGATCGCTATTGATTCCGCCCACACCAATAACATCCATTTGATCGGCTGGATTGTTTAATGTTCTTCATATATATGGAAATATCTTAGGTATATATGACTGCATTTTATAGCACTTTTACTAGAGAAAAAAAATCATTATGAAACAACAGTATTTATACCAACCCGAAGCCTGGTCCATCATTTCCAATTGCCGAGATAAGGATAATATTATTGGCACTTAATTCCCATACTTTGTCGATAAATGGAACATCAGTAAAATCCGGACCACCAATACTAAAAACAAAAGCGTTAAGCATTAAGCAATATTTATAAAATCCCAAGCGTCAATAATCACAAACTATTATCGATGATTATTGTCAAAAAATTAATAAATAATATTCATACAACCTCAAATTTAAAATGTTGATTTCACGAAGAATAGCATGATTGAAAGCATCGAGAAACCAAGAAGTATAAGAAATCTGAAAGAACTTCTTTTTTGTTGGTTTTCCTAGGAATTCGCGCAAAAACTTAAGAAAAAATCTGATGTTAGTCCTTTCCCAACTGAATTTCGTAATTAGAAATGATAACGCTTTCAATATAGCTAAATTGCGAAAGCAAAAGTTTTTGTAATTTTGGGACCATGGAAAATGGATTCAGCAATATCAATAATAGAGAATCATTAATAAAGAATTGACTGATAAGGCAGTTTTCAACAGCTCAAAGTAACACACCGAAGTCTAATTCGAATTTACAAAGGAATTTTATTATGAATATTATGTGATGACGACATGAGTCGAAATCTATCGAAAAGATGGAATCCCATATCCACTTTCGTTTAAAAATGATCTATATTAGATCATTGTTGGCACATAAACTTCCTTAGGTCATATCGTTGTCTAATACAAGAGCTGATGCACATATCATTAATGAACGCAGCTTAGGTTGAGAAAAACTGGCTATTGCTTTTGTTTTTACTTGCAAATAAAGCATCGAGAGGCTTAGAAAGACTCTCATCCGTAAAGCCAGTGCAACTAGTCAACCAATAATGGTGTGCAAGTAAAAGGAGCACTAAAAGCAAAATTTACTTGGTTTTTGGTAAATACTTTATATACATATAAATTTGATTCCGGAGCTAAACCAGCACACTTTTGATTGATGCTCGCAACAACACCAGCTACAAATGTTCCATGACCTAACCCTAAATTTAAAATAGTTCATGAATTGCTATCATAATTTAACGAATTTGCATTCTACGGCTCGCATCTATTTGAATTTGATAAGAATCATATCAAGATTTTTTCAAATATGGTTTCTCCAGAATCTATGAATCTCCCAGCTTTTAATGAATCTGAAATGAATGAAACTTATCATAATCACATGGTCTCAATTATCTGTTAGAATGAATAAAGTTTTTGATACGTTCTAAAATTTCAAATGGTAAATTTAAGATCGATCATTAATGGACCGAATGTTGTTCGCTGGTTAGAGTACGTTCATCACCGCCTACCACAAGAAATTGACATATACTTTGTTAATTGTTTGTGATGAGTGGCGAGTTGGACCAATCAAGACTTACAGTGGTATATTCAGGAAAGATTTTGAACATACAGGAAGACTAGCGATATATGGATTTAGACGGTGAAAAAAGGAATGGCTTCGATTATTATCAAAAATGGCATCAAATCGAGCGGCTTGGAAAGGTCTTACGCCTTGTAATCGATGAAACCAGCCTATCCAATAATGAGAGTTGTTAGAAGAAGAACCTGGCATTACTCTTTTAAATAAATAAATATCACTATATTCTAAGATGAATAAAAACTTAACCATCATCAGTTGTCTGTTCGTTCGTCCAATCTGTTAGCTCAACAACATGCTTGAAATGTGGATGATTTTTATCGAGACCAGTATCGAAAATAGCGATTTTCACACCTTGTCCTAGAAATCTTTTTTTTCTACTATCGTTTACCTCGTATTTTTATCCTCTATTTAAACTTTGATTATATCAAAAACAAAAAAAAACAAACATTTAAAAAAACCTTTAAAACCCATATCCCACAGTTTATTAACATGCAATAGCTTCGTAACACGATACGCTTCTAAATTTTTTCCATTTATACGAAAGCCAAGAGGTTTTCTTATAAAATTTTGCATCGAAAATTGTATATTATGAAATATTCGTTTGACTCGATCGTGTTTTTGCAATAAAGCAATAATTCTAGAAGCATTACTTATACAAACCTGAAAAATATTTTTATCTTAAAAAAATAGTACTCTTATCGCCATTGTGCTGGGATGGGATGGCAAGAAAGTATGAAATCATTTCTTTTCTAAATTATAAATTATAAATTATAACAAAAATATAGCGATTTCTTAAGAAATTCTTCAAGTTTCTTTTTTCATCAAAAAATTTCTTAAGTTGATTTATGTCCAAAAAAATTTTACCAATTTTTTTTCATATTAATTAGTTTAATTTTTTAGGAAATTCTATTTCATGGCATAAAAATTTATACACTTATGTTATGCATATCTTAAAAAAAGCTTTAAAAAATTATCAAAATTTATCAAAAAAAATTATCAACTTATCAAAATTATTGCAAGCGCAAATAATGTTATCAGTTGTAAATTTCAATTTTTTTTAAAAAAAAGTACTCATTGCTGCTCATAAAAGTATTCATTCCGCTAGCTTACTGGATTAAACAAAATTGAAATCATAGATTAGAAAACACTGCCAGAATATACCAGAAAATATTTAAAGGAAAAGGGATAAATAACAATTAAAATGCCAGTTAAAAAAATAAAAAATAATTTCAGTAATAATAAATTATTGAAATAATAATAGTTAGCGGAAAGAATTAAACTTATTATAGATTATATCTGCGAATAATGAATGGAAAGATTTGGTTCTTTCCCCCAAGAAACCATTGAGAGAAGGTTAAACACGAGGTAAACCCTCTCTCCTCCTCCTCCTCCTCCTCCTCCTCCTCCTCCTCCCCCTCTATAAGAATAAATAATAAATATCAAAATGATATATACTTCGATAACATCAAAATCACTCAATTTATTCCGACGTTTTTCGAGTAAAATTGTTTCATTAAAACTAAGACGATCCGAAATAATCTTCATTCGACTTGCAGAATTATAATAGCCATCGTATTCGACGATTAATGCTGAAAAATTACAATCAGATAAAAAAGGTTAATATATTCGATATGGATTACTTTTTTGATTACATTTATTTTATAACCACTAGCCTTTTCTAACCACTGATGCTGAGATTCTTCCCTCCCTCACCCCCTCACAGGAATAAACCTGTCCTGGTAATGCAGGCGATTCATCTTCTATCTTTCGGCTATTTCTATCGCCAAGGGATTCTCTCGCACAATTGTCCAATTCGACAAGCCAGTAGATTGAGTCTAATCAGTGATGAGGGCTCTTAAAAAAAGTCTCTTTCTGACCAATTAACAATATTTCAATTATTTCTGAGATAAAAAATAAGAAAACAGGATAACAATATTATTTTGGTTGAGAATAAAAATTTAAGTGGCTTATTTTCGAATGTACTCGCTAACCAACTCTTGAGAAACAACTCTTGCCTTAGAATCATACAGGAGTAAAAGTAGAAGTGTGTGTCGTGAGACAACAATTTGATCCATATAAGCACTAAGCACTAAGATTCTGGTAATTTTATATGCATTCTTTTGTGCACTGCTTCTTATATCCCGAAAACATAGCGCAAGGGTAGCGTATTTTTCATCCTCTCTCTATTCCCGCAAATTCACTAATAAATTCTCGATTAATGCTCTATTAATTGAGAAGTACAAAAATATAGAAATAAATATAGAAGTTTAAAAAGAGAAAAACAGAAAATATAAAAACTTACATTGGGACTTATCAAAACACTTATTAAGATTGGTACCAAACAGTAGGCCAAATAAATGAAAAAAAATGAATAAGACGATTCCCATCAAAAAGTTTCATTAACAAAATTCTTTTTTCTTTTAATAATCAGCATTCCATATCTAAAAGAAGTTTTTTTAGAAATTTACGTATTTACTGGCGTTACGTGAGATTTTAACATTAGTAAAATCCAATAAAGAACCATTTTCAGAATATCACTCAACTGCACCTTACATAAAACCTTATATATTTCTCTGTAACTCTAATATCAAATATTGGTATCGTGATAAAGCATCGATTACACTGCTTTCATATTCATTTCGTCAATTTTTTTTAGGAGCCTTCACCATTACTGGTTAGATTCGCTCCACTGGCTGGCTGATACTGGACAAATATACTAGGAAGTGACAGAAGTGCAAGTGAGTCGCCAGCATAATCCGGATTTTTGGACGGGTTCACACCCTCAACATCCGAGCTCCACAATCCTCTGAGCCATTCCACTTCCCATTTATAGAAATAGATGCATATTTGCATTTAAATCTTGCAGTGGATGACATCAAACGCCTCTAATCAAAATTTGGATCGACGAGATTTTGAATAACATGCAGTGATATTTGTGCTTAGAAGGGTGAACAAAGAAATGGCACCAGCTCGTTTCAGGAATAGCAATGAAATGAAAGGTTTGGAAATTTTGCCTTACCTCGCCGGAGGAATCAGAGTTAGTGGAACCAGTAATTTTGAAAAGATGTCCTATTGACGAGAACTGAACGAGCTCTTTTCACATATAGCCATTTGCCCAGACCTGCACAAAGCTGAACCACCAATGTGCCCAAAACCTCTCCTCAACTCATCATCCCAAATTTTAAATGATCCTCCTCGTTTTCGACGACCTTCAACATAGATTTAGAAAAAACTGGACCATACACAATTCCTGCGATGAACGATAAAAAAACATCGATTATTTAGATCAGAAAATGCTTCGTGATTATTACATACGATAATCAAACGAAGATGGATGCAACCATACAAAACTTCGTCCCCAAGATAAGCTCGCATGGAGCTTAAGAATGGTCAAAATGTTTCACTTATCTCCTGCTACTGGATTTGTGAAATTTTCATATCCTTGAATCGGTGCGACTTTATTAGCATATGGTATTTCAGTTAGATTCGCAAGATCTTTTAAATGCCCATGATAGGATAAATTTGGACTTGGAACAACTGCCCGCATTCCACTTTCGATATGTTAGGATTTATTTCTCAACCAATGGCCCAACACAAAAAAAACTCGACGAAAAAAGTCCTAAACGCACAATTTTTTAGCTGATCACAAAATAATAATTCAAATCAATCCGCATTACTCCAGAGAAACCAGAAATATCCTTCACTGCTTAATAAACACCAGTTTCTTAATCTATTTGTACAACGCAAATAATCTTCTCTTTTAATAAACAACGGCGTTTATGAAAATAAACAACCAGTATTATCACCAACTGAATAAAAAATAACCTAATGACCTAATATACAAAAATAAGTTATTTTTTAAAAATATATTTCATCATATTGGTGCAAAATTAATAGAAATTCTAGAAATTAAAATGATTCCGTAGGAAAAAAAGAAAAAACATCTTCAATAATTATAAATGCATAGCCTTGTACAAAATCAAAATCAATGTAGCAGCTCGACTTATTATTAAAGGCAATTCATATAGACTAGTTAATGTGTATATATCTTGAGGTCAAAACAACAGAAAATAAAACAAATGTTACACAGAGTCAATAAACCAGAACTTTGTCCTGGAACAGATAAACATGAAATAAAGATAATCATTTATAGAATATCAAAAAAATAATAACCGACTCGTTAATATAATAATATACAAATATCAATGTAAAATATAAAGAGTACGATCGAAAACACAGTATTTAACACTATTTCACAATCAAAATATATTAAATACAATATATTTCATGAAAAATGAACTAATTTTTTGCCACATTTCACAATGTTTAGCCCATCACAATGGCAATGGTATATTTTCAAATTCTGACTTATATTCAAACATACAATTATTGCGAAATTCAAAAAAAAAGAGAAAAATGAAATACAGGATTCCTCAAACACTAAAATAAACCCACTATACATTAAGATTATTTAAAAATTATGTATAAAATTCAGTAACCTCGAAATTCTTACCGCAATATTTAATAATTTTTTCTGATAGGCATAAATACACGTGCCACAAACAAAACAGAAAATCTTATGAAAATTCATTGAGCAACTGAGCCATGGCAGCATGTACAACGTCTGGACAAGACACGAAACAACAGCGATTTTCATTTTCAACGATGTCACGTACAGACTGTCGAAGTTTTTCGTCTAAACCAACGAATATTACCATCACACCCTTAAAAATATATAATACTTAAGAAGAAATAATGAACTGATATACCTGAAGATTCAATATTTGAACAAAACTATCGGATTAAATTATCAAATTCACCTCCGGATTTAAAGCCGCAGCACGCCGCACCATAGGAAGATCCGATAAGGTATCACCACATATTAAAATATTCCCAGGATCTTTCAATGACTGACATCTTGTAGCAACAACGCGGTCCATACCATCAGCCTTATTCCAAATAACTCCTGAACTATGTGCCACAATTTCAACTTCCAATGTAGTAGAAGGGTCGAAAATAAGAATCTGAAAAAAGTTATTGTAATAAGTATATGAATTATAACAAAAACTGGCTAAATATAATAAATTAACAAATTTGAGATTGACACACATGATTGTCAGGGTCAACTCGATTAATGCGTTCCTTTACGGCGTCTTGATATCTATTTGAAAGTTCAGGTCTCACGCATCCAAATACCGTTTGTACACCTAAAGTCAATCGATCAACTTTCCGTTGCACGCCACTGCCCACTAGAGCGAATAATGAAAAATCATTCATGTGCAGTAAATCTTTCATCTGAACATAAAGTAGTTAGAAAGTTTGTAAAATAAAGACAAGATATTTCAGAATCTAAAAAAAAATTAAGAAACAAATGCTTAAATATATTTATATAAATATATAAATATATAATGCTTAAATATACAACCTCATCATCTAATTTCTGTAACGCGTCAAAGCCCTCATTTGAGATTCCATCGTCATGTACAATCCGCTTACCACCAAGCCACCATTCACGACCCCAAGATCCGCTAAATAAAACAGGTCCATCTATAGGCATAGCAGTCAAATCCAAAATACCTGGACCTCTAAGAGGCCCAGCAGTCAAAACAGCTGATAAACGAGTGAAACGAGCAGCAAACCTTGTTATGCCCACAGCGCTGTATACAGGCTGAAAATCTTAAAGGCTAAAAAATATTTCTTTTTTTGGATTTATTCTGGAAAAAATATGATAAATAGGATTGCTCTTTAAACCTGCAAATGCATCATTATAACAATAATTTTTTTAATTTTTTTACATATTTTAATATACGACTCTTTCAATCATAATTTATTTACGATGCTTACAGGCTATTCATAAATTCTTCATACCATACATGGTATTTCCTAACTGTAACGACACCATTCCATTCATTTAATACAAAATTTCTAACAAAAATTGGTAAATTCAAAAAAAAAATCTAACTTGCAAGTTTGTGGCATATTGAGAACAATAATCTTTCATAGTACCATCCCAATCTGTTATAAAAATCGGTTTTCTATTATTTCCGTTGGGTTTAACGAAAAGCCGTAAAAGCCTGCATGAAAAAATCATTTATTAATCGAAAATAGATTGTTTAGCATTCTCGCAGCATGAAGTTTATAAAATCCCGAATCCTTTTAGTAAAAATAAAATCTCTAAAATATAAAGCATTTGTTGCTCAAAATAGCGTTCGAAATAAGCGCATCCTGCGGAGCAAATTCATCAAGCCAGTTGACCCTGGATTAATTTTTCGCAGTAAAGCAGCTGCAGCAACTGATCTGGAGCGAGAGACAGTGTCAGCGCAAGACTTTCCATCAAGCTGCACATCGAGAAATTGAGCTTTTTATATTTCATATTAAAATACTTTATTTTTCATTGTTCCTTTCAGAAAAATAAATGAAAATCTGAATATTAATTTGCTTTTTTTCAATTTGCTTTAATAATTCGACAATTCTATTTCTATATTTTTAGATGTAATTCTTATCTCAGAACATAATTAGAGTAGAGTTGATGAAATATTCCTCACTTTCTTCTCCTAACTCTTTTTCTTTCTTTATTTTCTTTTTTCCCATTTTCTTTTAAGAACTAACCATAGGGATAAATTAAACCAAAAATATGGGGATATATAAAATTGATAAGCATAATTGATATGATTAATACAACAGACAGGTTTAAATGTTGCATAATCAAAATGAAACATTTTTACTTGAAAGATTTTTTAAAAATTACCTGAGAGTGCATTCGCATTCTTTCCTAAAAGTTTCTTCATTAATTGGATGATAAGGTGCTAATAAGGATAAAAAGTCAATCTTCGACAATATCACCGCCCACGGTGAATCAGGAGATTCACTTTGTTCTGCTTTAACACGCTCAAGAAAAAGCAAATCTTTCTGAAAGCAAAAGTATTCCATTATCATCAGAAAATAATAATTTCAAAACGAATAGGCCCAACCCTTTCCCATCTCACTAATTAGATATTAAAACAACTATATTTTGCACAATTCCAGAAAATATACAGTGAGTAGTGAGTCGTTTGTTAGAACTCTTTTAATTATGTTGTTGCGTGCTTATATGAATTTTTTGATTGTTCAGGGTGGTCTTTATTGGTGATAGATTCTGGTATTAGTTTTTTGCTATTTAATTTTATTTATTGTTTGTTTTTCTTTTAAGAGGTGATGGTGTTGGCGGTGTTGCCGAGTTTATTTTTGTAATTGCTCTATGGGGTGGTATCCTTATTCTTTTGGAGGTATTTTTTGTTGGGGCTTTAGAATCTCACGATTTGGAAGATTCAAATAAACAAGTCAAAGAATGAAGTATCATATTTGAATTAAATTACAATCTTGACTCCCGGATTCCTGAGGCATTAATAAAATGTTATAAACTAAAAAATGAAAAAAAATGGAACAAGAAACAAAACGACAAAATGAAAGAAGTAAAGAAAATTCAACACCAACAATATCTTTCAATACCTTCTGTTTTGACTTCTTTAAAAGATAGCCCTAATTTATTTTACAACAGTACTCGAAATAAGCAAATTAAATTTGAAATTTTTAAATAATTTAAAAAATATTTTGTAGACATATCATTTAACGCTATATGTATATGACATGAAAGCGCCGGTAAGAATGCTCCGAATTATTTTGCACATAAAACCATCATTTGGAATTATATCAATCCAAATAATTTCTCATAATGTGCCAAAAAATTTCATAGATTCATGAAGTTAGAATAAAAGACCTGACCTTTAATCCTACAGTCTCATCTTTTATGTTAAGATTCATTTTGGTTGACACTGTACGCATTTCCCGCTCATAAGTTTTTGTTGGCGAATCTGTTAATTTATCAAAGGCATCTTGTAGAACGTTAATCCATTCATCTAATAAATCACCACCTTCAACCATAACTGCGACTATTTTCCGACGTACCGCTTGCATCTGCAATCATACTAGTTCCTCGCCTAAATAAAAAATTTGAATAAAATTTGCTCTTGGCAGAATGAAGTGAAGTATGTCTTTCAAAAAATCCAGGTGAAAAAAGTTTCCAAAGACTAAAGATAAATTGCAATTAAAATATGCGATGAAGGCAAAAAACCACAATATATGAATAAAAATTTTTTACAACTAGCCAAAATTTGATTGAATTGAAGCTTTTGCCACATATTCCGATATGCAGATATATTAACAGAAAATTAACATATATAGATGATGGAAGAGAATGGCTAAGTGGGTTTTTGCTCAACAGGAAATTAATAGATATAAATGATGGAACTGAATGGGTTTTTGCTCACATTTCATTGCATCATTGTTTTAAAATTCTGCTCTTGATAGAATGAAATGAAGTATGTCTTTCAAAAAATCCAGATAACAATAATTCACCACTAATTCTATCACCAAATGATTTCCTGATAAAATTTCAATCCACAGGGTATCTGACCGGGCCTAACCAGAAATAATGGACGATTTTATCAAAAAAAACGATGCTAATAAGAAATTAAAAGTTACTTTATACATCAGATCTCTGAATTCATCGACGGTTTGTAGCGATTTCCCGCATGATATATTATTGCTTTCATTATTTTCGACAACAGCTGAATTCATCATGAGATCCTAATTCTATAAAATAATTTACTTACAGAAACAAAATAAGTATTGCCAGATTTACGAACACAAACATAAAAAATAATAGTTGTACTTTTATATTTTATGATGAATTAATTATATTCATATATTTTATAATGAATTAATGAATGAATTACAGTACAGAATTCTTTTTTCCCTTGTATTTCTTCTTTTAGCATTTCTGATTTGCCTACCTTTAGTGATAATTTAAGGTTAAGGTGAAACCCTTTTTTAGATTCATCTAAAGGAAAGAAATCCAGGCAAATCTTCAACAGTACCAATCAGAGTTTAGTTTTAGTGATGGACTCCTGTCAGGTGGGAGAAATCGAAAACCAAAACCCTTGATTTTAGCTGATGCAATAAACCATTCGACAATCCCACCTCTTCTCCCCATAAATCTTTTCATTATATAATTTCCCCAATTCAATGGGCAATTCATTCTCGAATCTTTTCCATGATTTCACAATTTCCACTTATTCGCTCATATCGCTTTTTCTTCAATCTAAATTCATTACAATTTTTATTAAAAATTTTCATCAATTCATTCTTTACAAAACTTTTTCAAAAATTTTACGCATTTACCAACTCATTAAACAAAAACAAATTTATCACTGAAATTGAAATCAGGATGCTTGAATTCCCCGCCGAAAAGCGAAAGATCCTAAGGATCTATTTGCACAAAAAGTGGTATTACTGGGAGAAAAATAAAGCTAACTAGACAAGCCATAGATATAATCGAATTATATTGTTCCAGATTTTTCAGATTATTCTCTATTTCTGGTTAGGCCCACTGGCCTGGCTCATCGGAACGGACAAATTTCGCCAAGAAGTCCCATGGCGAAACCCAGAAGACCAGCATCATTCCCTGTCTTAAGTTAAAACAAATAAATGTCTTAAGATAAAATGTCTAGCAAATGAAATAAACTAATCAACGGAACAAGCCAATTTCGAAAAGGAACACAAGATGAATTGCGCGAAAACCCGTGACAAAACAACCACCCCACCGCCTTCCTCCTCACCTCCCTATCCTCTTCCTTCCTACGAATCAACAATTAATATTCCAAGTGCTTCAATAAAATAAATCACCTAAATCGTTATCGTTTCAAAACCAATTCAAATCATTGCAGCTATAAATTTATCCAGAATTCACAACCAACAAGGGAAGTAAAGGAAGGAAAAAAAGAAGAAAAATTCTATCACTGAGAGGGATGGAGTGCCATAAGTTTAGCTAATATTTGTAGATACCATACCATAGTCATTTTTATTGCTAATTATGATGAATTGCACCAGATTCTTATTGATACTGCAAAAATCTGGCTCCATATCAATAGAAAAGACGCTGATCAAACATCTACTATCACGAGTTTATCACCGACTGAGGAAGTGCCATATTTCAAATATCTTGGATTCCAATCTCTGTGATAACAAATGCTTAGTTTAATATTGTTTCGTTTAGCAAAATCACAAGCAAAATAAAAATTCGCAGTATCAATCTTTGACACTCGCTGCTTCGTTGCATCTTTGGTGCCTCTTTATCACAATATATGTGCATCGAGATGTACTCTACTCTAAAACTTTCTCAAGAGTTCTCGAAGATTTCTCGAAAGAACAACGATTACCTCATGTTTTGATAATTTTTTCTGAGTCATGATTCTGATTAAGTATTCTGCTTCAATAAAACTGAATAAAAATTGAATAGTTGAACGGAAAAGAATTAGAGAATTATAAGTAAAATATATGCGAATATATAAGATATATTCCTAGACTGATGTCGAATGTCATGACGATTCCATGAAAGTTTCGCGAGGAAGCATGAGCTATCGCAGCTGTCGTTCATGCTAGAATTACATCTTTCGTTTGGTCTATTTTTTGGCATATAAATCCAAGATTCCACTAAAAAATCCACAGACTATCCTAAATAAATTTTATAATTCCAACAAATTACCAAAACAAAACAAATTATAAATTAAATTAGCCAAAATAAAAAAAATAATAAATACAAATGGATTCAGTTAAAATTTCAACTTGGAAGTGCCATCATTCTATCATTTTTGTCATTTATGATTACATCATTATTTTTATCAAAAATTTAAAAAATATATTTTAATCCAATTTCTCCTAGAAATTTTTCAAAAAAATCAAGAATGATAGACCCGGATGCTATTCTATAACGAAGAGGAATATTAGGAATATTTCAATCCTCAAGTGGCGAGAGGACTTTAAGCGAAATAAGCAAAAATGAGTTTTGTTAGGTAATACCAAAGAACTCTCTCGATGAACAATCCATAACTACATTCTACAAAATCATCTTAAAAAATAAAAAAATTCTTCGATCAGTTTTAAAAAATAAAATAATAATCGTAATAAAAACGATTTATTTTTGTTTCTTTTCTTCCTTCTCCTTATTTCCTCTTTCCTTTTCTTTTTTATCTCTGTAATCTCAGTTATTCAATCCACATCTATTAACTATTCAGTAAGTAACAATAGCCCTAAAAATAGTTACTTGTTTTGTTTTACCTGTTTTACCACTTTTACCACTTTCTAAAATCTCGCATAATGACTGGTACGACACTTCTCCCAATTGGCTGCAAATGAAGCGAAGGATTATGCGCATCAAATGGCTATGGCGGCTACCATTCTGGCTAAATGGCTCCGTTAAATAGCAAATAATTTTCACCAGAAAGCCACTTGAAAATGAAAATATAAGTGACACATAATTTTAGTAAAGATCTTGAATATGGGCAAAAAACACTGTTATATATTCCGACATTTCATAGTTTTCTCCAGCCAAATTCAATTAAAACCAAATACATAAAAAAAAAAGACGAAAAGACGAAAACATCAAGAATAAAGATTAAATTATATCCAGTTAAATTAAAATTAAAAAACAATTAAAACCAAAGAATTAAAAATATTGGACAAAAACTTGATGAAATTAGGATTCGATCCAAGCATTTAAAAATTCATTAATGGCATCTGTGTCCCATTTTTCAATATTCATAACTCTACCAGGCATTCCAAATGAATCAAGCAATTTAATTGTAGGCAATGTTCCTCGAACATGTCGAACTATAACTTTATTTCCCCACTGATTAACCATATCTGACTTAACGAATGCTGAAATAAAAAATACAATAGAAAAATAGAAAAAAGGTCTTGTTAACATATATTTAAAATTAAAATTTGGAAACGAAATGGACAAGCTAACTGCTCAAGCATTATACTTTAGCAACTGCTCTTTTTAATAAATTCCTTATAAAAAATACGACGAGGTCCCATCCTAATCATCAATCGAAAGGCTTATTAGGAAAAGTAAATGTAGAAAGAAATGGAAAGAAAAAAAAAAGAAAAAATTTGCACGATAATTGCCAATAAAAAATTGAGCCTTGAAAAAAAGAAAGAAACACTGAAAAAAACCTTGAACTTGAGGAAAACGTGCCAAATTACATTCACATATTTCGATAATAGCTTTTGAATATTTCTAAATATTAAGTAAGATAAATCATACAATTATTTAACTGAAAAAATTTACAAAAAGCTACCTTTATTACGTTAGAAAGAATGCCTATCAGTAATTTAAAAAATAATAGAAAAAATTTAGCCAGCAATATTACCAGTAACTTCAATCCTTTAATCCATTGTTGTAGATGCCGTAGTTTTTTAAGAACTTTTAAACAACAAATTGTTTTACAAAACGTATTTTCTTATATTTTTCAGCCTGCTAACTAACTGAAACTGAAATATTCCCCTCTCCTAACTATCCAGCTGAATTTCGAAAATAAAAAAGAAAATTTGCCGCTTTACGAGGCTTAGCAAATTAATAATTTCGAAAATGTGGTGCAAGAAGAAAATTTTAAAAAATCAACCTCTTGCTGCTGATTTGCATCGTCATTATCTGATGTACAACAACCTTTACAATCGTTCATCAAATTATCAAGATGAAAATTATTTAATTCATCACAGTTTGAACACTGCAGTGTTTCGACGTTGAATCCTTTTAAATGACATTCGCCAACGTCAAATAAAGTTTGCATTGTTAATTCAATTAATATTATTTTTATTACTAATAATACCTATAAAAAAAGAAACGAAGAATTTAAAGAATAAAATAAGAATAGAATTGATTAGTTATTTAAAAACTTTCTCTCAAAAATCTACGAAGTGCTGGTAACTCATTTATATTGTTAGGTGAGCCAATAGCAAAAAACTGCCTGGTCAAATAAACCAGTGGAGCAAACCAAACCAAAAATGGTGAATATCCTTAGAAAATGAAAAAACTAATAGTTTAAGTGAAAACCAAAAAAAAATCTAGAAAATGGAAGCATAAATTATTAAAACAAACCCGCAAAAACAACATGTGATCCATAAACCCTCGGTGACACTGGTCGATTCTTTCCAAAATAACTAATTATCAAAAATCAATCGTTTGAAGAAAATCTTTTCGAGAACAACTTATAAAAAATTTGCAGCTCTATAATTTTTTTGGAATTGGCATATAAACAGATAGAGCAGGTTAATTCGATGCAAAATGCATTGATGAATTTAATTATTTTGAGATATGGCATGGACCAGAGATAATCGAATGTGTCCATTCGCACTTTCAACCAGTGGTACTTAACCAGTAATGTTGCTAGGCAAAAATAAGTAAGTGAGCGCCAATCTAAAGCATCGCTATTCATAAACTCCACGATTCAGAAATATGTCTTAGTAGATCTTTTTGCTAAAAACTCGCATAATTACTAATTAGGACGATTCCGCTGTACCTTTAATTCGCTCTGATTTCGGACGCTATACGTGAGATTGGCCATTCTACTATTGAAGTTTTTCCACTAGTATTAGGGAAATTTTGACGATTCCTAAGTTTTTTTATTTTTTGAACAGCCCTCACCATTGTTGGTTCGGTTCGCAGGCTTATCGGACGAGATAAATTTTGCAGTGAGTCGCCAGAACCATTCGGATTGAAATGAAATACAAAAGGAAATTTACTTAAAAAAACTAATAAAATAAATTAGCAAATAAATTTATTAATAATATTTATTTATTTATTATTAATTAGTAATAAAAATTATTTATTACAAATTTATATATTTAATATATTTCATATATAAAAATAAATATATAATTATTTAATATTTATAACAAAATTTATTTATTATAAATTTATTTAAAATATTTCAAATATAAAAATAAATATTTAATAGATTTGCATTTTATAATTTGTCATCAACTGCACTGCGTTGCCAAGGCAATCCACAAATGCACTATTTTGCTTTAATTTTTAATATTTTTATTTATAAGTGATTTTTTTAATAATTCTTATTTTTATTATTCACAAGATAATTTATAATTAAATTTATCATTTAAATAATTTTTTTGTATAATAAATTAATTTTTTTTCTATACTTTAAAAATTTCTAACTATCGTACTTATCGTATTTCGCTAAAAGTTTGAGTGGTGCAAGGGGATTGTAGCAATTTGAAAATTGCAAAAAAGCTTGCAAAATTCAGATTCTTCTTCGGTAGGATTATCATTAACCATCAAAAATGTGAAACTCCGAGATGCACCAATTACCATTCACCGCTAAGCAATTTTCGTGCGATTAAGATTTTTAATTTTGATTTGTGATTAAATTTTTCTCGAATAAAGTTGACTGTAACAATAATAATCATTATCAATAGATAAATGATATGAACCGATGGTGATAAGGAATCAACATTAGGATTATGGAATATCGAAATTTTTATATCTTAAAGCCACCCCAAAAAACATAGCGCCTTTAGGAAAATCTCTTATCATTTCGCGCTATCTTGTATGATAAATGATAAATAGCATGATAATTTATACTTTTATATTATTTAAAATATTAGAAAAATTGAAATAAAATTTTTTATAACAAATATTCGCCAAATATTTTAGATAATTTTCTTGAATCGCATTTCTTTTATTAAAGAATTGAATTAAAAAGTTTTACTTTTATTACTTGAACCATTTTTCATATTTTATATTTTGAAATACTTTGTTTTAAAAATAACTAAGAATTTAAAGAATATTATAAATTTTTATTTAAAGCTATGTCAGTGCTTAATTCAAGAAGAGAATGGCCCAGTGAGTTTTTGTTCTGATTTCGGTGTACCGGCATTACAGTTCTACTCCCGGCAAGGGCAAATCTGACTTTCAAAAATCCGGGAAATACTAATGATTTCACCTGCATTTCTATCGTCAGTTGATTTCTTGGCATAATTTATAGTCAGAAAAACCAACCGAAACAGTAATGGTGAGCACTCAAAGAACAAAAAAAGTGATATGAACAAATAGAATATTTTAAATAAATAATTTTATACAATGAATATACATAAAGAATCGACCAATGAATAATCAAAAAAAAAAGTCTTATCGTTTTTATCAGTATTCTTAGCAAGTTTTATCAATAAACATTTTTTACTTTTTTCAGCATTATTAATAATCAATAATAAATTAACATTATTGATAATAATAATTATTATTTAAATACAATGTTCGTGAAATAATATTTATTTCTTCATATGACGAAAGCTATCTTAAAATTATCTTAAATTAAATGTTAAATATTTTTTGAAATGCCAATGGAAATTAGCACATGCCGAAAGCACTATGGATCAACAGAAAATTTAGCTATCACAGGTTATTATTATTTAATATTATTATATATTATTATTTATTTATTTATTTATTTATTATTGCTTTATTATTATTATTTATTTATTTGTTATTTATTATTATTGCTATTACTAATTATTATTAATAAAATATTATTAATAAAATATTTAAAATTTAGGACTTTGACCCAAATTCACGCAATTTTTATATACTTTTTAATATTTCAGGTTATGCTTATAAAAGAAGTGAAAATTTTGTCGATAATCGAAATCCATCAATTGCAGCAATAAAAGGAAAGCGAACATTGACTAAAATGTTGACAAAAGCTGGCAGTGTCGGTAATGTGGCCCGTAAATTCAACCAAGAGCCTAGTTCCAGTTCTAAACAAGCTTTTAGGAGGTGGTTTTTCGCGTTTTAAAAATTATTGTTTTTTTAATCAGCGTTTTTTTTTGATATTACACTAGAAATTCGGATATTTAAGGCATTAAAATTTACGATCCACCGCTTTATCACTAAACACTGAATCAGTTTATCAGTGCTTAATAATATCAGTTCGATGGATTTCACACTAAATGAATAATTCTAATCGTTCGACTGTGAAATGGCAACTGATAAGGAGAATTATTTGAATTGGTAGATCATAATAAATATCGTTTCAAGATGTGGACAATGCAGTTGTAAATGTGGACAAATTGCTGAATCAAATTTACAACTTCATGAACAATATATCAGAAATTTACAGCAACAAATACATTTTCTCGAACTCGAAAATGAATGCTTGTCACTAACTTTTTTTTCTTATCATTTTCTTTACCTAAATAAAATAATTCGAATTGTTATAAATATAAAAAAAACGGAAAAATGCCAGCGGTGAAAATAATGGTGAAAGGTGAAATACATCAAGCATTGCACCATTTTTTGCGAAATTTTGCCAGCAAACAATCATTTAAATTATCGAAATTATCTCGAAATTATATAAACCTAATGAATCAATATTAATGAATTAATATTTTTGTTTTTTTAAAAAAAAATACCCACCATTTTTGATGAGATTTATACGATTGACTTGTCGGACCAGGCAAATTTTTCTATGAATTAGGCAATGGAATTAATGCCACCAACACCACCCATGGATTTTTGAAAAACTGGTTGGTTCACCTACTGGTATGAGTAGTAGGAAATTCAATATTGGTGTTCTGAAGTGATAGTAAAAATCCCACTGAAGCATTCTCTTAACCTCATTTAAATTCCTCGAAAATTTTTTTCTTATTTTTAGATTATGAATAGAATATGGTTTCGATATTCATTAATCGAAAAAATATTGATAATAAATTTCATTTTTATTTTTTTTTAGGAGGAAAAACGAGAAATTGGAAAGAAATGATAACAATATTATTAATCCTTTAAAAAATAAATCGAAAATAACATGGTCATTGGCGAAAAGAAATACTTTTACGAAAGAGTCAACTATCAGTAAATCTGATAAAAATGATAATTCCGATCAAATAATAAACAAAATTGATGAAATAAATAACGAATGGAAACCATACATAGCGATTGGTCATGCTGAATTACTCGAAAAACTTGAAGAAGCATATCAAGTTATTCAATCTCTTTTTTTTTCTAGCATTGCCACCATTGCTCATTAGGATTGTTCCATAGGCAACAAACAAGAATGAAAGCAATTTCCAGGCTATTTGATCAGAATTCATTGAAAATTATTGAAAATTTTCGATTTCTAACCATTTTTTTTTCCATTTGCCTAAGCCTATATCACCATTTATCACTGTTTATCACTGTTCAAAAATCTCTTCTTTGCTCCTCGTCGTATTATTATTATTTTATTATAAAAAGTATTACTTAATGATACAACTTAAAAATGTGAAAATATTTATATTTCTAGCGTGAAATACGAATTGAAGAACGTTTAAAAGAAAAAATGAATGAAATTCATGAACTTGAAAATGATAACGAGAAATTATTGAGAAAAATTCAAGAAATTGAAACAATGATTTCGAAAAGTTCAGGTATTTTCTTTTTATTTATTTTTTTATTTAATAAAAATTCTGAGAGATGATTTAATCATGAGCTATTTTTATTTTCATTATTTATTTTTATTATCATTTTTTTGATAATTTTTCGACGATATATCTTCTCATTGAGTATTTATTAAGGTCTTATATATAGATTTAATGCCATGTTGTTTCTTGGGAAACTCTCAAGTATTACCTACCAGAAGGCGAAAAAGTAATACATCGACGTACATGACGATTTGAAAGAAATCATTTATTTAATTCTACCTTTGGCTTTACTAATATAAAAGTGAACTTGACAAGGAAACTGGCCAGCATCTTTAGACGAAGAAAAGGCCAAGGATAGATCAAGCATTATAAGACTGAAAAAACCGCAGAGCAAATGTCTATAGGCAAAAGAAAAATAGGCTAAACTTGGCATCTAAAAATTAAAAAAATGATAGACCAAACCAAGTGAAAAATATTTCCCCTCATAAAATATCCCTCATAAAAAACTAATCCTATACGATTTTAAATAAATTTCAATTTGGAATTTCTTTCTGGAATTTTAATTGATTGTATTATTTTGACGAAAATGATTAGCTGATTAGCTGATAACGATTATTTTGAGAAAAAAATATCCATGATAAACGAGCATTAATGGAAGAAATTGTGGAATTACAAAGAAGATTGGATAATTTAACACCTTCATTAGCCAAAAAGGTTTTTTTTTTTTAATTCGTACTTAAGGTTTATTTACTTAAAAAATATAAAGATTTCGATATATTTTTTTTTATAAAAATACTCAAAGAAAAGGGAAAAATGAAAAAAATATTTTCAAATAAATATTTTAAAGTATTAAATACTATTAATATTGAAAATAGTATTAAAAAAATATTTTTTAAATTTATTTTAAAAATAAATATTTTAAATAATTTTAGCACATTAAAACAAAATTATATTAAAAATATATATTTATAAATATAAATTGCTTTCTAATAGGAATCTCAAATAGCAAAATTAGAAAACGAAAAAGAAGGAATCATGAATAGACTGAGAAATACGACAACTCAACTGAATGCGCTACAAGTATGTTAAGAATTTCGATTTATTATCTTTTTTTAAAAAATTCTCACCATTTCTGATTAGATTTGCTACATTGGTTTGTTGGACCCAAAAAAATTTTGCTATGGGAATGTCACTTGATGATAGAATTATCACCAATGAGTCACCAGTACCATTCAGATTGTTGAAAGACAGATTTAATTTTTCCTCGCCTTGCAGTAGAGTTACCAATATCACCGTTTCAGAATGAGTTCAAAAATTCACTAAGCCAGTTAGTTCTACTAACAGTGGTTAAGAAAAATTTTTAGTGGAAAAATGTATGAAAAAAAAATTTATATAAGAATTTCATGAGAAAAAAAAGATGAATGAAAGATATATTTAAAATAATGAAAAATTATGAAAAGAAAAATATTTTTTGATTTTAATGGGAAAATATTTTGCAAATTTTTTTTTTGTAATTTTGAACATTTTATAACAAATATTTTAATTTTTTTCTAAATTTGCATAAATTTTTAGTTGAAAATGAATGAAGGAAAAAGAGAGGAATCTGCTTTAAGTATTCTCGAAGCTGAAAGGAGAGAGGAAATCGAAAAATTAATACGAAACATAAGAAAATTAGAAATGGAATTGGATGAGCAAAAAGAAAAGGAAAGGTCCCTTATTGTAGGTCATCAATTCTGCTATCACCAATTCACAAATTTTGCATTCTTTATTTTTATTTTTTAAAATATTTTATAAAAAATATTTTATAATATAATGAAAATAAAATTTTTTAAAAATAAAAAATATAATAAAAAATTTATCATTTGATAAAAATTTTATAAAAAATTATAAAAAATTTATTTCGATAATAAAGATAGAAAAAATTTTATTCCAAAAAAATAAAAAATTTTTTTATTTTTTTTTCTCATATCTCTTCACTTGAATTAATTCGATTTATTCAAAAATTATATATAATTTATAAATTTCTAAATTTTATTTTATTATATAAAATAATTTTTAGGATGAATTAAATACTATAAAAAGATCTTTGCGTGAAGAGCAGTTAAGAGCCAAAAAAGATAAAGCAATCGCTGAAAAGGTTGTAAGTTATTTCGTAATCCTGCAATGGTACTTAAGAGTTTTTTTGATATATTGGTGTAAATTTTCTTCCCCTTCTTCTCATGTAAATCTTCTAACAGTTCGCACCATTACTGACTATCGTTTTGAATGATCAGAATGACTCCATTGGCTATGACATTTCCGAACTGCGCGATCTGATGCCATTGTTCACAGTATTAGAAGCCATTCTTTTTTCCACCATCTAAGTCCATATTTGCTGGTGGTCCATCTATACGTTCAAAATCTTTCCTGACTGTGTCAATCCAGGTGTTGATTGGCCCACCTCGTTTTGATGTCATCCATCACACGGTTTGGCAAGTAACGAAATATGCGTTAACTCCTGTGGTGGACGACGGAGAACGTATGCCTAACCAGCGAAGGCAATGCTCTGTAATAACATTATTAATGCAAGTGGTATTTGAGCGAAGGTGGATACAATCAAGGTGGAAACTAGGTGTGCGATTTTATCTGTTCGGCGGATCCGTAGAATGTACCTTAGACATGAGTGGTCAAAAGTTAATAGTTTCTTAATATCTTCACTCTTATTGGTCATATTCTTCGCAACCATATAGCAAGATCGAACGAATTGCAGCTATATGGACGCGGATTTTTGTCTTTATGGTGATTTCGCGACGATTCCATAAAGATTTTATCAACCAGAAAACATAATTCTAGTCTTTATCTGGGCTACGATTTCATCCTTTGCCTAGCCATTTGTGATTAGAGTGGATCCAAGGTCTAGCACTTCCTCAACCGGTAGTGAATTGATAAAAATAGATGCATCTAGATTCAACAGCATCTTGAGAGAATAAGGCGAAAATACTTTTATTTATTTATATTGAAAAATATTTTATTTATATTGATTTTGATATTGAGTCGAATTCTTCTTAAGTCCAATATATTGTGGTAAGCATCGAAGAACATGTCCTAACAGGCGAAGATGGCACTCTGTGATGGTATTGTTAATGCAGGTGGTATTTAATGCAGCGAACATTAATATGTTCTAAACGATTAATTGATATATGGGCTCCCATCTCCTCTTCCAATTCTCCTCATAAAGAAAAAAGGGTGGCTTTTATTATTGCTAGGGTATGGTATTAGATCGAGCAGTTTGGAAATTTTTTATCCTTGTAGCTAGCGAAGTAAACTCAACCAAGTTAATAGGTATAACCATTAAGAGGAAATAATTTCCTTAATAAATTTTCTTGAAAATCTTGAAATATTTTATATTTGAATATTTTAATGCGAAATTTTAGACTTTAGACGAGAATAATGCTCTTATAAGAGAAAATTCGGAGAAATCTGCTGAAATATCACGATTGGAAATGACTATCGAGGATTTAAAAAAAGAATTTAATCTGAGACGAGCTAATGAAATTAGTCCTGCTGAATATGCTGTGGTTTGTTTATTGAAAATTTAGAAAATTTCATTCATACAGATCTATGATTGTTAAAATGTGGTCCTCTGGTTCTCTGCAGTCTGTGGACTTTTATTGCTTTATATACTGAAGCTAGAGGGTCCGTGGGAAAAAAAAATTCGGCTACTGATGATTTTCCAAAATACTTTTTCTAAAATAAAAAGAATATAAATTCTTTTTTCGACTTTGTCAATAAATAATTTTGGTAATTTTGGAACCATTTAAAGAGTTAAAAAGAAATGATCGCATTAAATAAACTGGAAATTTACGCTAAGTCAAATAAAATCGCCAAATGTCAAAAATAAAATTGACAATTAACAAAAATTTTCTTTTATTTTTTATCAATTTTCTTTTAATATTAATAATAATTATTTATTATAATATAATATTATAATATTATCATTATAATATAAAATAATACTTTTAATATTAAAATTAATGTCAATATATTAATTCTTTTTAATATTTTTTAAGATATATACAGTGAAATATTATTATTTTTACATATTATTTAATATTATATTTTTTTTTATTACATTTTCTTATAACATTTTTATTTCTTATTTTTTTTTATTTTTTATTTCTTATTTTTATTTTTAATATTATATTTTTCAGCTTCGCGATATGGAAAAATCATTGAGATTAGAATTGTCAAAATCTCAAGAAAAATTACAAATCGAACAAGAACGAATTCATTTCCTCGAATCTCAGGCATATTATAATTATTTCATTTTTAGAACTCCTAAAAGTTCTCAACCATTTTCAATTTCGCTTCATTAGCTTGTTGAGTGACTAAATAATATATTATATATAGGAATTTTTTGCAAGACAATCCTCCTTCAAATCCTTCAATTCTCCTATCGAAAGAATTAAAAAATGCAATATTAGAGCGCCTCTAAAATGGACCCAATGAGCCACTAAGCCGTTAAGCTATTATTTTAGCTTGACGATTATCAAAACACGGAAGTGGTGAATCGAGAATCTCGTTCTCGTATGCAAAATGAATTGGATGCACTTCGCGCATTATCCGAATCACTCTCAAATGAGAATAAATTACTTCGTCAAGAAAAAGCTTCAATAAATGAACGCTGCGATGAATTAGTTAAAAAGGTCAGAAATTTTTTCAAAAAAAAGGATAAATTTTAAATTCTCTTAAATTAAAAATTTTTTCAAATATCATTCAGCATTTTCGATTTGATTTCGCTTTGCTTACCTATTAGGATTAGTCGTTTTCGTCGGAGGAATATTTAACAACAATTAGACATGATAAGAGTAGCCAATTAGATTCAATGATAAGAAAGAGAGAGGATGGGGGAGGGGGGGGGGAAGGGGAAGGGGAGGGGGTTCATCGTTCTTCAAAAAATAACATGGTACCATAGCAATAAACTAATAAAACTTAAACTTGCTTAACTTTGAATAATTTTAGGGGAATACAATACGGGCAGAAGAAACTTCGCTGAAACGGGATTTTGAATTATTAATGGAAAAAAATCGTGAAATGGAAAAAAAGGTAATTTGTTTTTATGTTTTCCCTAATAAAAGGAGGTCATAAAAAGGGATTTGCTATGGTACCATACTGTTGAGCTTTTTTTTTAAGAAGAAACCCTGTTTCATCGAAAATCGACCAAATTTTATCAAATTTCTTCACTGTCCATATTAAATATTTATATCAAACTCTATTCTTTGAGTTTAGTTATTTCATTTTAGTCCTAAAGTTTGATCGTTTCTGAGAGACCCCGCATAATTCTTCAAATTTTTTCGCTCAATTCCTTAATTCGATTTCCTTTATTATATTCGATGGAAATCCTTCCATATCCTTCAATTTTGTACTCCAATAAACTCGCTATTGCCATAATCCATTAGTAAAATTATTATTACTTCCGCGTAAGCTGGAGGTCCTAGAGTTACCAATACATCACAGGAGTAGGCAATTTGTGAGAAAAATCCCTTTATATCGGGATAAAGTTATTTTAGATTGCTAGTAAAGAGGATGAAATATCGGCAATAAGACGTGAATTACGATCGCAAATTGGTCGAAATCGTGAAATACAAAATAAAGTTAGCTTATTTATGCAAAATAACATGAAAAAATTCTTTTAATATCCGCCATCAAAAAGAACCACTCCACTCTTATAGCACCCTGCGGTACCACCCTGAACTATAATGGTACATACTGGTTGAAAAAGAATCATTCTCATTCGTTTCTTTTTTTGAAGAGTGCTTGGCCTTATTCCACTAATAATGCAAAAGGTGTCAAGATGCAATAGAAGCATAGATGAATCGCGAGAACTATCCGGATTTCTGAAAGATAGGTTTATCCTCGCTACGGAATAGCCCATTGGCATTCCAAAACGATAGCAATGTTGTAAAACACCGTAGTCCAATGCAGTGTTGCAGTTAAACGAAAAAGACGATGAGCTAAAACGCGCAAATGATTACAATGAAAATATTGATAAGCAATATAGACAATTATTAGCACAACTTGAACATGAAACAGCTTTACAACATGAAAAGTTAGTATTTAATCATTTATTTCTTTTAAAATAAAAGTCATTCGTAATCATTATTATCGATATTGAAAATTGATAAGGATATTCTTCATTAATCATTAATGACTCTTGTTATTAGAATCGAAGACGCATCTTTATCTATATAGCTTATTTTTCGTAATGATAAGTTTATCATTTGCTCTAATCTTTTTTATCAAATTTAATCAATTTTAAGACCAATATTTATATTTCTATTTGCTAAGGAAGTCAAATCGTTATTGAACCTACAAAATATTATTTTTCTCTAAGAGTGCTGATAAATTCTAGCTAAACACCTTTCTAGTTTGCCGGGTGAACGAATGATTCTTTAAGAGATTCTATAGGAGTAGCTCAGCAGCACTAATCGCTTTTTTACCTCTTCTGATGGGAATAGAATTGTTGTGTCGGTGCTTTCCCGTATTGAGAAGCACGACTTGCTGGAACTAGAATTGTTCTAAAATATAAACCGTACCATAAAATTATTTCTTTTAGCCATAAATTTCATTTATAGAACGAATGAATATGAAAAATTAGCGAAACGAATAAGGGAACTTTCGGAATCGATTAAGGAACCAAGGACGTATTCAGCGGCGTCATTCAAGCAATCGCTTTCCGCTTTTACGCATACGATTTTACCAACGACAAACACAACCTTAGATTCGGTTCATTTAGCAAAATTTTCTAAAAAAAAACAAGAAAATTTTATTCTCGAAAAATTCGAAGCTGAAATTTCGTAATTACCAATTATTTTAGAAATTAGAATTTTTATTGAATAAAGAAAAAGTAAAGAAAAATAATTTTTATTATTTTTTAGATGTTAAAAGGACCAATATGTTCAACAAATTATCGAGACAGTAACGATTAACATCATAGAATTTATGAAAATGAATAATTGCATGCGTGCATGCATGCAACTAAACTCTATTGTATTTCTCATAAACTGCGATATCGCCTCAAAATTGCCATAAAACTGCATATTTTTAAAAGTTTTATATTTATATGCATATTTTTAATAAATATCAATCAAAAATAAAAAAATAAATATTTCAAATATCAAAGAATTCTATTTTAGCTGGTTTTACTGTTAAAAAATCTTAAAAATTCGATAATTGCTTGTTTGATTACCTATAAATAAGAATCTATTAATAATTGTACTATTATAATTATCAAATAATAGAAAATGGTACTAATAGCTAGGGTACTAAACTATTTTTATGCTTAATTGTTCAATTTTATTAATTTTATCTATGAAAGGATAAATACAAATGGTGTAATTAGCATTTACCACAAATATGCTAAAATGTGCTATTACCTGTATAATACTAGAATTTTTAAAAATGGCTCTTCTTCTATTATATCAAGTTGAAATCTTTAAAAAAGAAAAAAAACGATTTTTTTATGTGCCGAATTTTTATATTTCAACAAAACAATAAAAAAATATAAAATAACAAAAGTTGTAAACAAATGAAAAAAAAATTTTTTTGCAATTATTTTCTAACAATGATAAAAGATAAGCGAAATGAAAAAAATCGTTTCCATTTTGATTCTAAAAAATCCTCTTCGAATAGGAAAAATAGGAAATTTTGAGAAATAACATATTCAAATTAGTGGTACTATTCGCGATAATCTTTTCAAGAAATTGCGCAATTCATCCTTCGATAAAGCCTAAAAATAAAATGGTTCAAACAATTTCAATAATTTCTAACATTTTTCCCTCAAAATTTACACCTTCATATGAAAAAATCAGTGGAGCCAATTGAAGTAGGTAGTATATTAAAATATGTAAATTTAACAAATACTTAAACAATAAAATTTTCAAGCATCATGGTTCGGCTTTTATAACCACCTCCAGAATAAACTTGTAATTAAAGAGTCTACTGCTATCTTCTATCCACAAATACTTTCTGGCGAAATTGTTTCATCCTATTAACAGACAATGCAGTAAGTTCACTTATTTATTTATTCATTTATTTCTCTCAATCATAAAGCAAAATAAAATTTAGTAATTATGTTCATAAAAAAAAACCTCTGCAATATTCATATCATCACCAATGAATGTAACTAATTCGACGGCATCAAGAAAAGACAATTCAGATAATGTAACGAGCATTGATAACGAAGATAGCAGATACTTATTTCGCACTCGTTTTAAAATTTTTAACCGCTGCAAATCCACGAAAATAAGGTCGACCCAATTAAATATTCAACAAATTTAGTAATCGAAAAGATGAAAAAATTGGTTTTTGAGCCTTTGTGACCAAAAAAAATTAAAAATAAAAACCTCATCATCAACATAGTATAGGTTTTCTTTTATTTTCATGAATTTCGACAAATAACGATACGCAAGAGAAAAATCAAATTCTGAAACCTGAAATGGTTCAAACAATTTCAATAATTTCTAACATTTGAAAAATTTTGAAAAATTTGAAAAATTTTTTTGAAATTATTAAAATTTTACGCTTCAAATATCATCGTAAAAATAATTTTTATAAAGTTTTGACACTACTATTTCTCTCCATAATAATAAAAAATATCTAACTGAGCCTTGATGCTGGCGTTTTTTTGAGATATTTTCTGGCCTGGCGAATGATCGTTGTATATCTCTCGTAGCTCGTTCTTCCCATAAATCTCTTTCATTTGAATTTTTTATTCCAATCATTTCAAAAGATTGTTCGTGCAATGCTTCAAAACAACGATGGAAAGAATCATACAATTCCTGAAAAGATAGAAAAATAGCAAAATATAATTTATGTATTTGCAGTGATAAGGAAGCAATTAGCTCTCTATGCGTTTAGAAATTTTTACTAAAAAAAATCATCAGTAGTGAATCGATCGCTATAGATCGAGATGGTTCCCTAGCACAAACCAGGTGTTTTAACGGCAGATGAGAGTAACAAATGACCACCCTATTTTATTCTTTTATAATGAATTTCAACAGTTCAACAATTTTGCAGAAATATTTTAAAAAATGAATAAGTAATATTTCCAAACTAAATAATTAATTTAAGGGTTCAAAGGGAAATTAAATTAAAGCAAAGAATCATTAATGAACAAATAACGAACTAAATAAAATTTATAGGATTGATATTCGCAAATCGCATTGGTAATCGACCTATATTCCACCGAAGAACATGCAGGCAATTCCGTATAACATTTTTTAAAGTTATTAAAAATAATAGCCGACCTTTGTATCATTTCCTCAGCTTCTTTTAGCTTTTCTTTGTCTAAAAAATGGCTATAAAAAACAAAGGGTATTATTGTGAATATAAAGAAATTATCATTTTTAGATGTTCCCTTGATTAAAGCAAAATTCATAAAAAGCAATTATATTTCTTTTTATATTTTCATTTATTCTTTTTATATTTTCATTTATTTTTTTAGATTTTTTAAATTTTATATTTTATTCCTAAAACAATATATATATATATATTTATTATACATATTAATATGATAAAAAATATTCGAAATGATTATAAAATAAATATAAAAAATAAAATAAGTTTAGAACAATAATAATGATAATAAATTTTCAGTAGTAATTATAAACACAATAATAAAACTTTTCTCTAAAAAAAGTAAACCATTAAAACTAAGATCTGAATGACTGTTAGAGATTTATCTGCATCCCTAATTCAGTGGCGAAAGAATCGAATTATGATAAACGTTATTTAAGTTTAAGCGATTAAAAATTCTGTGTGGTGCCGGCGATCTATACGATATGTATCGCCAAGTAATTTCCTCAAGGTACTAACAACCAGTAAGTTTAACCAGAAAGAATAAGCACCAACCACCACCGCCGACATTCAGGACATGTATTAATCAATCCAAATCATAGTAATAAAGGCCTTTAGAGGCTGATTTTTTTTACTGACGATTGTAAATAATAGCAACAGGCATTAGGCCATGGATCGACTATAGTGAAAATTGAAGAAATCTATTCTTCTTATGCAACAAAGGTTGAAAATATATATTTTTCTATATCTATATATCTATTTTTATGAAAAAAAACAAGTTCAAGGATTGCCACATAAATATTCTCGATATAATCTTTTGCCGAATGGCTAAGCTGAATATGAAATTCCAGTATTGATAGCTGCAGATAGAAATTCTTCCGTTCTAGCAAAGTCGACGCAAAATCAACTTTAAAGAGAAAGTGTCAGACATATCAAGAAATGAACTAATTTAGACTATTTCTTCCTGAGATACATTTTATATATCCGCCGCGAAAGAATCTCACGATTCGATCGCTTCATCTGCATTAATGTCATCCTAGAGATGATACGTCCTTCACCTACTGCATGGATTAATGCATATCTCGATATTTCTATATAAGGATGTATCAAATACGTCCAACCAAAATTTGAGGAGATTCGGTTTTGAACGCATAGGCCCAGTTATTGTATGCATAGGACCAGTTATTATATTATAGGCTTATATAATGTTTCTGATATGACCTCGAAACGAGAAACTATGAAAGCGTTGTAACTAAGCCAATCTAACCAGAAATGGTGCAAGCTGTTAGAAGAAGAAAAATATATTTCATCACCTTCCAGACATTAAAACTCGAAATAAAAGGTAAATAAAATAAATTAATGGAATTGGGATCATTAAATCTAAAGTCCCTCTTTTTAAACTTTCTAAAGATTGAACCAAAAAAAATCAGAAGAATATCATTGGCGCAATGAACTGCGAACTCCGCCAGCTGATATTGAGGGTACAACAAATATTGCCAAATATCAATTATCCTTCTATCAATCTATAAAAAAATATTTATAAGGATATAAAATAAATGAATATTAAAAAAAATGAACTGCCCTTAAAAATAAATTATAAACAATAATTAATCCTTCAAAACAAGTAATAAAGTAATAATATTTATTAACTTCCTCTAGAACGATCGAATCAAAAGTTGTAATGAAAGTAGCGTAACAGAGATCGCGAACTGAACAACCTAATTGCTTTGCACTGCTTAACACTGCCAATTGATGTTTCGAATCAAATAAACCTGCAATTTGAACGAATTTTTAAAAATCAACGGGAATAAAAAATTGAATAATCAAATAAATTAATAACGAAATAAAGCAAAAATAAAGGAAAATCAATAAATAAAATAACGATAAAATAAAGTGCAAAGAAACAAAAAGTAAAATAAGAAATAATTAAAATAACAAAAAATAATGATCTATTATAATTTTCTCACCGCCTAAAAATTTGAGAAAAGAAATATTTGCATCTGGATTCGGTGACATTTGCAAATAATAAAATGGCATAGCTTCAAAATATTCCATGGATTTCAATAAAATAGTGTACTTATCGAAGATAAAATCAGATTTTTGACACTAGAAATATTCCATATTCCAGAAAACGATATTTGATAATGATAAAATTGCAAATTATTGCAATTGCAATTGCAATTGATTATTGCAAATTATTAATTTATCAAACAAAAGAAATAAAAACCTTAAGATCTGGATTTTGTGAAACATAATAAATCATCAAATGAGCAATAAAACGAAGCATATCAGGATATTGAGATGTATCATGATTATAGCACCATTCATGCATAATATCAATACAACTTGAGATTACAACCTCCTCCATGGCTAAGCTTTGGAAAATTCGATAATATATTGAGTTCTCGGCATCATACTATAATAATAATTCACCATTTTAATGTCAAAATATTTTAATAAAATAAAATTAATTACATTTTATTTATTATTACTTAATATTATTTTATTAATTATTATTTTACTATCAAAATATAGGTTATAAAATATTAATAAATTATTTTATTAATAATAAATTATCAATAAATTATTAATTTATATTGTATTAATATACAAAATACAAATGAATTGTATTATTTTATATATGAATTTATTTTGCGAAATAAATTAAATAAAAATTAATTAATAACAAATGATAAATTTTATATCTTTGCAGATTAAGAATTAAGAACACGAGATTTAATAAAAATAAATTACTGCACAGATTTCATCGAAAATCGACGATAAAGTCAATTCGCTTTCTATTATACTATTATCATCTACGATATTCGACATGGAATCGCTTAAAAAGGCACTAAAATACGGTTCGATGGCCGAATTCAAATAACACCATAAACGATCATCGGTGCTCGTACAGCTCGAAAGAGCAGGTTCCAAACGTCCGCAAATGATGGACCAAAATGATTTCTCGACTTCAGATAATAACGAACCCTTAAAAACAATGAATTTAATGAATAATAAACAATAAAACAAAAACAGTGACTAATAATTAAAAAAATATATAAAGACGAATGAAAATAAAAAGAAAAAACTGCAAATGGCAATAAAAGAAATAGAACTTTATCGATAACTGCATCCACAGTACCCTTGAGAAGTGAAAGAGAACTGCGTAAACGACTGAGTTCAGAGATACCGCAATCCGTCTCTTGATTTAACGCCTTACGTAAAAATGCTCTAATTTTTAATGGAGATGCAAAAGCAGGAAGGCCACAATTACAAAGTAAGCTTGCAGCCTGAAATTTCCAATTTCCTCAATGACAATAGTTTTATGGCATCAATTTCCTCAATGAAAATTTTATAGAAAATAAGAAAATATGGACCTCATCATGTCGCCCACAGCGCATGAGCATAAAGACCAATTTAAAAATACGATTTTGCATATTCTCATCGTTAGGATCGAGTCGTCCGTGAAACGCACCATCAAGATCCTTAAAAGATTTTCTTCTGTGTTCGAAATCAATCATCACTTTTCAATTTTTCACTTGATTAGCAGCAACGCCCATATAAGCTGGAATTCGCTCGATCTTGCCATATAGCTGCGAATGGCCAATGAGAGTGGAGGATATTAAGCTACCTGCCTCTGAACACAAGTTTCTAAGATATATTTCATGGGTTCGCCAAACGGATAAAACCTCACATTACAGAACGCCGCCTTCGCTGGTTACAGGATGTTCTTCGTCGTTCACCACAGAAGTTGACGCATATTTCGCCATTTACTAAATCTTGTAATGAATGGTGAAATCAAAAGTAAGGAGGACCTGAACTGATACAATCAAGAACGATTTTGAACGTATAGCAAGTCAGCAGTATGTGGACTTAGACAGTGGAAAAAGAAATAGCTTCTATTTCTTTGAAATGACGGTGATGGTGATGGAATCGAATAGTTTGAAGACGTCTTTTCCTTGCAGCCAGTGGAACCAGCCTAACCAGTAATATTGAGAGCCTAGGCCAAGGCTTAGAAATGATTTTAGAAATGAAAAGAATAGAACTGTTAAAGGAAATTATCAGCGATAGAAAATTATTTTACATAGAAATTTTTTGATTTTATATTCTTACCAAATCGCATAATTGTGTTCCCATTCTGCGAGCATGAAATGTTTCCGATCTGGGAATGAAATAAATAATAATTTTTTTCACTATCATAAAAGAAATGCATCATAATAAATAGTTGATAATCAAAAGAATTAAGATGATTTTATATTAAATAATAAATATTAAATAATATTGAAATTTGAATATATACTAACTTATAAATTTAATAGAAATAGTAAAATAACAAAAAAATATTTTAAAAAATATTTCAACCTAATAGAACAATTACTGAGCAGTGAACATTCTTTTTCCAAATATTCTTTATTCATAAAATAAGCATTTTCTTCACACCAAATTAACAATACCTAAAAATTAATACGGAAGATTATTTCATAAATACAATTTATCGCTCTAATTGGCATTCTTTTCTTCCTGAAATTTTTCAAATTATAACCAATTCATTAAACTGAAATATTCAAATCTTTGTTAATCCAATCGATTATGGTAGAAAAAGTAAAAAATTTAACAAAAAATTTTAAAATTGCGCTTAGTACATAAAGTAGTTGAAAGTTGTTCAATATTTGTTGAGGTACATTGGATTTGATTTGATAATTTTCCTGCAATAAAATATATGCTCAATATGTACTTAACACTTAAAAAAATGAAATAATAAAAAAGAAGTTCAGAATTTCAGAATTTCTAATTTCAGAAAAAATTAGAAATCAAAAATAAATTTTCCAAATTGAATGTAAAAAAAAAAGCTAACTAAATTATCTCAAAACAATTAAAAGCTGAAAATTTTAGAGGCTCAAAGCGAAAATTTAACAGAAGAAAATATAAAATCGCACTCGTTTAAATTTTTCTTCTGAACTGATTTTTCTTACCAGCAATGAATAGGCTTGCCTTTCTCGCAAATAATGAGTTACAGGCATCATTGAAATTTTACTGGGTATAGCACTCAATTTTTGATGCGTATTTAAAACGTCGTCAAGAAGCTAAAGAAATTAATAGAGCATTATTTTCATGTTTTGGATAAATATGTCTTAAATTATATTAAATTCAAATAAATTCAGAAAAAAAATACTTTTAAGTACTTCTAATATTTTTTTTTATAATATCATAAACAGCAAATTCAATAAAAATGTTAAAAAGAAGGGATACCAAGGAAATACCAAAGAAGAACAAGAGAAGATGTGGAAAGTAAAGACCAAGTAATTCCAGTGATAACTGGAGCACTCGGAACCGTGACTCCTAAACTAGAAAAATGGCTTCAGCAGATTTCAGGAACAGATTCCATCAGAGATTCCTGTCCAAAAGAGCACTATTAGAAACAGTTAAGATATTGCGCAGAACCCTCAATTTCCCAGGTCCCTGGTGGAGGACTCGAGGTTGATGATTATCACTAATACCAATAGGGGGATGAGAGAAAAGTTTTTTTCTTATAATAAAATGAAAATGACATAAATATTAAATATTACCATTAAATAACTATCGAAACAAGCCACATAATTATCACCAAATTTTAAAGCTCTCGTGTAGAAATCTTCGCAAAGCGAAAAAGATACTGCAAATTAATCATTCCAAGATTTGAATTTATGAAAATAAAAAAAAAAAAAGAAAAAACTTTGCTGTTTCCAAGATGGTGAAAAAAGTTAAAATTTCAAAAAAGAAATGCGCAAAATGCAAAATTAATAGGATGAAATCTAAATTCAAATCTAATATTAAGAACATTAAATAAGACATAAGGATAAACTTACTGCGTTGAGCAATTCGACCTTGTTCATCGTAAAGCGCTATTAATGTTCCCATTCTTTGACAATCCATTGCCGGCTTTACTATATCCTTATCCATCGGTCGACAATCGATAGATAACAATAACTGTTAAGAAATTATTAGAAAATAGCTCAAACTGGCCTTATGTATCGAAAAAATTGGTTTTCCGTCTCCACAACTAATTAACTCACTTTATTGCGTAAAAATAATAGTAAGTAACCGCTAAGCCTTTAAAAAGACAATTCCTCTCAATCTTCTCATGAAATGAAATTCTTCATCTTTGAAGCTTCGAAAAATTTCGAAATTTTAAAAAATATTCCTTCTTAAAAATTGAGTTATTAAAATTGCAAAAAGCAAGAAGAAAAAATATCGAACGAAATTTATTAAACGAAATTTCCAACAAAAACGCAGCATTGGATTAAAATATTTTTGCATACTTTTATTGAAATATTTAATTATAACAATATTTTTGATATATTTTATAAAATTCTTCCTTTTTTTCTCGCTTTTTGTAATTTTTTCATTTTTATCGATTCTTTACGTTTTTGTATATTTGACATTCTTTTTTCTTGTTTTAAAGCTTGTTTTCGTTCAGTAAATTGTATACGTTTATCCCATTTTTTTCGTCGTATTTCTTTCATTTTTTGCTTTCGAAGTAAACTTTTCCGTAACAAATCTGGATCATCCTACAATTTAAAAAAAAATTTGCAAGAAAATCAAATTTATTCAATAAAATATGCCATCAAAAATTAATTCTATGAAAGGCTTGAAGCGAAATCCTTGAAAATACGAGCACTTTCAAGAATTATTTCCATATATGACATTATATGAAAATAGAAATTCATTTTGCTGTACCTTGATTTTTTGCCCTTCAACACGACGAAATGACTTGTTCCATCTGATATTTTCTTCAATATGAGATGCTTTTTCAGGATTTTTTTCTCTTATCGCTTCTATTCTTTCCATTCTTTTATCCGCTTTTTCCAATAATCTTTTATAATCTTTACCCGTAAATTCATCACGTTTACTTTTCTTCGATTTCTTCTAAAAAAGATAAAAGAATTTGAATAGAGAAAAAATCCACTTTACCAAAATGATGGAGAATGGGTTGCCGCACGCATTTGAGAATGCCGACACTTTGATTCTATTTCTGGCGGAACTAAACCTGTCTTTAAAAATACAGGCAAATTTCTATGACCAATTTAATTCCAGCAGAATTCCTTTGGATAAGCCACTTGTTTAAATCTCAACAAAAATAGTAAACATTCTTGAAAAAAAAACTGTAGTAATTTTTATTAAAACATTATTAATTAAAAAATGAATACAGATATAGTTGAAACTGCAAACTTAATTTGAAAATTTGAGATTCCAAAAAATAAAAATTATGCTATTACTTGTACTTCATCCTTGACAATAAAATCGAACTTGGAAAAAACAATCTTTTCACTGGATTGATCATTAATCGGTTTTATAATTTTGTTGCTTTGATTCTGATCAGAATTCCTGCAAAAAAAATTCATATAAGAAATCAACCAAATGAATTCGAAAAAAATGAATTTGGAATTTATACCCCTTGTTTTCTTTCGAGCCCTCCTCCTTCATCGCTTTTTTTCGTACTTTGGATTTTAATTTGCTTAAGCGCCTTTTCGCTTTTCGTTCTTCTTCATATTGATGAGCTGATTTATTTCCTCTCCTTATGGCTGTTAAAATAATTATTATTTTTCATTTATATCAATTAAATTATTACACTTTTCTCAACCCCAACTGAAAATGGAAAATGAATTTGAATTTACCTCGTAGTTGTTCCAATTTCGCTTCCAATTTTTTCATTGCAAGACGTCTATTCTCAAGTGGATCAATATTAGCAAAGTTATCATTTTCAGTACAAATGACTGATAAATTTTTCTTTTGAGCATTTATATCGAAATTACTTGTTCCAACATCTGATTTCATGCCTTCATCAATTATTGATCTTCTATAAAACACCGTTTAAATCAACCTATATTCAAATGGCACCTTAATTTTTTTCAAAAATTTGGAAATATTCAAAATTGTAAGTCGAAAAAAAATACTTTGAAACACTAGCTGAATAATTTCCATCTCTATCCAAATTTTCATGCAAATTTCTTTTTTTACTTTTTGCTGGACTAATTTTATCAGAATTGAATTCAATTTTCGATGCTATTCTTGAACTTGTAGATGCCTAAAATCATTATCGATAAATTTTAAAGTTAATTCATTGCCTCAATTATAATGATAATTTATTCAGCTTCAGTTGTAACGATTTTTTTATTTTGTAAATTCATTGCCGGTTGAGGAATGCCCGATTTCAAACACCTTGGGTCCACTCTAATACCAAATGGACAGGCAAAAGATATTACAACTCGGATCATGGAAGATAGAAATGCGTTCTTCCGGTTGACGAAACCTTTATGGAATCGACGTGAAATCACCATAAAAACAAAAATCCGCATCTATATAGCCGTAATCCGTTCGATCTTACTATATGGTTCTGAGACATGGCCAATGAGAGTGGAGAATATTAAGAAGTATTAAGAAGTTATCTGCCTTTGACCACTCTTGTCTAAGGCACATATTACGGATCCGTCGAGCGGATAAAATATCACATAATAATATCCATCTTCGTTCAAATACCATTTGCATTGATAGTGTTATTACAGAGCGTCACATTCGATGCTTAGGGCACGTTCTCTATCCTTCACCACAAGAGTTGTCGCATATTTCGTTATTTGCTAAATCGTGTGGTGGTTGGCGTTAAAAACGAGGTGGGCCAATCAAGACCTAGACTGATACGGTGAGAAAAGATTTTGAACGTATAGATGGACCAGACAATGGAAAAATGAATGGCTTCCATTACTGTCGATGATGGCATCAGACCGCTTGGAAGCATCTTACCCTTTAGCCGTTGGAGTCAACCTAACCAATAATGGTGAGAGCTGTTAGAAGAAGAAGAAGAATAACGATAAGATGATAATGATGAACATAATGGTAAGATTTTATTTATAAATATACCTACACTAAGAATCAACTTCCTTTTAGAAAAATATATAGAAAAATATAAAGTTTATAGAGTTTATTGAAATAAAACTATAAGCGCGTCAATAGAATATTTATAAGCATGGAAATTTAAGACAATGACAAAAGTTTAATGACCCAATACAAGCATTTCATTTTAGAACAAATCAACTTAAACGTTTATTTCTCAAAAAAATTTCCCCTAACTAAATATGCACCTCGATCTCTTATCTCTTATCGATTCTTTCTATCAAGCACCATTACCTCTAATCACATTTATTTGCCATTTATTAATATAAAAGCGTTGGAAATTTTTGGGATTCAAATTATTATCTTAATAAACTTTCATATAAAACTTGAATTTCTTTTAATTTCAAAAATTCAAATTTCACGTAAAACATTGACATTTCATTTATTTTATTTGAAATAATAAATAAATAAGTACTAAACTATTAGAATACTATTTTAAATACTATTGAAATAATAAAATAATTATTAGATTGGATTATCGGCCTGATGATAATGAGTGATCCTATTACCGGCTTATACGTGAAATGTAATATTTAAATTATCTCCTTTTTTAGATTAATTTCGGCGCACTATCATTACTTACAGGTTTATTACAATAATACTTCTCACTTGTGTAGGTCTGATTTATAATATTTTCCAGGATGAAATTATATAAAAAAATTATATATTGAAAAAAAACTTTTTTTCGACTCCAGTAGCTACAAATTTCTTTCCTTATCCCCCAATCAAAAATTCCCTATATATTCAATTTCAATAAACAAAAAATTAAGGAATCCTTAGCCAAACCACTTTGATTGTAATCACGTATTTTTTGTTACTTGTCAAATACTATCTTCATTCCATCTTTAACAGACGATTTACCTTTGAAACAATACGACATATATTGTAAACCCAATTGCCCGAAATTTCATTAATATTAATATAGATCTGAATAATAATATTAATATAGATCTGAATAATAGCCAACTTCTATCTCGTCTTCCGTCGAATTGCTTTAATTCCAGCAACCATATAATCCTTATCGTTTACTGCATCCTATTAACTTAAAAAACCACACAATTCTTGACTCCCGCCTTTGATTTTAGTAATCATAAAATCCTTTCCGTCTATCAACTCCTTTAATTCTACTCCTTTGATTTTAATTATCATAACTTCTTGCTAGTACTGAACCTATGAATCTCGATCTATTCATACTTGAATACTTTTTTTAAAGTTGACAGAGTTTTACTGTCACGAAAAAAATGAAATTAAGGAACAGAGGGGAATAGTCAAGTGAAATTATCAGTCCTAACTTTTGATAGGAATCAAAAAAATTCAATAAATCTTAAGTTTTATTTACCTTCATCGGTTTTGTACATATTTTTTGTTGTTCCATCAATCGAAAAACATCGCTGATCGTCCGACAACTGAGATCATCCACCTTTACAGTTTTTCGCTTATTAAACCTTTTTTTTTCACCTGAAACTTCCTCGAAATCTTCTTTAAATAAAAGATCTAATCCTTTGAAAAGATCTAATTCTTAAAGTTCATTGAATTTGATTTAAATATTTGTTAATATTAAGAGATTTTAAAAAATTATCAATTCTTTAACAATTTTCAAAACAATAATCAGATATTAAAACTATAGTTAAAATAGTTTGAAATAGATAATTTATACTGATAATCAATATATATCAGATATGAAAATCCTTATTAAAACTTCTTAAAACAAACTTGAATCAGAATTTTCTTTAATAAATTCACGATTTTTTTGAATAATTGCGTTAACATCATCAGCGAAGCCCCAACTTTTGATAGGAATCAAATCAATATCCTCTAATAAAATTTTTTCCACATTCATAATCCTCGACTTCAGTCTCTCTTCATCAAAATACATTGTCTATAAAAAATAGTTTGAAATTAAAAAAGTAGATAATTTATACTGAGAATCAATGGCTATATTCCCTCTTTAACAGATAATTTTCCTCTGAAACGATAGAAATAATCGATTTAATTTCATTAATATTATTATTATTAATGATAAAATATCGATTAATTAATATACCATTAGAATTTCATCACAACTAAGACATTATATAAATAACAATGGAAACATTTATTTCTACAAAAATATGAACAAATATCAGTGATAGCAATAAAATACATCAAAACTATGGAATCCATTCTTCCCATTGAAAAAAACTATAAAGAGATCATTTAAATAAGGGAATTTTCAACAATTTTTGAAAGAAATACTAAAATAACCCATAATTATTAAATTATTAAGTATTATTAGTTAATACCAACAAGTATAAGATTAGATACACTCCTCGTATTTTGGACACTGAGCAAATATATCTACTCATATAATATGGTATAAAGCAAAGAAAATATAAAATAAAGAATAAAATATAAAATACAGAGGCAGGATAACAAAATATTAAAATGGTAAATTCCAATCCTAAAAATCTTAGTCCAAAGACAACATTCTCATAAAACATATATCACAAAATGAGATCGAAAAGCTGGAATCTCCATTCACAAAACGAGCGTCTCCATTCTAAAATCCATGTATATATCAAATTTTGAGCAACAAATTCTTAAAATCATGAAGTTTTATCCAGAAGGGATCAATTCTGTACTGAAACGCGTTTGAACCATCTCTGTTCGAGTTCGAAGTATGAACCAAACATCTTCGACGAGCTCATCAATTGTTGTATAACGAACTCTGTTGATATTAAAAATGTCGACGACAAATGAACAAATTTGTTCCTTAAAATAAAAAAAATAGATATAATAAGAAAAATGCTGAAGCAATGAAAAAAATAAAGTATTGTCTAACTTTAAAATAATAACAAAGTTCGCGCATATGGTCATTAGTTCCAAGGAATCCGAGAGTGATTGTTGGAGAAATGACTTCGGAAATATCATAAAAATGAGATATAAAACCATTTTTAACCTGAAATAGTCAAATTAATTCAGAACCTAAAAATAAAATAAAAAATAAAAGTGATTTATGAAACAAAACCTAGAAATAATACTTAGTTTTCCAAAAGAAATATTTTACCGACCAAAAGAACTTTAAAAAAATAACTTGAAGTCTTGAACGTTTCACTTTAAGCATAGACCAAATTACAGTTGCCAGAGTGGATTCTTTTACCGATTGGCTTAGAAACATATTTCGCGTAACAGCCAACACTGCTGACGGAGGATGAGAAAGATCTTCCAATGAATCGATTAAAACAAAATCAAGAACGACATCCCAAAATCCCAGCTCAAAAACCTGCGAAAATTCAAGCAATTTTTTTGTTTACTGAGTTCATTTGAGAAAAAAATGAAAATATAAGGAAAATCTAAAGATAATTTTTAAAAAAAATTTAAAAATTTAAACTTAAAAATTTAAAAAATTTAAAAAAATTTAATTTTTAAAAAGTATTTTTATACTTTTATAACAAAATACTATAAAATTAAAAAAATCCAAACTGAAAAAGGTATTAAAATATATAAAAATAAAGAATAAAAAAAATAAAAAGAAAATTACGATTAAAAAAATGCTGAATTATCGAAAAATGTAGTAATGTAGAAACAGTAGTCATTAAAAATTTACTAATTTAGCTACTCTATTTTTATTTCATTTTTTTAAACTCTTCTTTTTTAAATTTTTAAAAAAGAAAAGTTTAGAAGAGTAAATTTTTAATGACTACTGTTCAGCTCAATCTCTTTTGTTTTAAAGCAATCTTTCACACATAAATTCAAAAATTGGATTTAACTGTCCAAATTTATACCTATTTTTTTCAATTTTCCTAGTAAAATTAGTCAATAAATAAAGAGGAGTTTAAGTTATAATATATATAGTGAATTACTGCTTTATAATAACTGAATTCTACTCTTGTTCTACTCTTGCAACTGGTAAAATTAACTAATTAATAAAGCTTAAGTTATAATATATGTAGTGAATTACTACTTTATAATAACTGGATAATTTATTGTTCTACTTTTCAGCTCCATTCAACAACTCCGTTTTCTTAGATAAATAAAAAATAATAAATGAATAAAACAAACCCCTCGCATTTGCAATTCTTTTTCAATTATTTCTGAATTATGTTTATTGGTTAAAAAATCCATCATTGAATCATACGCCTGATAAAATGAAGTTGGTTCTTTATGAGAATGTCGTAATAAGTCGGCTATTAACTGTCGGCCTGTTTGCGTCAACCAAACGCGGTTTCGCTCGTCTGATAATATTTTCTATAAAAAAAAACGAAACAGAAATAAAAGTAAAATAACTGGTTTCCTTTCATATTTTCACTGCTCCTTTTATTAAATATTCGATTAAGATACTTCCGTCAGCCTCTAAGCTAATTTTTCATAGATTACTTCTGATTTTGAATAGAAAAATAATTTATTAAATGAGTGTAATCAAATCAGTAGATGGATATGGATATTGAATGGTACCGATTTTTGCGTAATATTATAAATTCCTCATAGCTTAGTTATTGAAAAGCTAAAAAGAAATGAAAGAATTTATTGTAAAAAAAATTACAAGTTCTTACGTTGAATGCTTGCCGCAGACACCACAACTTCGCCATAAAATCAAGGTCATTTTCGCAGCAACAGAATTCAGTACTGAAATAAATCTGAGAAAAATAATGAGCAAAACGATTAACTTTTTATAATATTAATTTCATATTAGAAAAACTAGAAATTTTATTTTATTCAAATTTGTTAATAATTTTTACAAAAAAAGTGATAATATAAGGTAAAAAAATTTTAAAAAAATACAGATCGCATACAACAAAACCTTACTGTATGAATAAAAATGCAATAAATCTGTCTTACCGTGATTTTCTATAGAAAACTTCATCAGAGATTGCACAAGCCATTCCACTTTGATAAAAAAAAAGAGAAGATTTTTCTATATTCAACGGATCCCTCATAAGTATATCTGAATCATCCAAACTCAATGGCTGAAAAAACTTAAAATATCGAAATAATTAGAAAAATAATTTCATGATTATAAACAAATTTAAGAAGTAAAAAAGGGCAACCATATCATCCAGAGCTGATAAGAACGAATCATCAGATAAAACAGAAAGTGTACCCGAATGTACTGGACCCCCCACTTGCCATGAAACATTTCCAGGAATATCTAAATAGTTCAAAATTAAAATATAATAAAATTTTCTTATATGACCTGTTCCTATGATAAGATTAAAATTTTACCGGGATTCTCCAAAAAATCGTTAATAAATTGAATCATTCGATGTTTTAAGAGATATTTTTTCAGTCTTGAAAAATCAAACAACCAAAAATTGTCAATTAAATTTATTCCAATTAAAAATTATAAAAATAAAAACTTACGACAAATACTATCATCACTTGTCGCCATGCTTCCATCAGGTTTATCCGATGAATCATTCAGGATTTTACATATATCGATTTCTATTGACCGAATTCTGGAAAAAAACTATTTTTTAATAAACTGAGGATCATAACCTTTTAATATTCGTATACTTATTTACCTCTGTGTCATCCTTATCATTAAAATTGTTTTGTAGCTTCATGCAAATCTAATCTTAAGATACAAAATGAAATCTAATCTTCCAGTAAATATTGCATTCATTATTTCTTGGTTTGGTTGAGCTTGCTTTTCCTAACAACTCGCAATGTAACTCGTTAAGCCAGCCTAACTAGCTATAAGGATAATGCTGTCTCCAGTAATTTACCCTTAATTACCATTTCGACACAGAATAACAAAAAAGTTATAAATGGAACCCTATCAGTCAAATTTCACGATGAACCATTAGCGATATTTTTTCATATTCTCATGATGAAATTAACATTTTAATAAAATATTTTCAATAAAAAAATAATAAAAATTTTTGAAGAAAATATAACCGCTCAAGTATAGGAAAGAATAATTCAAGTCGTTTTTTGTCTTTGTCTGAACGATTTGAAATTAATTCCAATGTTAATAAGGCTCTTTCCATACAATGATTAACATCTTGCAATTTTTCCAAACCTTAACATTTCTATAACTAAAATTCAGATTAAAGAATGAAAAATTTATAAAAAACATTATTAAGCATTAAACATTATTATTATCATTATTAACATTATAAAGTTAATTCATTAAAAATGAATTTGGTACCAAAATACACCAAAAAAACAGGCAAATATATTCTGGTACAATGGAATCTCTCTAAAACCCTATGATAAAATGGAAGCATAATGATGTACGAAAAAAATAAAGATGGGATATTACTCAAAGCGATATCAGAATCGGCTGGTGGAACATATAATAATGGCCTATATGAATTTTTTTGCGACGATGAACTTCCATAATTTGATTTTTCACTAGCGGAAGTAGCTCGCCCTCTTCGTTGTCGAACATTTTTATCTAAAAATGAAATTGACCAACAAATAACAAATTTAATATGATCGACATTTAACATTTATCAACATTTTTGTACGATGAAAACATTTTATCAAAAAACTCTTAGTGAATAGATGGCATAAGTTTCATTTCTAATGATAAGTCCACTCTTATCAAAGGCCAAGAATAAGACTCACGATAATTTTAACCTAAATCAAAAAGGTATACCCAATTAATGCCTTATTTTATTAATCCATAAAATAAGACTTGAGGACTTCCAGAGATTTTCGACTTCTTCCAAAGAATCTTTGGAGCAAAAATTAGTTCCAAAGTACCATGATAATATATGGTAATATACTATATATTCAAAAAATAATTTCAAAAGTATTTTCTCAATTTTAATTTTTAATGCAAATATGAAAATTTTTAATGCAAATGCAAATATATAACTCACATAAACAAAGGCTCAAATAAAGGATGAATTTGAAGAAATCATCAATTATTTTAAGAGAAAAATGATTCGATGTTTGGAAATAACGGTAATTGAAAAAAATGATTTTAATAAATATAAATTGATTAAAAATGACTTTAATAAATATAAATTGATTAAAGACACAAAAATATTAATAAAGCACGAATTAAAACTAATTAACAATCCATTAATTAATAAAAATTAAAATAAATGAAAATAAAGTATAATAACGTAATATAATAATAAATCTCAAAATTGATAAATCTTATCAAACATTAAACATTTAATAAAAAACTTATTAATTAATATTACGAAACTTTTAAAATAATGGAATAAGTTTTCAAAATCCAAAAAAAAAATTATCTCACATGAAAAAAAATCCGAATGACGTTCAGCAAGTGCTGCAGGAAAAATTCCATCAACATTATCATATTCTTCAGGATTTTTTGATTTGTTATAGAACCTAAATTAGTAAATTTATATTTAGTAGTAAATTTTAATATTTAATTAAATATTAAAACATTAAAACGTAAAAAATATTAAGATTAATTTAGTTAATTTATTAAATAAGAAAAACAATTTTATTGGCAATCAATTTTCTAATTTCTATAAAAATTAAATAATCTTTTTTGTCGTAATAAATTTACAAAAAAAATCAAAAAAAATTAAGGAAATCTATTTTTAATTTAATTCAATTTAAACAAGTATTAATTTTAAAATTAATTTAATATTAATATTAATAAATTTAATCTAAAATTTAAACAAATGTAAACAATTAAATAAACAATTTGGTGTAAATCTTATCGACTAAATTTAAATGAATATTATTGAAAAATAATTCTAAAATTTTGTTGAATAAATTTAAAAATAAAAGGAAGAAACATATGGAAAAAAAACCTTTTAAGAAAATATTTATAAAAAATATAACCAAATCCAATTGTAGCAGCCGTAATTATAGAAATTCGTTTTAATCGTCCACTTTTAACCAATAGTAAATTTAATATCGCCATTTTTCCTTAAAGAAATATTTCAAAAAATCCTAAATTTTATTAATTTTTATATGAATGCATTTTGAAAGTGCAGATAGACCAATGAAGCAAAGCAGGCCTAGGAATGATCGTTCGGGTTTTTGAAAAAACACTTCCTACAAGCGTAAAAAAAATTAAAAACTATAATAATATAAAATAATGCCGTCGTTTCGGTTTCGGAATTTCGCTGAGGTTTTACTTTTAGCAGGAATAAATTTTTCAAAAATCCGCCTGGCTCCATCTATACTTTCTATTGGGACCTCCCGGCGAAATTTGTCTGGTTCAACTAGTTGTTGTATCCCCTTAGTACCATTCATTCCCCTTTTTACTTCGTCAAAGCACTGCCAAGCTTCGCAGAGTACCATGACTGCAGTTATAACTACAGTTGTAACATTAGGGTAACTGGAACCATCTGAGGAGTATAAAGAAAATTTAAGGCCGACAAGTGCAGAATTATATTCACTTGGCTAATAAAGAACAAAAGGAACTTCTTATAGTTTCGAATACTTCAGAAAAAAAAAATTTAATTGCAAAATAGCTGCAAAATAGAGACCGCCAAATATATACTAAAAATCGGCTAAACTTTATGCTCATAAAAGTTCTGGTCTTATTCACAGGTTGAAAGTTGTGGGTTAGTCTAGTCGCTTTAAGGTAGTACCATATAATATATTGTTTAGTTGTATTTTACTATGACATTTGATTTTAATAAAACATCTTCCTAAAAGTACGCGTATGCTTGTGGTCCTCCGGCAACTAATATTGCGAGGTTTTTCGGTTATAACAGTCAGCATTTCTGAAACAGCATTTTTTATTGGCCTAACTCCTCTGGCTCATTGTGATACGACCAACTTAACTTCCTATCTTACATTGTTAAGTCGCTTGGCAATGGAGATATTAATTTGGAAATTAGCACCGAAGGTCATCGTCAACACCATTCCCATTTTCTTAATGATAGAATTTCAGTTAGAGGCATGAAGGGAATCCTTGCTTTTCAAAGCGTTGATCTAAACATTACCCCATTCGGTTACGCGATTTGTAAAAATGTGTTTCCGTTGCCGGGAATCGAACCCGGGCCTTGCGGGTGAGAGCCACAAATCCTAACCACTAGACCACAACGGAACCTGTGGTGGAGCTGTTAAAATCGCTATTTATCTGATGCCAAATTGGTTTTTTTGTAAATGTAAATATGAATTTTTTGTTTGTTCATAGATCATTATTTCGTACCATCGACCTTCTCATTTCCCCGTCTAATGGGGGGTTAAGTGGGGAAGTGATTTGAGAGGGGAAGTGGCTATCTTGTTGTCCAGATTTTTTAACAGATACTATAAATAATTTAGCTTCCGTCTTTAGACATTCCTTGATATTTCCTTGTATTATCTTAATATTACTCCTTCAAATCCTGATGTCTTGCTTAGGTATCAGCCAAATTTCTATAATTCTAAAGGTCTTGAAGATATGCAGATATGGAGCGTTATAGGTTCTAAGGAACTTGTCAAAGGACTAAATGTTTAGAAGATTGAGATAGATTTAAGGTATATTAATCACAAAAGAAGTTTATTGTACGGAGTTTCGAACTATGCTGCAGGATCCATAAGCAGTTACAGCTCGGTCTTAAAAATGTTATTTAGTGCTTTAAACAAAAGAGAATTTGGGAGTGTGACGGGGTATTAAGGGGAAATAATAGGATTGGATAGATAGAGGTGCTGGGGGGAGGGGCTGTTCAACGAGAGAGTTTTTGTAGAATGTGGTTAGATATAATTTTAGATTTTTTTTCCCGAACACATTCGGATGCATACATAAAGCAGGACCGAGTTGTTAGTAGTTCAGATCATCATGTTGGAAGTCAGTGGCTCGATTTTTACATCGGACATTAGTAAACCCGTCGTTAAAAGCCAACCTAATGGCCCTTCTTCCATTGCCAGCTGACTATTGGCGAAAGTTTTTCAAATTTGCATTAACTTAATAGTCTGTGGAACATACAAAACAAAGGTAGAATTTAAAACTTTTCTTATTAAGAGAATATTTATGTTAGAGTTCAACTTCACAAAGAATATTTTAGTATTATATTATTATATATATTTAGAATATTTTAGTATTATAATATTTCTTATTAGTTCTCACTATAATGAGTTCCACGAGGATTGACAGATTGTCATGTCTTACGAGTAATGGTTTTTGGTGAATTCATTGTTGATGATAATTGATAATAATTGAACACTGCAGGTAGTAGCCATGCCACCGAAAAAAGGAACTAAACCTCCACCGAAAAATAATGATGAAAAAAAAACAGGCAAGAAGGAATCGAAAGGTGCGAGTGCTGTGAAAGTTCGGCATATTTTATGTGAAAAACAGGTTTGTAATTTGCAAAATTCATTGACCTGTTATGTTAAAAGGTTAAAAGGTCAAAGGTGGCTTGATCTTATTTATTTATTAAATAATTACTAGTATCCAGTGCTGTATTGTTTATAAATTAAATTAAAGGGAAAAGCATTGGAAGCTATTGAAAAGCTGAAATCTGGTATGAAGTTTAATGAAGTTGCTTCCGCTTATAGTGAGGATAAGGCAAGATCTGGTGTTAGTTGGTTTTATTTTGTATATTTAACCATTATAAATTTCATGATAAATTTAAATTAGCATGCTTTTTTAATTTTCTCTTAAATATAATAAGCATTTATGGTTAAGCTCGTTGAACTGGCTTGTCGGATCAGCCATAATCTGCCAGCTAGCCATTTAGCGATAGAATTAGCATTGCCTGGTTTTTTAAAAAGATTTATATTTACTTCTGCAAGGCGTAGAATGTTATTAGTAATTTTCCTTTAATCAAAATCTATTACAATTTTTGAATTATCTTGACCAATGATTTTATGCGCCACTTTAGCGTGATTTTTATTATCGTTGCTAAAAATAACAAATTTTAATAGCACGCTTATAATATCTCATTAGATAGGTAACTGTATTCTCTTTTGGTTCATTGAGATCAAATTTTCATCGATGGAGTATGCGGAAAGAAAGGATTTGAGGAAAAATTAAGGGGTTAGGCTGGTATGAGGACAACATAGTGGGAAGAGCTGTGAAGAAAGAAATTAGCGAATCTTGAGAAGATAATTCAAAAATTATAATGGATTTTGATTAAAGGAAAATTACTGATAACATTAAAAATGCAATATAGATTAATGCATTATCTCCTTGAAATTGTCAAATATTTGATTTTTGAAGAAAAGAATTGTTTTCAGGGCGATCTCGGTTGGATGAATCGTGGCTTAATGGTTGGAACATTTCAAGATATAGCGTTTGCTCTTCCCGTGAGTACAATTGATAAGCCTATTTATAACGACCCTCCTATCAAAACTCAGTTTGGTTATCATGTGATAATGGTTGAGGGAAAACGATGAAATTACCGAATTTTTTTTAAATGTTGAAGTTCAATCTTAAATAAAACGGCTGTGCATGAGTCGAGTTTATATGCGGCAATTAAGGAAAACAAGAAATTTTGTGTTTCTGGCTGCTTCTATAATTTTCTATTTGTTTTTCCTTGTTCATGGTTTTTGCTATCATTGCATTAAATTCATATAGGTTGCTTCGTTTTCTTAAAGGTTATGTCTGCCGTTAATTGAACTATTTGTATTGTTAATTTATATGGTGGTGCCTGGTTAATTCATCCAGCAGTATATACCATTTAATTTTTGTATGAAAAAATCTGTATTGAAATCAAAATTTTATAATTTATGTACAAATTTTAAATTTAAATTTTCTATTTTTTGCCTTGGTGATTGCGGAAATTATGGAAGTAAAATTTTTATTAAATCACTGTTTTTATTCATAAAAATATTGCTTTTTTCAATATCAAGAAATTTTTTATTTTTTTAAAAAAAAATTTTCAGTCTAAATATTTTCCGACAGCTGAGGACAATTTCTGGTTTGCTTTGCTCTGCTTGCTTATCGGATCTTACAAATATTTCGCTACGTGTGGTACTCTCTTATGTCTTTAAGTGTTGTAATTCCAATGGTTTCGATGAATTGGTCTATGTGCCGTATATATTGAATTTAGTGGGCCGTGTTTCAGTCCATCGTAAAAATGGGCCACATTTATAGTGAAAAGTGTGGTTTTCCAATAAACTACTGATTTTTTTACGCGATTCTTTCGTGAAGTCAATTTTAGTCTAGGGTTTTAGTTTTTTTATCAGTTTTTTCCAGGGTTTGTAAAAGATGGGAAAACCTGAAAAAGGAACTCCAAAGGAAATAGCAAATCGTTGTAAATCTAAAGGTTTACAAAAGCTTCGATGGTAATTATTATTAGTTATCATTATTATTATCATTTTTATCACCCATTTGACATTGTTTATTAAACTTATCATATGTGATATTTCATCAATAAACGATTTTGTTTTATAGGTTTTGTCAAATGTGCCGAAAGCAGTGTCGCGATCAGAATGGATTTAAATGCCATTTAACAAGTGAATCTCATCAACGACAATTATTATTGTTTGCTGAAAATCCGAATATATATTTAAAAGAATTTAGTATTGATTTTGAACGGAATTTTCTAACGGTATTATTTTTATTTTTACTTAATTTAAAAAATTATATTTGTTGAAATATTTATATTTATTTATATTATATTTATATTATATTATATTATGTTTAATCAAATTTATTAATTGTAAAATATAGAAGTTCATTATAATCAATCTTATGATCCATTTTTGTTGTCCAAATTTAAATTTCAATTTAAATTTGTTATTTTTTCTAATTTTTCTAGGTTCTAAGAAATACATTTGGTACAAAACGAGTGCGAGCAAACGAAGTCTATCAAGAATATATTCGTGATAAGATGCATGTCCATATGAATTCAACCACTTGGCATACTTTAACAAACTTTGTATTATATCTTGGTTCATCAGGGAAATGCCGCATAGATCACACTGAACGAGGTTAATTTTGTTTTTTTTTTTTCTTTTGAGAGATTCCATATTTCGTTATCATAAATTGGTTAATGCTTTTTTCATAGGTTGGTATATTGCTTTGATTGATCAAGAAGAAGAATTGAGAGCAGAAAAAGAAAAAAATAAGGCGAAAGCAGAAATTAATGATGCTGAACAACATATGCTTATGATTGAAAAACAAGCTGAAAGGTTGTTTTATTCCCACTAGTAATTTTATTAATTCATCCTGGTTCGTGTTGATTATAAAAATAATATGGCTCCATTGGAATGATCGTGATAAAGAAGAGTGGCCAGTGCGAGTGAAAATTATCAAGAAACTTTCTGCTTTTGATTCTTGTCAAGAGTTTTAAATCGTACGAGGCTATATCTATCTTCATTCGAATATCTCATTTATGATCGAGTATTTAAAGTCTGATCATATCGTTGCTAAAATATCTTTGTAGCGGCTGGAAAGCGATAAGACTAAATCAAGTACCAATCCAGATAAAACAAATTTTAAATACAGAGATTTATGGGTTTAGGCGGTAAACATGGCTCATATCCAACTAATTTTGGGTATATTTTGGGATCCTGAACTTAAAGCTGATTGTAATAGCCAGTGGAGCCAATTAAATCAGAAATGATAGAAATGCTATGCATTTTTAGAAGTTATTCACAGTAAAATTATGATATTCAATAAAGCTTAGTCCCAGTTTTTTAGAGCTCGTGAAAAAGCTGCTGAAAAAGAAGAAAAGCATCATTCACCAACAGAATTTCGACGTGATGAAAATGATGAAAAGATTACTTTTGCACTTCCTGCGAAGTTTAACACTGAAGTAGTTCTCATTTTTGCCTATTTTTACTTCTGATTAGTTTACTTTTTCTCTTTTGATTCATCAAATTTTTAAATAAATTTTTAAATTAAAATTCAGATCGCCGCCAAGCCTAGCACATCGCTTCTTTTCGGCACAAAACTTAAAAATGAGAGAAAAGAAGAAAGTGAAAATAGTGCACAAGGAAAATTTGGAGGAAAAAGAAAGTATTCAATAAACAAGACAGAAGAAGAAAATGATTCCAGCAATTTTTCAGAAAAAAATTTCCGGCGAGGTTCGTTTTATTTCATTATAAAGTCGCAATTTTTCGACATTTTTTTCTGATTTGCATTTATTTTCTTGGTTGATTTCAGAAATAAAGTCAGAGGTGAAGTCCGAATTAAGTGTTAGGGAAAGAGAAAATGTCAGTTCAACAAAAAATAAGATAAAGAAATCAGCACTGGATGAATTAATGGAAATGGAGGAACGAAAAAAAGAAAAACAAAATAGGAAGGATTACTGGTTGCATAAAGGAATTATTGTAAAGGTAATGTTTTATCAAAAAAAATAAAGTAGACATGGATCAAGATCAAGTTATGTTTCGTTTTTAAGTTCCTTTAACATTAAGTTCCTATTTTAGTTTTTTATCGCTGTTTTTCTGGATTATTCTCGTTTTATTACAACTTTGTTAAAGTTCACATTCACTTAGCGTCCTATTTTTGTAAGAAATTTTTTTAGATTATGACTAAAAAATTAGGAATGGAATTTTATAAGGCGAAAGGAGTAGTCACTTCGCTTATCGATAACTATGTTTCATTGGTTGACGTCAATGGTTTGTTTTACTTTAGTGATTTTTTTGTCGTGGTAGTACTGTTTTTATTTTTTTAACTTTTTAGTTTTTTTATTTGAGAATGTCATTTTGAAAATAATTTTCTTCGATGTTTAGATACAATGAATGAATTGAAATGCATGAATAAAATTTTTTGTATTTTTATATTAATAAGTTTGATTAAATTGATTTTTGGTCATTTTCTCTTATGAAAAAATAATTATGCCTGGTATTTTATTTTCAAATTTATTGCTTTGTTTTTTCAGGGCATCTTTTGAAAATTGATCAGAATCACCTGGAGACAGTTATTCCAGCTGTTGGGCGTCGAATGTTAATTGTTAATGGCGCTTATAGAGGCTTGAAAGCGGTGTTGGAAGCTATAGAAGAAAGTAATTTTGCTGTCAGACTTCGCATAGTGGAAGGTTTAACTAAGGGCAGAATTATTTCAGTTCCTTATGAAGATGCATGTAAGCTTTCTGAAACGAGTAAATAAATATTTATATTTTGATTATAATCAAAATATAAACATTATAATATATAATATAAATATCATGTAAGCTTTCTGAAACGAGTAAATAAATATTTATATTTTGATTATAATTAAAATATAAATATTATAATATATAATATAAATAATATAAATATTATTTCTTGTCTTTAGATCATTTTATTGTGTAAATATTGTATTTGCTTGCTGTATTTAGTATTTGCTAAAATTTATTATGCCAAAAATTATTAATATGTCAGTTGAGCTGGAAATTTTTGAGTTTTGAATGCAGTTCTCACTAGCAAATTTGCATCCGCTTTGATATTTATTACCAAAGCTAAAATATATATATATAAGGATATTAAGGAGATTGAAGCTAATTGTGATTGAAGCGACGCAGTTAATCTGCAAATAAACTTATTTAATCTCGTAAATTTAATCGCCACATATCGGATTTATTTAAATTTAAAAAATCAAATTATTGGTGGTTTTAAATTTTAAACAGCAATTGTTTGGATCTATTTAACTGAAAATGAACCAAAGAATGTTGCAAACAACTATAATCTTTTAAAGAATTATTCCCAGCAAAATATTTTCTATCGTCGATAATAATTATATTTCAAAAAAATAATTAAAAAGAAAATAATTTCTTGAAAAAATTTCAAGAAATTTAACCATTAATGCATAACATCGAAAATAGCCTAATAATTAATAATAATTAAAATATTTTTATTGAACAATAATAACTTTAAAGTAGTAATTTTGTCATGGTAATTTCAATTATGTAGTAATTTTTTTTCGAATATTAAAGTGGTATTTGAACAAAGGTGGATGTGATCATGTGAGATTTTATCCACCCGTAAAATGTATCTTAGACTTTAGTGCTTAAAGGCAGATTGATTCTTAATATCTTCCACTCTCACTGGCCCTATCTTGCAACCATATAGCAAGATCAAGCGAACTACATTTCCACAGCGGGCACATAAAGTTATAAAAATAGGTATTTTATCAACTTCATATATAAAACGAAAATAAAATAATATTTTACTTATACTGGTTCTGACTACAATTCTCGCTGCATTTGTTGGCTCATTGTTTAGTATTATTTCGTCATAACTGTCAGCAGATAGAACTACATCATCAGCGTATTCAAGACCTATGATACGATGCTCTAGACTGATTAGCTGGCGACTTTCATCAATATTAGAATTAATTAGAAATAAATCATTAATGCAAAATAATTTTATATTTATAAATATTTTATTAATAAAATGAAAAATAATTTTGCAAAAAAATAAATTAATTTAAATGGAGTGGATATAGCAATAGCAATGGATAATTTTCAATCCATTCCATATTACTAAATTGGCCTAAAGGAGAAAACCTGTGCAACAATCCGGGTGATGCGGCTCATCTGTTCTTTTGCTAAGGGATTCCCTGGCATTGTCCAATGCGACAAGCCAGAGCCAGCTGAGCAAGTCTAACCAGTAATGGTTAGGCTCTTTAAAAAATATATCATTTTAGATTAATTTTGATGTATTATTTTTTATAACCGATTTGTCCATTTTTTTATTATATTATTCATAAATATATGATATTTCTAGTCTAACTTTGACTGTTTTCTAAGTAATTAATAAATAAGTTAAATTAACAAAAATAACATTTTAAATATTTGTTTATATTAAATGTTCTAGAAAATCTAGCTGCGACTCTTGAATATTTCCAAATTCTGAATCCACCATCTGATCCCTGTTGACGTAAAATTTAGTAATTTTATCTTATACCTGCTATGAGATAAAATTAGACGCTGAGATGTTATAGTCATGATTAAGGAAAATCGCAGTTTTATAGTTATTTAAAACACAAATTGTTATAAATATAGATCTATTGCCTTCCCAGTGATTCAACGTTTGAACTGAATGCCTTCAATAATGATTCCAGTTGTAAATGAGCGCTTGCTTCTTACTTGAAAACCTTGACACCTTGAAATATATTTAACCGATTTGATCTTATCACTTATCACTTGACACTTGCTTTCACAATATCATAATTTATTATCATTATATTCTACAAGAGGCAGATTAATTAATAAATTAATTCTCCAGCCAATTATTTTCAATTCTGTTATAGGCCTTTTTTAAGTTGCAAATTCGGTCTTTATCATTCGAAGTTAGACAAATTTGCACAGCGTTTACATTAACAAAAACGAGAATAGGAACTCTACAGGAAACTTTTTTTAGATCAAATAGAATTTCAATATTCATTTTATGCGACCTTAAAATATATTAAATTTGTCAAGGTTGATTTTTTTTAAAGAGTCCTCACCATTGCTGGTTAAACATGCTCCACTGGCTTGTCGCATTGGGCAATGTGCCAAGGAGTCTCTTGATGATAGAAATACAGGTGAGTCGCCAGAATCACTCGGATTTTTGTACAGATTTACTCCTGCGAGGAATCGAATCTCAGCATCGGCGCTCCAAATTGAGCAGCAACCCACTAAGCCAATCTTTTTCCATAGCGCCACAATGACATATCCAGTAGGTCTGCTTATATCCCCGTTACCACTGCTATCTGCCGGATATTTGGAAAAAAAGTGTCACTCCCAATTTGCATAAGCATGTTAATTTTCCATGCAATTATGGCCAAATTTTGAGAGATACCTTGGTAGATCTTTCTATTTTGACTCAATAACCCTTTTACCAGGTCCGCTTTTTATTTTTAGCAAGTACCATTTGACTAGGATGTACGTTGAAAAACGTTGACGTTTGTCCTGAGCTTTTTTTCATATCATAATTTTGGCGATAGAAATAAATGTGGATTCGCATTAGCCAAAAAATTCATAGGAGAAAAAAAATATGCAAATAAACAAGTATTTTCATACATAAAATAATATGCAAACGAACAATGCACAGGAAGCGATTGCCGAGTGGTGTGGTTGCTCGGATCTATATCGACCACTGGTGAATCCCTCACCTTGGATTGAGATTACTTAAAAAGTTTCGTGTGGTGCTGCTTCTATCAAATACTACCAGTCGACTAAGCTAGCCTAACAAGAAATGCTATTTATTTACTCCTTCTTTTCCAGTAATATCAAATTCGTGTTCTCTGTTAAAAAGTGGCCATTTCCCAGCTTTTAGCTAATATCCATGATTGCCCTATGGATATACGAATTGCGTTATTTGTTTAAATTTAGTATTGAGTTTTACAAATTGGATTGGTTTTTGTAAAATATGCGAGAATTCGATATTACTGGAAATTTATTTTCTTATTTACTTATTTTAGATTATCTCATTGATGAATTTATTCCTTCGTTTTGTTCACATCTGAAAATAATATAACGAATATTAAAATTAGGGTCATATAATTTTTACCGATAAATCAGATGAATCAGTTAAGGTCGTTGAAATATTTTCTACTGCTTCACCTAAAACTCGATTCCTCTATAAATTATAAATTTCGACTAAAATTATATGATCTCAATTCACTTTAGGTTTCTATTGGTGATTAAATAAGCATTGCATGAATGCAGGAAGTACCATGCTTTGTTTTCAGCTTGAAGGCAAGTAGAATCACAGGATTGCAGACCTATTTGCACGAGTAATAAGTATTTATTTATGTTGTGAATTACAAACAAAATTAGAATTATTTTAAAGTAACAATAATAACTTAACAAATATTAACTTCATAAATAAATTATATGAGTATTCTTAAATTGCAACTATTAACTTGAAATTCGTGGAACTTCTATTGAAATGATTGCTAATCGACGTATCTTTCGGCTATATCGTTCGGTCATTCCATTCCATTATATTTCATTTTTTATTCAACAAGTAGATCGGTAAAGTTAAGTATTTGTAAAAAAAACTATTAATAAAGTTTTGATAATTAAGAAATAATAGATTGATAAAGAATTCCATAGTAAAATTGTGTTATATCAGCACGAATGACACCAAAGACTGATTAGGCTGATTCCGCTAATTATAAGGGTTGGACATCTCCAGCTGATGCCATCGCTGATAGTAATAGAAGCCCTTTTAAAATCTTTCCTGGCTAAACCACTCCAAGTCTTGATTGGTCCACCTCGCTTTTGAGACAAAGGGGTTTAGCAAGTAACGAGATATGCATCAACTCCTGTGGTGAACGACGAAGAACCAGCGAGAAGACGACGCTCTGTGATGTAAGTTTTATATCCATTCCATATTCGCTCGACATGGACGAGAGTGGTCAAAGTCAGAATAACTTTCGGTTAGCGCCGGAGTGGTTCGATTCCACCTTGCGGGTGTCAGGGCAACACCATGGAGTCATTCGGGATGGAGAGATTTATGTTGGGATTAAAAGTATAAAATTTGGAAGGATAGAGAACTTTTCGCATCGTTAATTACAGATAATCTATATTTAATCTAATTTAATTTAGATTATAATCTATATAATTATAATCTATAATAATCTTTAATTAGAAACTTGGGTAGGAACAATTCATATGATAAAAAAACATCGGCCAAACATTAAATTGACCATTAAATAATGATTAAGCTGGGCATTTTCAAACAGTCAGTGTTGCTTTTATCGATGATAGATTTTGAATAGATTTGAATAGATTGCCCCTAGGCAAGCCTAATTGTTTTATCTTTGTACTCTTATGAAATGATATATTATTTGCCAAAGTATTTAGGAAATTTGCTCCATGTCTCATGAATATATTTAAGTTGATCCCATACTGATGTAAATTTCATGCAAATACTAAGTACACTCGCATCAATTAAGCTATAATTTAGTTTTCAACGATCATTAATATTTGTTAAAATAAATAAATATTTAGGGGAAATTTATTTAATGCAATGCCATTCAGCAATACTGAAAAAAAAATATGATAGGGAACAATTCTTTAAAAAATGATAAAAAATTTTATCAGATAATATCCCCTATATAATAAATTTATGGACAACAACTGTTGAATTTTTTTGATCAAAAATCTCTCTTAGAGTGATAAATTATCCCAAATGTGATATACTAAACGTATCAATTTTATTATCATTGACTTTTAACTTTAGTGTAAATTTCTCCTCTCATTTTCTTCGTTTCTTCTCATTTTTCTTATAAAATATTAATTTTTTAATTTTTTAATTTTATTAATTTAAATTTTTATCATTTTTCTTTTTGAAGAAAATATTATTATTAAATTATTTATTAAAATAATTATAATTATTCAATAATTAAATAATTTATTAAGTAATTTATTTTTTCTTGGAAAAAAATTTTCTATTTCTACGTATTTTTATTTTTCTTCAAGAAAAAACTATTTAAATTTTTATTTAAATTGCTGAATTTAATATTCATTTAAAATATTTATTTTAATATTTCATAATAAATATAAATTTTATAATATAAATTTTCAAAAAAAAAATTCAAAAAGCAACAAACTTGATTGAATCTTTTCTAAATAAAAAAAAGAAAATAAAATATCAAAAACAAAAATCTCCACCCTTTCGACTTTTCTCGAATATAAATAAGTAACATTCTAATGACCTTTAATAAATATAATATTTGTGGTTGACCTTTATTTTAGCTTTCAATAGATGTTGAACCTTCTCTGATTTCTCAATTTTTCTTCTTTCACTATACGGTAATCTTCATAATTGCCAAATATAATAAATATGCTTCGCTCTCACCGCCATCACCTATACGATGAGCAAAATCACCAAACGTCGAACACCATACGTACCACTAATACCGATGTCACCACGATCGAATTATATTATTTCATATATTACGTAATATGTTGTTTTTCAGAAAGTAAATCGAAGAATTTTTCATTAATTAAAAATTATTAAAAATGCATTTTAATGCTTTAAAATTTCTAATTATTATTTCAATCTATTTTCATTCGTTAAAAGCTCTTAAAATTTTACCATCGGAATTTATTGGAAAATTTGAACTTGAAAGAGATGAAAATTTTGATGAATATTTAAAAGCTCGTGGTTTGTTTAAATTTCCTAAATAAAAAATAATTTCTTCTAGATTTCTTTCATTTATATTTTAAAAAATTATGATACCTAAAGAATTGCCAAATTGTTAAATTATGGTACTTGAAGAATCGCCAAATTACCAAATTATGGTACTTATGGTACTTGAAGAATCGCCAAATTACCAAATTATGGTACTTATGGTGCTTGAAGAATCGCCAAATTGAATGCTATTTATCATTTTATCCAGTAGTTTACTTATTTGAAAAGAATAAAAATTGGATAATTTTAAGGATATGGATGGTTTATGCGACAAATTATTAAATTAGCTAGTGTTACAAAAATTTTTTCGAATGGTGAAACTATTGGTAGGTATAATATGGAGAATTTAACTTCTAAAAAAGATACACATCATATGAATTGGGCTCTCGGTGAACAATTTCAAGATGAAGCATTGGATAGTACGCAACATTTTGTAAGAGTATTTACATTTTGTACCACTGATAATCATCAGTAGAATTTATAATTTATTCAATTTATTTAAGGTAATTTTTTAGATAACCTTTGATATAATCGATGATCCAATAAGAGGAAAGATTCTCACCGAAAAGCATATTAAAGTCGCAGATACAAATGATGTGGAAACTTATGAATATTCACGTCAAGGTGATTATCTTATCATGGTAAGTATGATATATACTTCCTTTATTTATAGTTTTAAATAGCGAAGAGCCTATTCTAGATAGGTAAATTCTTACCTATTAAACCATCGTATCCTAAAAGAAATTAAATGTACCTAATATCACCAACGAATTTTGGAACGCCGATGTTATTCCTTAGTTTTGTTTCGGGCAGAAGTAAAAAATTCTAGCAACCTGGTAACTTAATTTCCTGGCAAAATTTATCCAAGCACCACTCGCCAGCTGAGCGAATCTAACTACAAATGATGAAAAAATTCTTAAAAAATGATGAAATAATGAAAAAAATGGAAATTATTCTTCATCATTAATTCAATATTATCATAATTATCAATATTTTCATATTATCATATTTTAAGTCGTCTGTTATCCATACCTCTGATTATCTTTTAATGAAATTAGTTTGCTGATAATTTTATCTTCCAATGAAATCTATTGATCTATTAGTCTATTGATACTTTTATCAATTTTAAATAATTTCCCATCCAAAACATCTCGTTGCGCTATTTCTTTTTGCATTCACTGATTTTTTAAGCGGAATTCTTTCATAAGTGGTTTAAATAGTTCGCTCTTTTAAAGAAGCAAAGTTCGCATAAATATAATTATACTAATTTAATTAATTTATTTGCAGAAAATGACATGGAATAACGTATCAACAAATCGTTTTTATAAAAAAATCTAAAAATATGGGAAATTAATCGAATTGAAAATATGGGAAATTAAAATTGAAAATTGAATAAATTTTTATGATTTTTATTATATTTTCTTTTTTATTTATCATTTGTTATTTCATATTTTTTGTGAAAAGAATAATAATAACAATAATATTATTAATATTTATAATAACAATTTAATGATAATAACAATAATAAATCAATTTCATGTCTTTCGATAGGTTTTTTAATTATTAAAATAAAATTTTGTTTTTTCCAAGAAGTTTGTTTTAATTTTTTTCTAAAATTTCATTCATTTAATGCCGCATTTTAATGAAAAAAAACAGAAACAAATTTTCTCTATTTTCTAAGAACGAAAAATATCCCAAAGAAATTTAAAAAACGAATTAAAAAATAAAAAATTAAAAAATTGAAAACATTGTAATTTATTTCTAATGAAACAATTGTATTATGCGAATAATTGATCTATCTGATCCGCCTGACCTGCCTGACCTAGTGGATCCGTCTGACCCATCTGACCTGCTTAGCTTAACTGACCCGGTTAACCCGTCTGAACTGTCTGAATAATTATATTTTTTATGATTTTAAAAGGACGAAGAATTAATATAAATCATCGAATGTTAGAACAACTGTCATTTTATTATTATTTCGTACTAATTCAATTTAAAACAAATGGATGAAAATATTATGCAACGTACAAATAAATGCGAGTTATTATAAACGATATCAAATTTATAGGCAAACACAACAATGTTGCATAAAAATAAGGGAGGGAAATAGCGCAATGGATAATGGCATTGGTACTTACCTGAGTACCTCAAATGCTCTACTAATCAAGTGATCTCCTGGTGAAAATTTCTAATCATATTAAAGCCAGCAAAAGCTAGTCTTAATCAGAACTGATGGATGCTAAACCACTAGTTCAACTATAGAATATCGTATCAAAATAAAGCAAATATTTTAATGATGAAATTATCAAGAAGAAAGTTTTTTTTATAAATTATCAATTTTATCAGTACAAATTATCAATCATGAAATGAAATGACAGTTTGATAGCAAATAGATAGGATGGTTTCTATGCTCCTCGGGCTTCTTTGTTATATTTCAGTTAATAATATCGATAATTATTTCATGCAGCAGACTTTTTCTGGGTTTTTTTATTTACCATTAATGTTTAAACTGGCTCCGCCGGCTTGTTACATTAGACAAATGTACTAGGGAGTCCCTTGGCGATAAAAATGCAGATGGCAAAATGTCAATTTTAGCAATAGAAATAGAGGTGAACTGATATTTTCAAATGTTTTAGCTTTAATTTTAGAGAACATTTTTCAAAAATCCGAGAAGTGCAATTTTAATTATTTCTATTGCTCACCTCTATTTCTATTGCTAAACGACTTCTTGACCTAAAATTGACCTAAAATTTTCTAGTCTAACAAGAACTAGTGGGACGAGCCTAGCCAGGAAATGATATCAAATATGGATAATATTCTATTATCTAATTTCATAATCAAGGAGAATTTTCATTTTTATTTATAGTTAATTTGTCGTTACGTCGTGAAAATTCACTATCATTATTTTTAAAAAGATAATCATCAACAATCGTTGCAAATTGATTCATTGTTAGATAACCTTTCGTATAGGTATCCAATTCTTGAAATATCGAATGAGCTAATTCGTCGGTAAATTCTCCAATTTCTTTCGCTACATACTAAAAATCTTTATTTATAGCTTTTTATTAGATATTGACAAAATAACTCAGTGAGTTGTTGCTTAATTCGAAGAATAGATACTGAAGTTCCCTGCAGGATTAAGAAAACACTACCTAAAAGTCGGGGTGATGCTGGAGACTTATCTGTATATCTATTCCTAAGGGACTTCCTGGCATATTTATCTAGCCCGATAAGCCGGAGGAGCGAGTCTAACTCGATGATGAAGGTTGTTAAAAAAAAAGGAATAAATTGAATACCCTTTAAACCATGAAACTGAAAAGGTAGAAATACGACGTTTTGATCTCTTTTTACCATATTTATATAGAATAAGCTTTAGTCTCTAAGGCATAATGCAAAATTTGCCTTTAAGCCTTTATCCTTTTTTTTTGTTCTTCTAAAGAAGCACTTTTATGGCACTTTTATGCAAATGATAATAGTGCTGATAATGATAATACTATATAGTAATGATATTTACCTTAAATTCGCGCTCTGTTATAACACCATCTCTGTCCAAATCGAATACTTCGAAACATTGCCGAAAAATTTCATCACTATCGCCAGTTAACTTCGTCTGACTTTGAGATTTTTTAATGCAAGCACAAAACTCAGAAAAATCTATTTCACCATTGCCATCCTCATCAACCTGAATAATATTAGTATTCATTGACTTTATTTTAATTTACCTTGAAAAATTTTTATAATTCGCTCGATGATCTCATTTAAGAAACCGATATAAAAGCTATAAAAGTAAGACTTCCTAAGGACTGTATGACTGTTCTATTCCCAAATAATTCTCTGTTGAATGAATTTGGTCCTATTTGATTGGTCCTATTTGATTAGTGAAGCTGCCAAACAATGCCTAAGGAATACTCGCTATTAGAAAATACTCACTATTAGTCACCTTTGATTATAATTTAACGAATAGAGAAAAATTATTTTACCTCTCGAATAAGATCTTCGATTTCACTTTCATTTGCATTTATTCCAACGCTTATCATTGCTTGCTTTAATTCTTTGCTACCAATCGCACCTGATCCATCCGTATCAAACATAGAAAAAATTTGTTTATATTCATCAAGCTCCTCAGATGATAAGAAATTAAGATTCGATGCTTGCAGCGGTTCTTTACGTTCCTTCTTATCCTGAAATTTAATTAGTTTTTAGAGAAAAATTTATTTATTGAAGCATTGGTAAAATTCAGAAAAAAAATGTATAAAAATTGCCGATTTAATATTTATGGTACCATGAAACGCAGTAAGACTTTTTTCTACATAGCCTACATATTATTCTTGTAAAAGTACCACAAAAATTGTTCGCATCGAATTTTTGTTGGAATTGGAATTCGACAGAAATGGTAACCTTAAGTGAGATTTTTGTAACCATTTGATTATTCGTTTGTTCTTGGTTTTTCACTTTCATTGATTCCACTTTGACATTTCTTATTTTTTTAAATCCTTAATTCTTATTTAATATTAATATTTTTATTTTTTTGAATTATTTTAAGTTGTGTTTCTAGGTTGTAATTATTTTTATAATCATAAATTGAAAAATATTACCGGAACTAATTTGTAATTGTTGCTTTTGTTTTTGCATATTCATCATTGTTCATTGTTAATTAGAAAGTAATTGTTAATTAGAAAGTTATAGTGATTTGATAAAATTTTTTTATCACTAAAAACTAATAAATTTCGATAATTTATTAAATGATGTCTGATAAATGATTAATACGATAAATAATAAATAATAAATAATAAATTCGTTATTACATATTCAAGTAAACGAAATAGCTTTTTTTTCTTTTTGAATTTTTATAATTTTAAATTAAAATAAGGACAGAAAAAATTGTAGAGAAAAATGACAAATAAAATGGTTCGAATGAATTTGCGAGATGAATTTAATAATAATTTTCTAACTTATTTATGTTCACATTTATATATCTTCTGCATTTAATTATTTTCATCTTTTTATATCTAAAAATCCATTAGTTTGATTAAATAATGTAAATGTAAATTTGACTTACCATTAGTAATTATCAATTTCAATATTTTTAATATCATCGATAATATCGCCGCTTCATTAATATTTATTTTTCCAAAACCCTAAAAAAATTTGCATAAATCTAGAATTTATATATATATATGTATGTATTTATTATGCAAAAATTCCATTAATTAATTCCATTAACATATTATATCGATAACAAATTTACCATTAATAATTGATTTTATTGAAATTTCAATCATTTATCATTTTATCACTTAACTTTGACCATTTATTTATATAAATTTCAGTAATAAGTTTACCATTAATAGTTAATTTTATCAAATTTTAATTTCAAATTTTCATCATTTTATCACTTAATTTTATCATTTATTTATATAAGCGATTAATGATTAATAATTAATAAAATAGAAGAAAGAATTAGTAAAATAAAATTTTATTTTTAAAAAAAAAATTAAAAAATTTTTTTAAAATCGAAATTTTTAAATTTTTTTTTAAATAAAAATTTATTCTATTTATTTCAATAAATTTAAAAGAAAATTCATAAATGCAAATGATTTAGTAAGCTTATGTGATTTCACTTATTCTTCATTCATTTCTCTTTGAATTTAAATGTTTTAGAATTAGCTAATGAACAAAGCACGCGAATTGCCTTAAGAACTTTCATTATATTTTGGTAGCTTTTTGGCAGTTTTAAGATTCGATGAACCGTTCGTTATTCAGCAATTCCACTATAGGCGATAAAAAAACTTAAATTTTTTCAAGACTTTTTACTATGACATTAAATGAATTACAATTTTTCAAATTATATAATTTTATATAAATAATATAAATAATATAATTTTTCAAAAGAAAACGAAAAAAAAAATCCATTAATTTTTTTTTACACTTTCGGTATTCGGTGACAAATTTACTGATAATTTGTTATTTATTCTTCTCTGCATTTTTTTAGTCGTATAGTTCAATTTTGGACATCTATTTCGATATCCAAAATATTGAGACGATTAAAAGTATGTTTCGAATCGGACTCGGTTAGAATGTTGCGCATTGCACTCTATTTAGCAAAAGAGAGACAAAAACATCTGATAAGATGATTCCTTGATAGTTGGCGGTATCATATCACCTCTTTCCTAGCAGTTAGATTGTTATTAAGTTCAAGAAAATTAGAGAATTGTTCAGTATTTCATATTTGTTCCTTCACCTACAGTAATTAGTGTAATTTTTGCAAGTATTTTATGGAGAAGACTGAGTAATATTCGAATTTTCCAGGGATTTTATTGGATCTAAGCTTATAAATTACATTGAAATAAACTATAGAGATCTCTTGCTTGCTTGATACCTTACAATTATATTCCAGTCATATCGGATATGCTCGACTGCTCTTCTTAGCTAAATTTAGATTCGAAGAACTCTCTCCATCCAATGAGACATACTGCGGGTGACTCGCCTATCACCTTTTGTCACCAAGAGGCCCTCGATAAAGTTTTTCTCGACCAAATAATTCAACGAAGTGAGTTTAAAAGAACGGTGAGCCTCTGCAAAAAATAAAAGTAAAAGATCACATAGAATGGCGATATACATATATATATATATATTTGTTGCCATTTTTTATATAAATTTTTCGATTTCGATTGAATAAGCCATAGCCGATTTCCATTTTAAAAAAAATTTTGGCAACCAATTTCACTAATAATATTCATGATTTATTTCAAAGCGGACGAATTTTAAAGAATTTTTGATTAAAAAATGAAAACAGTGAAATAATTTTGGAAATGACAATAGGCTTAAAAGCGATAATTTCAGCTGTAAAGCTGAAACTTCCCAGTTTTTATTTTATTTAGGTTGTGGCCCAAGATGCGTTTGATGTAGCTTTAAAATCACTGGTACTTCTATTTAAGTATTTCAATTGACGAAATTCATCTCAGTAATTATAGCTTAAATAGAATGAACAGAGGACTTTTTTCTTTCAAATCTCTCACCATAACTGGCTTATCCAACTAGACAAGTATGTCAAGGAGTCCTTTGAATAAAAAAACGCAGGTGAGTCGCTAGCATAATCAGGATTTTTTGTACGGATTCATCCTGTAGAGTATTAGGTAAAGCATTACCGATCATTTCAAGCAGATATATTTTAAAAAAATATGTCGTTGAGAAATTAAAAAAATACGCATAAATATGAGAATTATACAAAAACCACTAAAATAGATAATTTCAAAGGTTAAAGGTGAATTTTTAGTGTTTAAAAATAATATTTTATATAGCATTAGCTGTGCGATCGATTTTTAATCAAAAATTTGTTATATAAATTTCTATTTTTATTAAAAAAAAAGAGAAGCAATTTTTTGAATTGAAATTGAAAAGAAATTCTAAAACGTAGATTTTATTTACTAATGGTTTTCATATATATTGTTCACTGATCAATTTTCTAAGTACAAAAGCTGAATAAATCTCAAATAATTGTTGAAAATTGTTCGATGAACTCAATGAACATTCTCGTATGATTTCGTTATGATTTGCTTACTTCCTTATTTTAGCTATTTTCATTTTCATTTGTCAAATTATTGGCAAAATTTCATTTAACGATAGAAATAAAAATTATTCATATGCATATCAAATATTTTTTCAGAAAAAAATTTTTTTTTAAGAATCCCCACAATAAAAATACAGGTGAGTCGCCAGCATCACCCGGATTTTTGTACGCTTTTATTTCGGGGAATCGAACCCCACCATCTACGCTCCGAATTAAACAACAACCCACTGAGCCATTCTATCTCCTAGCAGAAAATATACATTTCATACATCGAAAACATTAGTGCTATCGATGTTGGTGAACGATGAATGCAGAAAGCGGTCGAACTCGCTTTTTTGTCTAATTAGCTTCTTTCATTTTGAGGCATATTTTGAGTTAAACTGTTGAAATTGCTGAAAGTGGCTGAATTGATATTTCGAATTCGAATTTTTGATTTTTTTCTTTTTGTAATTTGCAATCTCAACAGAAAATTTTGCTTTCAGTGACTTTAGTTGACTAATGTCTTTACTTCAAGTAAATATGGCTTGTGAATAAAAATATTTTGAGAATAGGGAGAATCAGGTGAACACTATCGATATCAATGGAAGCAAATTTTTAATAAATATTTTTTATTATATTTTATTATATTTTTTTATTATATTATATTTTATAAATATTATATTTTTAGCATAAAACATAAATATAAGCAGGTTTTACAGAAAAAATATTTCTAGCAATGCACCTTTGCACCTTGGTGAATCGGTGGATCAGTGGAAAGATATTGTTGAGGTTTAAATTTGAATCTACCGATCACTCTTGCATCACTCTTCATCAGTCAGCGGCAATTTAGCCTAGCGGAAAAAAATGAAGTAGAGGTAAATAAAAATGAAGTAAATGAAGTAAAAATGAAGTAAAAAGACTCAGTGGGTTTAGCTCAATTCGGAGCACTGACATTCTATTTCTAGCAAAAAACTTGCCTTTCAAAGATCCGAGTCATGCTGGCTACCTATATTTCTATCGCAAAGGAATTGCCTGGCATATTTGTCTAATGCGACAAGTCGGAGAAGCGAGCATAACCAATGAAGATGAGTGCTCTTTAAAAAAAGATTACTAAAATTATTCGCGTCTAATTTATAAATTTATATTAAATTTATATTAATATCCTACCTCTTTTTTATAAAAGGTGATCAAGATCAAATACCGCTAATTACTATCCATACCCTTATCCACGTTGGGGATAAAATGGCTCAGTGGGTTGTTGCTCAATTCTGAATGCTGATGCTAAGATTCTATTCCTCGCAGGAGTAAAAATCTAGATTATGGTGACGACTCACTTGTTTCTATCGCCGAGGGACTCATTCTCATATTTATACAGTGAGATAAGCCAATGGAGCGAGTTTAACTAGTAATGATAAGCTTAACTCTTTTTTGATAATATATACCCATACCGACGTTACCTAGCAAACCTTAATGTGTAACGTTGTTGCTTGTAGAAAGCTAGGCTTATTTATAAAAAACTATGATTTAATTCAAACAACATACCTCCCTAAAGAAAAGATCCGCCGCAAAATCTTAGCAAACTTTGATGTTTAATCGTTATCAGTTGATCATGGATAAGATGTGCTAGAAATCTTATTTAAATCTTATTTAATATTATTAAAAACTAAAAGGCTTTTTTTCGATACCTTTATGGTATCATCGCGAAATCTCTATAAAAACAAAAGCCCGCATTGATACAGTCACAGTTCGCTCGATTTTGCTATGTGGCTGTTAGACATTGCCATGGCTATTAAGAAGCTATCTACCTTTGAGCACTAATATGCTAAGGAGCCAAGATAAAATAGCAATTGATTGCATCCACCCTCGCTTAAATTCCACTTGCATTATCCAGTACTATCACAGAACTCTTCACTGGTTAGAGCACATTTTTCGTCAATCACCACAAAAGTTGATATGCATTTCGTTAAACTCTTGCTAAGCTATATGACTGATGGCGTTAAAAGCGAGGTAGTGCAATCAAGACCTGGACTGACATAGTGAGGAAAGAATTTGAATATATAAGTGGACCAGCGATATATGGACTTAGACGATGGAAAAAGGAATGGTTTCTATTGTTATCAATAATGAATCTTTGTAGCCAGCGAAGCCAGCTAAACAGTAATGGTAAGAGTTGGTAGAAGAAGAAGATCATGGATATTCTTACATTTATTATCATCATTTAGCAAGGGATAATGATACAACCTAATACTATAAACTATCAGTTGGTATTACCGGTTGACATTTCCTTCTATTTAACTGTATTTCTGGTTATTTTAATGGCCCAGCTCAAAATTTTCTTATTTTTTAGTTGTATCAGATTTCCATCAAAGTGGTTACGTTAGTACATTATGTTTGTGCTCCGCATATATTTTGAAAGATGTTATTTCCAATGATACTACATTTTTTTGCATTGATGACTGTAAAATATCCAAATGAAAGGAACTTATCCATGATACAAATTAATTTAAATAGTATAAGAAAGTATTTGCAGAGGAAGCAAATGAAATATTCCATTAATAAATGCAAAATTCTACATAATTATTTAAAATTTAAAATTCTCTAAACTATTTCTCAGTTTCAGTAATATTGATAATAATAATGATATATTAAATAATATTAGAGAATGTGGTTTAAAAATCTAAAATTTAACCGCCATAATAGAATACACACCATTCTAAAATATTAAATTCTTTATTCGAAACTGTTAATATAAATATAAGTCTGAAATTATTAGTTAGTTAAGTCTATTCTTATTTCCTAGGCTTAATAAGAACAATTGTTGAAACAAAAAAGGCATGGTTGTTATTATAGGTTTGTGATCCACAAATTGTTACTTTTCATTGAATCCTATTCTTGATAATTTTGTTGATGATAAAAGATTTTTTTCGTATTAACAAATCAGTGGCAAAAATGAGGAATAAAAAATTTGTTTAAAAGGTTTATTTATGCTAATTCTTAAAAATAAATATATAAAATATGTATAAAATAAGACTGGAAAATGCATGTAATCTTTGTACCCAACAATTCCTATAGCTCTGAATATTTCACTTAAAAATACCCGACAATTCCTATAGTTCTAAATATTTCTCAAAAATACCCAACAATTTCTATAGCTCTAAAAATTTTATTCATAAATACTCGGCATTCCTATAGTTCTGAACATTGCACTCAAAATTTTTTAATTTTATTTCGCTATTGCTGAAAAATTGGAATGACTCAGAGAAAAGCTATTGCTCTGTTCTTGGAGAGCAAATGCTGAGTTCTTCTGCACGCACTTTAATCCCTAAATGACTCCCTTGTAAGATTTTCTTAATCCAGCGAAACGAACCCGACTAGAAATAATAATAAGAGCTTCTAAAAAAAAATTAGAGATTTTGAAAGCATAAGCATCGGCTTAGCGATAAAAACGACGGTGAAAGAAGTGAGGACATTGATCTTGGTGCTGGATTAAGACGCTTGTAGCGTTAACGTATGCTGCTAGAAAAAGAAGATAATTATCTCCATTTGAGCAACCATACAATAACTAGGACCATAATAAATATTTTCTAAAATATTGAAAATTTATGAGATTTTCATGCAAGAAAAACACTGGTAAGGAAAATTTAAGGAAAATGCAAAAATAAGGAAAATTCTTGAGTGGCTCACCCTCGTTGATTTTACCTGGTCTATAAACGTTTAAAACCGTTGTTTTGCGCAGCAATTCCAAGAAAAAATTTTTAAAAAAAATTACAAAAGTATAGAAATCATCATTACTGGTTACTGGACTCGCCCGTTGGGAAGTACCTTAGTGATAGAAATAGGGTGTGGGTAATAGAATCTCAGCATCGGCGCTTTTCACGAACTGAGCAACACCCCACTAAGCCATTCTATTCCTTATAGAAAATATAAATTAATAGAAAATGGAAATCATAATAATAATAATAATGATAAAATAATAATAATGATGATAATAAATAATGACATTCTTCAAGTATTTCGCTTGTCCTTCAACTCCTTTCGAACTACTACCATCGACCATCAAAAGCATTCATAATGACAATCGTATTGACAATCCATGTGCTATATTTTTAGATGATCTAGACTTTCAATTAATCTGCCCATTCGTGACAGCCCTATCGAAAAAATTGAAAGAAAAGAGGAAATGGACTTAAAAACCGAATCCTTTATTTAACGAAAAACCAAAACGAGAAATGGTGTAAATAAAAATTGGATTCAGATTCAAACCTGAGAACTTCCTAGAATTTTTTGTCCAAATAATACAACTAATTCTATATTTAATTATAAAATAATTTCAAGAAATACGATAATATTTGTTTCATTTATGATGATTTTCTTCTTGAATATCTTTTTTGTTGCAATTTATAGCAAAACTACAGGTTCAATTGGATATTCTTATATTCCATAGGATTGTGGTTCTCGTTAAATGCCGAACTTATTCTATACTAAAAGAGAATCCAAGGATCCAAATGATCCAAGTAAGTCTAAGTTTAAAATCTTATACAATATTTTAAGTAAATCCCTAACAACCATTTTAATAGAAAAAAAATTAAATTCTACAGATAAATTCTAAAAAATTATTGGCCGATAATAGATAAAAAAATTCGGGCTGGTTTGATGACAGTAAATGAGTAGCATTTCGGTTGGCAACAAATATCTCTTTCAACCCTACAGATCTTCCTCATCAATAATTCAGTGATCAATAATTCTATAATTCGATAATTTCCCTCAGGCAATCTCATTCCTCTAAGTAATTTGCCTATCATAATCTATAACTATGTATGTCATTTTTGATCTCAATTAAATGATACCGCACGTGGTATCATTTCGTTTAAGATATGAATGATTCTTCTTTTTGAAGAAATGTTTGATTTGCAGTCGAATCTGTTGTAAGATCAGGCGTAACAATTATTAAATTTGAGATTCAGTAAACAATGGTTTAATTTTTTATCATATCAAATAAACAATTCTGATCACTATTCAATTCAAATCACTGTTCAGTTTTACGGTTCCATTTGTCACGTAAAAATTCGTTTATAAAGATTCGAAATAATCATCGAAAGCGAATAATTAACTTAGATTATTCGTGATGAGATATTATTGTTCGTTATTTCAGCTTCTTCTTTTTATTAATATAGGTGAATTTATAGAGAATTATAATAAATTTTATAAAAATATATAGTGAATTTTACTTATATTGAATGCTGATATTTTAAATTATATTTGTTAATAAAAAAAATTTTGCTAATTTAATAATTTTCAGATCACTTCTTCGCTTTAGCGTATATCGCACCAAATGTGGTCAGAAAACAGGGTTTTTATCCAGTTGTAATAACTGGTTATAACGATCAAACACCTAGTAATAATCCATTATCGAATGATGATCCGAAAATAAGCGGTTACAATATTCGAACTTATCATTACAAACAGCCTAATTATCCATCTGCAGCGAATTATAATCCAAATCCAGGTTTCGCACGGTTAATAAGGCAACATCATTATGTCGTTCCTAGTATTCCACTCGGTCCTATATATCCGTATAGAGTTTTTATTCCAAACTATTCCTCATTTAATCGTCAACCTCCGGTGATCGTTCAAGAGAGAAATTTCCACAATCCAACTGGTTTTAATCAAATGATTCCAAATGATGGAAATAAAAATCCGGAAAGCAACGCAAATAATGCGCACCAAACTATACCAGTTGATAACAACCAGAAACCGAATAATAATAATTTATCTGATAAACCACTGGGCGAGCAAAAAATGCCTGAAAATATCGTTCGAAAAGAGCATAATGATAACACTTGCCAAGATTCCAAGATTACGGAAGAGGAACGTGAGGAAATACTCCAATTACACAACAAATACCGATCCGATTTGGCTAATGGTCGTGTTAGAAATAAAATTCAACAAATGCCTAACAGTGGCAATATTCGAAAGCTTGTTAGTGCCCATTTTTTGATTTGAAAAGTCACAATGGCTAGTAACTTCATTAATTTCCTCCTTCTTATAGTATTTCTCGTTTGACTGGTTGTATTGGCTATTCCACTGTTGGTCATTTATGCATCGATAGGCTATCAGTGTCACTCGAAATTAAATTATTGTTAGCTAGTATTGTTCTAGTATTGTTTTATGTTATAGGAATGGGATTGCAATTTACAAAAAACAGCCCAACAATGGGTCGAATACTGTCAGTGGAAACATTCGCCCAAACCATTCCGCAATTTCGCTGGTGAAAATCTTTACAAATATGAATTGGATGCTTCAATCAATCGAAGTATAAATGGATTTTTTAATCATTTTTCAATTTTTTAAAAAAATTTTCTAATTTTTTTTTGATAATTTATGCTATTTTTTTTTTGATAATTTATCAGATTTTATAAATTTTGCAAGTAAATCAGTTAAATAATTCGTTAATTATTATAGATGGTCATATGAAATTGGCTGCAGACGCTTGGTGGAATGAAGTTCATATAATGAACACTACAAATCAATTCAACAAAGAAGCTCGAAAAGTAGGAATGATTGGACATTTTACTCAGGTAATATTTTTTAGTCGAAAATATAAATAGTACCACAAGTTATAGTGGAAAGTTTTCCTAATACGGCATGTAGAAGAAAAAATAGTGGTACCACAGGCAATCTAAATTTAGAAACATCGTACTGCATAAATTAAAAATTGAAAAATTTTTAGATGGCTTGGGCAGGAAGTTATAAAATCGGTTGTGGACTTGCTTTTTGTCGTGGTGATGTACATGCAAATATGTTATATATTGCATGTCACTATAATCCAGCGTAAGTTGTCCTTTTATTTTTTTGATAATTTTTTTTTTTGAAAACATTTTCTTGATATTTTGGATAAATTAACTGAATTGCAGAGGAAATATGCTAGAGAAAGAAATTTATGAAATTGGTACTCCTTGCTCGAAATGCATACAAAGCTATAAAAGCAATATTTGCGAAAATGGTCTGTGTGTCGGTGATGAATTAGGTAATTTAGCGATTTTTTTAAAATTCAAAATTAGAACAACTTTTAATCAGAAGATTTAGGTGTACCGAAAGCAAACAATATTGAAAGACCTATAATTACTTCTGATACATCAAAAACCATGCAAAATATGCCTCAGAGTGGTGATAACAACTTGAAAAAGACCAATACACCAGAAATAGTTAGAAATGGCCTATCAAATGATAAGATGAATCCATATCAGAATTCATATCAGAATTTAAACAGAATTAATCAGAATGAATTAACTAATAGAAATGTACAAAATTACAACAACGAAAAAACTACTAGCAGAATGATGGACTTAGAAACAACTAAAGCACCTGATACATCTGGCGAAAACGTATCAAACATATCAACTGATAAGCGAAAATCCACCGAAAATATTCAAAAAGAGACGAATACAAACAGATGTGAAGGCTCAAAAATTACTGATGATGAACGAATAGAAACACTGAACTTACATAACAAATACCGATCCAACTTGGCGAGTGGCGCAGTTAGAAATAAAATTCAACAAATGCCTGAAGGAAGCAATATCCGTAAACTGGTTGGCGATAAATCTTTTCAATTAGAAATTATTTAATTATTTAAAATAATTTTTAAAAAATTATTCAGCAATTTTTTTCTTCCAATCGGTCGATTTTTATAGCTTTTATAGGTAATTTACAAATTCAATTTATTATTTTTATTTAAAATTACATTTAGACCGGTTGAGTTAATTTAATTTATAAATGTTTATATCAATTTGATTTATGGCAATAAATTAATAAATTTAGAATAAACCATCGATTCTGTCCATTGATGGTGGTAAAGTTTTCGTGAAGAATAAAATATTGATGGGGACTCACCTTCATTCCCATCCCCCCGCGGTTGTTCTAATTTCAATATAACCAGAATAGAACCAAAGTAGAGTCAGAAACCCGAAATGGTACCGCGCATTGTAAGAAAATGTTGATTGAAAAACATTTCATAATACTCTAAATGATTTTCTCAGAGAGAGGATAAAAATATAGATAAGCTTTAGCACCATGCGGATTTTTTAAATGACAAGTTTAGTCCTATAAAATCCAAACGAAGAAGACGGATAGAATCGATTTAAGCAAATACATTAGACGAATTTGCTCATATAACGAGGAATAATCTTTAGCACCTTATAACTAAGATACCAAAAACCACTGATAGTATTATTCCAGCATTAATATATTACCTAGGAATGGGATTGTAACCTGGAAAAATCGGCACAGAAATGGGCTAAAAATTGTACTTGGAAGCATTCCACTGGAGGCGAAAATCTTTATAAACATTGGCAATATGTAAATTTCAGCCGAAGTAATGCTTTTTTCCTCAATTTCCTCAATTTATTTCGTATTTTATATTTAAAAAAAAATATTCTAATCTATAGACGGTCATATGGTAAGGGCAACGACTGCTTGGTGGGAGGAAGTCGAATTAATGGTAACAACCATTCAGTTCAATAAGGAGGCTCGAAAAGTTGGCAAAATCGGTCATTTCACTCAGGTTAGTTATTTAAAAAATTCAAAGTCAAATACTTAATATTACATTTATATTATATTTAAATCAACAGAAAACTAAGAAAGAAATTATTAGTTGATTGATAAAAAAATAAAAATGGTGCCATGGTTTCATGCTTGGTGAACGTAAATACACCATGATGCATCTGATATTCATTTGTTTTTAAGAAATTAGGCTTCGATTCTTCGAATTCGCCTTAATAAACCAGATAATTGTTGTAAGATATCTAAAATATCGCTATTTGTAGATGGCATGGGCAGAAACATATAAACTCGGTTGTGGGCTTAATTTTTGTGTTAGCCCACTCACAGCCAAGGATCTATACGAATTAAAAATGAGTCAACCTTACGGAATGATAGAGCAATATACTCAGAAGCACTGGATTTATGTTGTATGCCATTACAGTCCACCGTAAGTTAATTTTTGATAAAAGTTGACGCGACTCAAATTTTATACTCTATTTTATTATAGCGGAAATGTAATGGAACGAAAAATATATGAAGAAGGAGCTCATTGTTCGAAATGTCAATCACGGTACAATACTTCAAAATGCGAAGACAATATGTGTATTGGAGGCGAAGAAGGTAATTATTAGTGATAAGCCGAAGAAACCAATGGAATTCCAAATTTTTTTATCTCCTTTTATCAACTTAATATTTAATATAAGAATATAAGATTAATTTAAGATTAATTTTGATAAATGGCGATTCCTTTTTTTACGATATCCAAGTTTTTGGTATAATTTACTCCAAGATTACTAAATCGCCTTCTTTTCGCTTGATGAATCGCATGGGAATAGAACTGCAGTTAGATCTCTAGCACCAAGATGGCTTTATTTTTAATGAGATTTCCTCCTACCAGGAAGAAATCTATCAGGAAGAGATAAAAATCAAAAACCATTGTGGTTGGTCTCACTGGAAATAATACTCGATCATAATTCGTTTATGGCCCAGTGGATCCGTTTGTGAATCGAGTGGCAAGAAACTGTCGTCGAGAATCCACAAATGCACCATTCTTTGTCGGGCGGCATTATTGCCTAACAGAAAAACAAAGGCAAGTGGAAATGTTAGTGGGTTATTACTCAGTTCGGAAATATGGTCCTACTCACGACAGGATTAAACTTGTATAAAAATCTGGCTAATGCTGGCGACTCATTTGCAGTTCTATCGCCAATGGACTCTATTGTCTAACGCGACAAGCCAGCTGAGCGAGTCTAACCAATAATGATGAGTTCTCTTACTACTACTAATGGTATTACTACTACTATTATTATAGTCAATCTTTACGTAGAATTTTGAACATTTTGAACATATTTATTTATATCAAATAAGTTATAGTCGCAAACTTTTCAAACAAACTGAATGCATTTTACTTTTCAGAAGCTGATTATTCGGATACATGCGAGGACTTCTTTGGTGATTGCAGCGGTGCGCGATACGCATTTCCATGTGATTCAGAAAGAATGAAGAAAAAGTGTAGCAAAACCTGCGGATACACTAAAAAATTTAGACATTGTGCAAATTAAGAAATCTCTAAAGAATCCCAATGAAAATTTGGGAAAAATTCTTGAATTTTATTAAATTATTGTTCTATTTCTTTAGGTTATAAGAATGGAAATATATATAATAATTGCTAATAATAAGTGAATAAATAAACAAAAATAAAATTTTGAAATAAAAATAATTAAGCGATTTTTATAATTTGCATTATAGAAGTACCATAAAGAATTTCAATAATTATTAAATGCACGTTTATCGGTTGTCGCTCAATTCGAAGCGCCGATACTAAAGTTAAACTCCCTGCAAACGTCCTAAAATCCGAATGATACAGGCGATATATATGTTTCTATTGCTAGGGGCCTCCTTGGGCATATTTGCCTAGGGCAAACCAGCAGAAATCTAAATATTATACAAGTTCAAATAAAAAAAGACAAGCAAAATTTTTGTATGCTCGATAGAAACGAAAGAATATTGGGGAAATGAAATAAACTGATAAATTTAATCAGAAATTTATAAAAATCTTAATAAATGATTTTATTGAGCTTGAAATTTCTATTAGATTGATATTCATAAGAGTTTTTAATTTCGACAATGGAAAATTAGCGGAAATATGCTAGGCAAGAAAAATGGCCAATAAAAATTGAAGAAGGATCTTTAATTTATCTTTAATCTTTAATCAGATCTTCACAAGTGAAATTTTAAGCGACTGCCAAACGGATGAAACCTCATGTAACTGCATATAAGCTCCATTCCAATATGAGGCTTTCTCTTGTCACTGGCAGCATCTCGACTTCGGATTTTAGCCGACCCCAGCAAATTGAAATCGGCCAGAAGAAGGTTCTGAACGCATTTAGAAGAATGACTAAATAAATGCCAATAACCAACCGTTTAAACAGTTTCTAATAGTGATAAAAAGCTAATAATGATATATTTTTAAAAAAAAATTTACATTTTCATTAAGAAGAACTGAATATAAACTTGATTTACTTCTCATTAGCACCGACTAAGATCATTTTTTGAACGATTCGCAACATTTGCTGGTTACACCCGCACCACTGGCTATAAAAATAAGGTGACTAAACTTACTTATGGTAGTAGATCATTGATTGATTGAGCCATATGATAAAAAATTTTATTTGAAGATATTTTTTGAGAAAGAAATAACAGTGAACAGTGATTGCAAAAGTTAAATGGATTTCAAGTTATTAACACATATCACTGATCACCATATCACTGATATTACTTACTGATTACTTATAAGTGTAATTAGAAAAAGTGATTTGTATTTATTTCTTATATATTTCATAAACATATGAAGCAAAATATGAAAATGAGAAATATTATATAGAAAATAGAGGAATGTTCTCATTGCTATGAACCAGTTTGGAATGGTTCCACTCACTATTATTGCAGGCTTTTTTCCATTACGTTATCCTTTTTAGCAGGTGCAGGTTCAGGTTACGAGCATTGCTGCTGAATGAAGTTTTGAATATTACAAAAAATATTGAAAAATTATTCGCTCGTTATCAATAGTGAAAATTAGCATAAATTTCAGACAAATCTCTTATTGTTCATAATTTTTATTACGATTCATTAATATTTTAAAAATAATTTATAAAATTTATGTATAATTTCATCCAAAAAAATAAGCCAAACAGCTCTGATTACTTATCTTGATTGGTGTTATCACTTCATTGATAATAGCAAATCAAATCAAAAATAATCTTCAATATCGAACAAAAAATATATTATTTGTAAAAAAAATTCTAAAGAATTGAATAAAACTGAAAAATTAAAGCCTGGAATTTTTAAGTCGAGAAAGTTTCCGCAAATAAATATTTTTAAATGATAATCATTAAAGAGAATATAAATATAAATTTGATCACCCATTCCCTTCCCCCTCTCCCACTACTGTTTTTACAAGAAAAAAATAAATTCTACCTAAAAATAAATGATTTCTATACAACTCTTCATCATGATAAACCCTTATACACTCTTATTATTGGAGACTTCAATTTCTTCATCTTGGTGCTAACAAAGGTGAAAATCTATGGTGAATCGTCTGTATAATTTGTAAATTTTATGTGGCACTCTTAGTCCCTGATTTATGCCATAAATAATAGAGGACTGGTAAAATGACTTCAAGGTTTCAGGATTTCAGTAAACTACTCATATCTAAGATATATTTTACGAGATCATCGAGTGGACAAAATCCTTACATTATTACATTCTATTACTTTTAGGGATGTATAGCAATCGAACAGATTGGAAAAACCCTACTCTTATAGCCAGCGCAGCCAGCCTAACTGACTATATGCTTATGGAGCTTTGGCATGTGCGAAATTGCTCTATCCGTTTTTACTGCGTGAAAGTACAATGACTGCAAGGGAACTTCTTGGTCATTAATGTTTACAATCCTATTTAATGCGCAAATGATAGTGATAAAAATAATTTCAATAGAGGATTTCAGATGATAACAGAAATGTAATATGGAGTTTGGAATGTTACGATATTATCATAGTAGGTTCCGCAACAAATGTTGGTGGGAAGGATCTGATGCACCAATAGAGAGAGTCTCCTACGTTTTGTCGAGAAGCTTGGACTTTCCACCACTAATACATGTTTTCAATAAAGCAAAACATGAAAATAGCGAAAACAAATAAATAATTATGGAAAAAACATTAAAGCCAGTGGCATATAAGCCTTAACTGCAATCCTCTATTTTTCACTAAACGAAAAAGTTCTCTGGTTTCCTCATCATTTTCTGCTAAAGCAGTTTCACAAAAAACAAATCGTTTCAGAGAAGGAAGTTGGAAAATGCTTGTAATGTCCTTCACCGAAGCTACAAGCGTACGAGCGATAGATAAATATTCGAGTTTTTTTAGTACATATAAACCATGCAATCTGCAATAAATGAATTTTTAGTTTTCCTGAAAATTTTTAAACACAAAAATATCCTCAAAATACATTAAACTGAAATAGAACATAGTCCAAATGTATACAATGTACCTTATATCTTATTTATTAGCTATAAATTGATATAATAAAAATATTGACTTTTTCTTGTTAAAATTTTAAAATAATAATTATAATGAATTAAGGTAAAAAATACCGTTGCACCGGATTATCATCGATGACTAAATGAGTTAGAAATCCAAAGAAACATGTAAACGACAAGTCGCATAGAAGGTTAGAACTTAAATCCAAATTCCTGATAAATCCACCAATAAATTTTAGATGACTAAGGCTGCAACATTTTTCTTTAACTCATAAGCCGCATTATTATTACAAAATTAATTATAAATTCATTATTCCACTTTTTACCATATAATTTTCTTAAATTTTTTTTAATTTGTTAAATTCAACATATATTACCTCTAAACAAAAAAAAAGTCTAATAAAATACAATATATAATTTTTTTTAAGAGTATTATTATTATTATTTTATCGAATTCTAGTTAAGATAATGAAAGAATTTTTAAAAAAAACCTTTTCAAAGACATATTTACAAATCGATGGCAATGTTCTGTGCGCTCTTTTGCGATTATATCGTCAATTAAACGAATTCCGTTCGAAGAAAACCTGCGCAAAAATTCATTAACTCTCAAGATTTCAGCAAGATCGTCATACATTTTATGATGCATAGTGTCCAGACTATTACCAAGAAGATTTAAATTTGATAGGATTTCATTGTGATTCGTGATGTGATCTAATTCTTTAAGACAATGCACGCAAGTATAGATTGGCCACTAAATTTACGATAATTAAAGAATGCAATAATAAAAATTCAAAGAACATAATGAGACAATAAAATTATCTGTAACTCATAAAAAATATGATCTGATAGCATTTCCAGGATTCTCAGCTTAATATAAATTCATAATTATAAAAGTAGTGACAAAAAACAAGAATACATATTAAGTGGCAAATCCAAATTCTAAAAATATGATATTTAATGAAAATATTTAAAAACTAACTTTAGCCATTTTTAAATGTTCTTCAGGGGATAGTTCCTTCAACAATTCTTTACAGCTGCTCAAAATATCTTCAAGCATAAATCTACGAGCATCGCTTAATATAGGCGCTTCAATTTCATATTTACGATAGATAGCATTTGTATTAACATAATTCTTTTGTATTGAAATATTGAAAAAATCTTCATCAATAGAATTCCGTATCCTAAGAATGCTCGGTTTCGAGTGGAAATCAATCCGAAAAATGTATGCACATTTGGAATTTGGATAAATTGAAACCTAAAAAAAATTTTTTTCAGAACAAAAATTATTTTATAAATGCATAAATATGCATTTATGCTAAGATAAGACAGTTTATCAGTGCTAAACTATTTCATATTGGTAAAGCAAAAATTAAAAAATAATATAAACTAATGTATATTTGCACTCATCATTTGAGAACCAATGTATATTTGCACTCATCATTTGAGAAATGAATATATACTGAAATCAAATTCACTAAAGTATGCAGTCTTTTAAGCCCATTTTGAATTGAACATGGCACTCTTATCAACTAAGATGAACATAAGAAGAAGATTATCGAAAGCAGTGCATGCATTGCGGTACTAGTAAGATTAATCCTACCCCTATAAAACATAAATGTAACATTTTAAAATCTTCTCCAGTATTTAAGAAAATGTAACCGGAAATAATTCAAATTGGCAACCATCATCGCAATTAAAATCAATCAGATTCATAACTTGTTCAGCATTTACTGCCTGAGTCAGAGTACAAATAGCAGAACAATTTCCATCATTACTATCAAATACTAAGTTCATTATTTCGCAAGCACCTTAAAAATAAATAATTATTTTATAAATAATTTTAAAAAATAAATAAATAATTAATCGGTTAAATAATTTTTTTTTTGTAATTATTTTTTAATAGTACAATAGTATGTTCAAAATTTTATTTGTTATTTTTTTGCACATTCTCCCGCTCAGTGGCAAACTGAGAGCAAAATGAGAATCCTTAAATTAAGATTAATATGATTAAAATAAAATCCAATCAATTTCCTGGAATTTAAACTCTCAAAAAAAGCAAAAAAAATATATTAAAGAAAAGATATTGATAAAAAATAATATAAATAAATAAAATAAAAGAAGAAAATACTGACCTTGAATCTTATTACTTGAAGACAGCCATTCAGCGTAAATCCACGAACTCTGGTCTTCTGGATCAGTGAAAAATGCATTCTTTAACCGCTGCAACAAAAAAAAGGCAATGCAATATTAAGAACTAAATTAAATTATAGATTTAGCAAAATATCCGAAAAAATATGAAAATTACTTTGATTTCGTCAAGAACAATATCTTCTCTTAAGCGTAAATCACCACTTGAATGAAATAAATCCGGCAAAATAGATGAGCGATAATGCCAAGCTGAATAATTGCTAAAATTTGCATTGATCATACGATTGCAGAACCTGAAATTAACAAACAATTAATTATTGGCCAATAAGAAGGGAATAAACGAGATAAAAACAAAATATTTTACTCATATTCATCCTTTTTAGAAATCGCAGCCATTTTGGCTACCTTACGACGATAATCCCAACAATGAAAATTTCTTCCATCAATTTGCAAGAGCTTTTCACATAATGCCAGTTCATTTGCAAAATCTACTTGGCTCATATGTTCCAATATCCATGCACGATGGTACCATATCCCATATGTTTTACTGTCTTTCTTGAAAGAAAAATTTTAATTTTACTCAGCCACATATACTCATATTTAGTCTTTTATGCTAATAAAAAATTTTGGAAGCTTTAGAAAAATAAACAATGAAATATAATTTTATCGAATTGAAATACGATTGGTTAATTGGAGACCCAGCTATATCTATTCCTCTGTAATTTTTTTCAAGCAATTATTCCAGTAATCAGTAATTAGTGAAATAATCAATGGAGCCAAACAAACCAGAAATATTTACAATAATAGAAGAAAAATGAAAAGAACCAATATTAGCAAAAATTTTTTTTAATGAATGCCAAAAAAAATACCATTATGCAAAATTCGGTGAAAGCCAATTCAGCTGACAATAAATCATCGCATTTCTTAATTTCATCCAAAGACTCGCTAGTTTTCTAAATTTAATAATTTTTTTAAAAATTAAATACCCAATACTATGGTCCTTAAATAAAGCATTAGAAGAATAAGATTTTCATTTCTGCATTGAATAAAATCGTCGGTAATAAAATACAAAATTTTCATAAATTTTTTCTTTTTAATTGCAATCTGGCAACAATGATAATTAATTAAAGTTAATAAAAGTTTTAATAATTACAATGATAACAATGATAATTTTTCATTGACAAAATAAAATTTACCTGTTTTAAGAATTTCTCTAATGTTTCCCTCCTAATATTCCACATCGTGCTTATGTCAGGAATTTTTTCTAATATTTTTCTTGTAATTTTTAAAATTTCATCATTCAATTCACCTGAAAAAGTCCGATATTTCTAAATTAAAATTTAGAATTATTTTCAAAAAATAATTTATAAAAATCAGAAAATAATCGAAAAATTAATACAATAATCTTTCTGCAATATTAAAAGAATTATAAAAAGATAAGATAAATAAATAATTAATTTAGGTAAAGCGATATAATTAGGTGAAACTGAAAAAAAACGGTAAAATTGACCTGAATTTCGAAGTTTAAATATTAAATCTCGCGCTTTTTCATAAGCAATTCTCTTCTCTTCTAATTGTTTCTTTTTTAGCGCTTTTTCTTCATCAGTTAATTCAACTTTTGCTACGGAATGCATCGCTAAAGTTATTATTTTTTTACTGAAAAAGAAAATCATTAAAATAGAAACCTTGAAAGTTAATACGAACATAGTTCATATATCAAAAGATAATAAAAATGAGGGAAAAAAACCAAAAGTTTGAAAAATTGCCTATTATCGAACCTAAAAGAGAAATTATCTTTTCTTTTTTAAGACTCCTCACCATTATTGGTTAAACTCGCTCCACTGGCTTGTCGCATTGAACAATATGCCAGGGGGAGTCCTTTGGCGATAGAAATACAGGTGAGTCAGCAGCATCACCCGGATTTTTGTACAGGTTTTGTATTCCTGCGGGAATCGAACCTCAGCATCGGCACTACCAATTGAGTAACAGCCCATTTTATCTCCAAGTTATCATAGAGTGATAAATGAGGACAATCGCTAGAAAACTAATCTTAAAATAATCATCACAAAAGTATCTTTTTGCATTTCGCAATAGTGAAATTGAAACAATAAATTAAACAATAAATTATAATAATGAAATTTTTCAAAAATTGAAATTTTAGGAAAATTTAAAAAAAACTGATAAATTGCAAACTCATATTTTCAGGTTAAATATGAGGTTTCAGTTTAACTCTTGAGGGATTAATTTAATTAAAGATAACGAGAGCCATGCGCAGAAATCATTTATAGGCTTGGTACCATAGTGGTTGACCAAAAGTAGTTTCGAGATTGGATGCACAAAATCAGAATTATTCTATTTTCACATAAAAATGATCACAAACATGAGAAATTTTTTCAAATCTTAAAATATACTACTAAGATTTCGAAGTCCTCTTCTTCTTCTAACATCTCTTGCTGGTTAGGCTGGTTGCACTGGCTGCTATAGTAAGAGATTTCCAAGCTGATGCCATCGTCGACAGTAAAAGAAGCCATTCCTTTCAAAATACTAGATTGATAAGGTCCGAGAGAGTTCTGAATGCATAAAAGCTCCACAGGTATAGATCTGTATTTAAAATAAATCTCTTTATCCTCTGTGAGTGGTACGGGCCATCCACAATGTTGACCTTTCTGAAAATCTGACAGCTTAAAGATTCTGCGCAATTCAGTTCATCTTCTCGATATCTCTGACAGTGTTTCTGGAAAATTTGGAGCGCCGATGCTGAGGTTCGATTCCCCGCAGGAATAAACCTGAAAATCCCGGTGATGCAGGCGACCCACCTTTATTTATATCGCCAAGGGACTTCCTGGCATATTTGTCCTGTCCTGAGTGAAATGAGTCGCCTAATCAATCGGAGGAGAGAAACAAATCAGCAATTATTATCTGTAATTGAGGAACTCTTCGAGCGAAAACGGTCATATTTTTAGTAAAAATTAAATCCTTTCATTAAGATTTGATATTTACTGCATCAAATTCTCGCATATATATCATAATCATCGTGCAAGTGACTCCGGAGGGTCCGAGAACCTGTAAGGAGGGTGACGCCCCGCGGTCCGTTAACCCATGGAATCCGAACGGAGTCCGAAGACCCAAAACAAACCAAGGAACCACTCGATAGAATCCAATTAATAAGAGAAAAGCAAGCGGTCTAAAAAATCCACAAAAATCCAGAAAATTGTTTTGTTCTAAAATTTCGATCCTCAATTACCTTTGCCTTCCACTATTCTTTTATTTCTTTTGCTTGTCCTCATCTTCTGCTAAATGCAAAAAATAAAAATCCAAAAAATAAGGATAGGCCGACTTATAGCTATGCCAATTATAGCACAGAATTACTTTTTTGCAGCTCTAATTTTAAATCAATTTAAACTGCGGACAATCAAGAACGTCTGTTGATTTGAATTATTTTTTAGTGCTTTTTTTTTAAACTAACACTATTATAGTTATTAATGTTTAAAGTTTTTATTATTATTGTAAATTATTAATAATTTTTTAATATTTAGGGAAATTATATTTTAATTTTAATAAATTATATTTTTTTATTATAAATTATAAATTTATTGTCAATTTATTAAACCAAATTTATTATTAATTAATCTAATATTATTAATATTGAAATAATTATTTATTAATTTTATTATTATTAATTATTAATATTATTATCATATTTTATATATTATATATTAATATTATTAATTTTAAAATTAATTTGCAATTATTCGTGTTTATCGTTCGACAATTTTTATTCATTTTAATACTTTCAAAATTTATTGTTTTTTTCTTTATTTTTTATTTTTTTATTATTATTTTCATTTATAATTAATTATTATCGCTTTCATTATTATTTATTTTTTTCATCGCCTTTACTTTTATTGTTGTTGTTTATTTTTTCTTATTTTTATTTTTTTAAAATTTCATTGTCTATTTTGTTATTTTCTTCAAATTTAATTTTTTTTGTCTTTGGCAAGAATAAACCTGCTATTATTTCAAAAATTCGAGTGGCTGCTGGGGACCCACCTATAACTCCATCTCCAAGTGACTCTATGGTGAAAGGGTCAGATACACTTGATACGACGTCCGCGCTTATGATACTCCGAGTCCGGTGGTACATGCAATAAGTATACAATCCGGTTTAAAGCGATTCCAAGGCTGGCAAATAAAATGTGCTCGCAGGCCAGGGTAATTGCTCGAAACCTATCAAGGACAGCAGCCCTTTACACGCGCAGCGAGGTATTAGCCGTATCAGCGTGGAACGTCAGAACGCTTATGGACGTTGCAAGGCAAGCGATCACTGCCCACACCCTTTCTAAATATTGTGTGGATATCGCTTGCTTGTCGGAGGTCCTTCTTCCTAATTTCGGTCTCGAGTATTATTAATCCTGGTTCGGAGCAGAATATTGGTTATATCACTGTGGTGCTTCGAATAACTCGGGACGAAATAGCGATTGTCTGTCAAGGTACATTCCGTTTTGATTGAGTGGAAACCGGCCTACCGTATGGTCTATACTTGTTTTAATGGTAAGTTCTGCAATATCTCGGTCATCAGTGTCTATGCTTCAACCCTGTGGGGAGATGGCCTGATAAGTTCTATGTGGAACTGCTAACAAAGTCTCTACCGAAATATGACGTGATCATAATCGGGGTAGACTGGAATGCTCGCGTAGGTCATAATGCAGCTGTGATGACCTCAGCAATTGGCAAATATGGCATCGGAGACCAGTGTGCCAATGGGGAACGTCTTCTTCGTTATGCCGAAGAACTTTTTGTTACTAATACTTGCTTCCGGCATCATAGAGAACATCTAGTCAAGTGGAACTCCCCGGACAACCAATACTTCAACCAGATCGATTATATCTTAGTCAGTCGCCGTTGGAAGAGTTCCGTGCTAGATAGTCGTTCCTATCGCGGAGCTGAAATGGGCAATCTTCATGGTTCTGACCATGTTATGGTTCGAGCCAATTCAAAATCCGCATAAAATTGATAACTCGCAAAAAACACTGATTTTTCTTGAACGGCAAATGATTACTGGTCCAAACTAAAGGAATGTCTCCGAAAGTCAGCCACTTCCACACTAAGGCATACTAGTAGAAAGTATATGCTATTTGGGTGTCGGTAGCAACTGTCCAATTGTCTGAAAAAGCTGCCAAAGCATGAATGTCAGATGATCCTGGCTACTGGGTGCTTCGAAGATTTGCAACGAAAGCAGCAAGGTGGAGCAGAAATCACTATTGAGTGACATGGTCTCAAGAATGGAGGCGGCGGCTCGATTAGGCCACAATAGGAAACTATTCTGCCTTCTTCATAAAGCAGCTATGATTCGGAGAGCGAGAGAGAGAGAGAGAGTGAAATAGTAAGAGACAGCAGTGGCGTACTGATCAAAAGATCGTCTCATAAGATGGAAACAATTCTTTGAGGTCAAAGTAGTTGGTACGTTTGTAGAAGCATTCGCTTGCAATTGCGAGCCTCCAACAGAAGAAGAAATAATTTCAGTTATCCATAAGCTTAAGGCCAATAAAACTCCGGGATAAGATGGTCTTCGGGGTGAACTTTTTAAATGTGTCCATCATTCTCCATAACGCACTTTCTAAAAATATACTCTTTAGTATGGAAAAAGAAATATTACCAGATGATTGGAGCAAAGTAATTCTGCTTCCAATTCTCAAAAAATATGATAAAACATACTACGACAGTTATCGAGGAATCACCCCACTAGACGTCTCAGTAAAAATTTTTGCTACTCAACAGACTTATGGAAGCACGAGACAGCAGAATGCGCCCTAATCAAGCTGGTTTCAGACCAAGGTGCGGTTGTACTGACCAGATATTCACGTTAAGAAGGGTGTTGGAACATGGCTTCAAATATTTGCAACACACTATCACGTGTTTTATCGACTTCGCGGCTGTCTTATTCAATTGATAGAGCGGCGCTTTGGAGGGTGATGGAATGTGACGGTGACGTGATGGTTTCCAGAGAAAATCATTGGTCTCATAAAGGCATTTTATGAGTGGACGTCTGCGCAGGTCTGGCGCAGGCGCAATGTATGTGGGAAACTGACAGATTCTTTCGAAATAAGAACAGGTGTCCATCAGGGCTGCGTTCTTTCCCCCACATTATTCAACTATGACTGATAAACTGGATAATGGACACCGCTTGTCGGCATTCAAGAGTTGTTTTAATTAGTCCATTCTAATACCAAATGGACAGGCAAAAAATGATATTACAACTTGGATCGCAGCAGCTAAAAATGCTTTCTTCCTGTTGACGAAAGCTTTATATCGTCGTGAAATCACCATAAAAATGAAAATCTATATAGCCGTAATCCTTTCGATCTTATTATATGGTTCTGAGACATGGCCAATGAGAGTGAAGGATATCAAAAAGTTATCTGGCTTTGACCACTCTTATCTAAGGTACATATTACGGATCCGTCGAGCATAGCATAAGATATCACATCATCTCATCCATTTTCGTTCAGATACAACTTGCATAAATAATGTTATCACAGAGTGCCGCCTTCGCTGGTTAGGGCATTCTCCGTCGTTTACCACAGGAATTGACGCATAGTTCATTATTGCTAAATAATCGTGTGACGTCAAAAGCGAGTCAATCAAGACCTGATACGGTGAGAAAAGTTTTTGAACGTATAGATGGACCAGCAATATATGGACTTAGACGATCTAAAGAGGAATGGCTTCCATTACTAATATCAGATCGCGCTGCTTGGAAACGTCTTACCCTTGAGGCCGTGTGAGCCAGCCTAACCAGTAATGGTGAAAGCTGTTAGAAAAAGAAGAATTCATTATTTTTATATTATTTATTATTTTTATTTATTGTTTTCATAAATAATTATTAATTTTATCGTTAGTTCTATTGCTTTTATATTCTAAAAAAATAAAAAGTAAATGATGTTCCACGTTATGGCTAAAACTTAGATATGTAGCCTGAACTATGAGTTCCTGTTGATTAAAGTAAATTCTGAAATTCATGTAGTGCTAATGGTTCATTTATCTATATGCTACTATATCCTTAGGTGATTCTGTGAAAGATTATCACCACTATAGTCAAGAAACCAGAAACTTTATGTGTGGTCTGATGATTATTTATTAAAATACTATACTGTTATGATCATTACTATGTATTAAAATATTTAGATATGGAATTTTTTCGGTCATTCAACAATTTTTGCAATTTCAATTTCTTACTGGATTAAGTCGATCAGTGGTTATTGAAAATGGTAAATGAAAATGAAGACGGTTGGCTAAAGACCTCTGATAACGATAATAACAAAAGTGAAATTCCTGCCAATAATGATTTATTAAAAGAATGTGAAGAAGAAGCTGAAAAAGTTTTTAGATTTTCTGCTATTAAATATATTACGGAAAATTTCGATGAATTTGATTTATCTTCAACGTACAAGTTTGTTTTTTCCATTCTTTTTTCTTCTTTCCTGCGGTACTTTGCACTTTTGGCCTTAAGCCTAAGGCCTCAGTTTATTATTTAGTATATATCTAGGACATATTCGTAGGAACTCTGGCCTGTTGAATAGTATTACTTCCACTAAAATATTTTAGCATCGCAAGAACCATAAGCGAACCACGATGCTTGATTTTGATAGAAAGCTTTAAAAATAAAATGCAGATGCTGTTTGGAAGTACCTGCTTTTCTCTTCCCAAATTTGGAAAAATCTTTCCCTCGAGCCAAACATTTTAGAAAATAATACATAAATAGAGTCTTTGCTACTGATAGGTAGATTTCTTTAGTGGAATATTTGTGAAAAGTATTAAGTATTAAGAATTTTGCTCGAATTTTTTTTTAGAATACCTCCAATAAATGATGATATCGAAAGTTTATACAAGGATCTTTTATTTTATTCACCAATTTCATACGAAATTCGGCTGCTGCGAAATATTGAAAACGATGAAATTACTGGCTTCGAAGAAGTTTATGATAATTTTGCAGAATATGGTGATGCGAGAGTTTCGATGTCACTTAATAGGTTTGCTGATTTGGTTTCTTTATTCCTTTTCCTCTTAAACAATATGCACCATCTATAGTTTACTAATCCCATTGACTGCTAAGATCCAGTCGCCAAAGTCATTAAAAGGCGAGTTAGACCTTCCAATCAGATTTATTACCACAGCTTTCGATTCTCCAATTTTCTTCAAATCATGTGTCCCTTGTTCACTTAAATATTTTGAAATGATTCTAAATAATATTTAGATTAATTTTTTTCTAATTTTCCTCTGTGAGATTTATAAATTGAATTAAAAAATTGAAAATATATTAATTAATTATAGCTAGAAGGAAAAAATTTAAAAATCTTCGTTTTTAGATCAATGGTGGCTAAAAAAGAATTATATCTAGTTTATGCCATATTTCAGGTTACCTGATGCAAAAGCATTGTCCAGCATTATGGGTTCATCAACTAATGTGCCTTTTATGCCAGGTAGTTTGTTTCATATTGTTTTTAAAATATTGTAAGTGGTTTGGAATTTAAAATATATTTAATATTTTTAGGTGGATTCGATGAAAGTTTAGATAGCATTCTCCAGTTAAGTGATTTAACTCTTGAACCAGATTCGGATGAAAGTCAATTTATCAATTTCGAAAGTAAGGTTTTTAAGGTTTTATTTTTATTTTTTTTGACACCATTATTTCCGCTCAGCAATTGATAATTTTTTTTTTATTTTCCTTAATTTAAGTAAAGTATTTCAGAGCTTAAAAATTCCGAATTATTATCGCTAGCTCCCGGTATTTCATGTGATGTTGATCAAAGTAATTTGGAGAATGACTTATCGAATCAATCTTCTACCACTTTTAAAGCAGATAATTCAAGAAGCATTGATATAGATTTGGGCATACCAACGATTGACTTAGACAATGCAGATTTATTTGATCTTATGAATTTTTCCGATGTTGGTGATTCCATTGTTGCACAATCTTCTATTCATTCAAAAAACGACGAGTCTATAGATATTGAAACTGATGTTGTTCATAATAATTTAAAAGTGCAAGAATTGGAAACGCAAGAACTCAGTAATAGTCTAAAGGTGATTTATTATTTTTTTCAGTCATAAATTTAGATTTTTAAATATTTAAAATATTTAAAAATGCAACAGATGCGAAGGAAGAATAGGAACTAGAACTCTGAATTGATGATACGTTCCACTATTTTAGTCAAATAAAGCGATGATTTATGTAGAAAGTTTATTAATAGCAAATTTGTCAGTTATTCAGTAAAGTAATATCCTAAATCTAAATACATTTAGGATCTTGAAACAACAGAAATTGTCGAAAATACGGGAATCAAACGGATCTCTTCTAAAACGATGAAACAATTTCAAGAGAGCGAAGAAAAATTTTTATATGCCAAACTACTTGCATCTAGTGGAAACATTCCTGAATTTGAGAAATTAAAAGCAAATATGGCGAGAGAGGTTATTTGCACTTCTTCATTTATTAAATTATTATATTTCTTAAATTTTTCATTCAATTTTTGATAATAATTTTAAATATTTTATAGTATCCTTTCGATTTGGACCCTTTTCAACAGCAAGCATTGATTTGCTTGGAGCGTGGTGATTCTGTTTTCGTTGCCGCACACACTTCAGCAGGTAAAACGGTTATTGCTGAATATGCTATAGCGCTTTGTCATTTGCATAAAACGAGAGCTATTTATACTTCACCAATAAAAGCGCTTTCAAATCAGAAATTTCGTGACCTTAAATCAATTTTCGATGATGTTGGATTAATAACGGGTGATATTCAGTTGCATCCAGAAGCTTTTGCTATCGTTATGACGACTGAAGTGCTGAGGTTTTTCATTTCTATTCAGTTCCATCACTATTTCTTCTCCTCTATTTTTACTTGATTTTGCTTTTATCTTTTACTCATTAAATTTCTTTGGTTTTGTTTTTATTTAAGTTGAATCTAATATTTCCCTCCGCCAATTATAAATCCCAATCGCCAGAAAATTGTTTATTGTAGGTTAATGCTATACCATGGTTCTGAAGTGATTCGTGAATTAGAATGGGTAGTCTTCGATGAAGTTCATTATATCAATGATTCAGAAGTAAGATTTATTCTTGTTGATATTTGTGTTGTCATTTAATCGGTCATTTCGTATGTAGCAATTTTTTAATAAAATTACATGCTATTATTACTATTATTTTTAGCGAGGTCATGTCTGGGAAGAAGTTCTTATTATGTTACCTGCCCACGTTAAGATTGTAATGCTAAGTGCAACTGCTCCCAATTGCATTGAATTTGCTGATTGGGTTGGGTTCGTTGTTTTTTTTATTTTGTTGAAAAGTAAACAAATGATTTTCAACTATTATCTTTATTATCTATCTTTAGAAAAAGGTATCACAAGATTCATTTATTTATTTCGGATGATGCATAAAAAAATTCTAAAGGCAATGTTTTCTTCAAAGACTTCTTTTGGTCTTTTGGCTATTTATTCGTTGATTTTTCCTTGCAAGAATTTCTTCTAAAAAATAAATTATTGAAGTGCTTGAAAAAGTAGTAGTCGATTGGTAAGAATTATGATTATTATAAATGAGGCAGAATTTCATTTCCGGATTTATTCAACTTAAATAAATAAATAACTTAAATAACTTTTGGAACATTGATTGTATAGCGAGCTTTGCCCGGCAAATAGATTGAACCTTTTCTATTGACAAATGCTTGGCCCATAATGTTCTACAGTTTTTGATGCGTTTCATCGATTTCCTGGTACTAGTTCTTTACTGCCAGGATTTACGACGGAAAGGTGGATCAATCTGGCCAAACCATAATTTGCAGGCATCGGGAAATGTTTGAAGATTTCATTTCCGTCCAATTGCTGCGCCGAATATCATCAGCTGTCTAATCTCGTAAAGTCCATTTTCATCGTACTTTACGTTCCGATCAAAAAATAAATCGCTTTTGTTCCACAAAGGAAAATTAAAATAGATTTCAATTTCAATTTTTTTATCGTAATTCGTTTAGCACCATTTATCATGCTTAATCCAATTTTCATTTCTGCCAAAATAAAATTATTTCAGTACTTGCAAGTAGCTCTCCTGCAAGCTTTCGAATAATTTTGTGAAAATACTATTACTTGCACTACAGTTTTCAATTCATTAATAGCCATTAATAGCTGAATCCTATTCAAGGTTGAATTCACCATAGTAGAATTTTTGAAACCAGCATTTAAAATTTTCTCGGCTACGACTTCATTAATGCTTTTATTGTTGCGCTGCGATTAAATTTAAATTCAGAAGTAAATTTGGCGAAATTCCTAGTCTGGCATTTTATTTCTAAATAAATAAAAATTTTAAGTAATTAAATAAATTATAAATAAATAAGAAAGGATCGGATACAAAGTCAAAATAAAATGTAATATAATATTTAATTTTAACTCTTTAGCTCTTTAATAATTTTTTGTTAAAAAAATTTTCATTCATTTCATTTTTATTCAAAATAAGATTCTAAAAAAAAAAAAAAATAGACAGTTGCATATTGCATGACTATCTCGCTGAAGAGCTTAAAAAACCGTTAATTTCTTTGTTTTCTTATGATTATTTTTTCGATTGACTTAAATTTAGTTCGAAAATTCCAATACTTTTTTTACGTTTTTTGCTGATTTTTATTGATAATGAAGCAGTAGGATATGTTTAAGACGAATAAAGAATCGCAAAATCTATGTCATTTTAACGAGTCGTCGGCCAATACCACTTGAGCATTATTTGTATACTGGACAAGACGGAAAAACGAGGAAGGACCTTTTCATGCTCGTTGATCGCACTGGTCAATTGTTAAATAAAGGGTTCAACTTCATTGCTACTTTTTAAATTATATAAAACATTCTATGGGATTGTAAAATAGTTATCACTTTTATTTCATCCTTTATTCGTTTTTACAGATATTATAAAGCGATGGAAGTCAAGTCAAAACTCCGGAAACAAACATCTGGTCCATTAAATTTTCGTCCTAATAGTAAAAATGTTAGTTTTTGATTTTCATTCGTATTTTTATTTATTCAAGAAGAATTCTTTTGAAAAAGGGAAGAAATCCCTTATTTTATTCTATGTTTCATATTTAAATTTTTAGGATAAAAATATTTATATCAATCTTATAAGTCACCTGAATTCAGAGAATCTTTTGCCTGCGGTTATTTTCGTTTTTTCCCGCCAAAGGTTTTCCTTTTATGTAATGAAATTATTTGTTTTTTTGAAATTATTTTTATAGAAAATTTGGTTCATAATTTGTTATATTGCAAAAATTTTAGATGTGATGAATATGCCTCATTGTTGCAATCAGTTGATTTGACCACTGCGAAAGAAAAGGATGAAATTCATCATTTTTTTACACGATGCATTTCCCATCTCAAAGGTTCTAACAAAAAGTTGCCTCAGGTGTCGAAGAATCGTTTGTTGTTGAACTTTATATCTGATATAAGCATTGATTTAAGCATTTGATCAAATAGGGCTGTTAGCTATGCATTTAATTAAGAAACAAAAAATAATTTGGGGCAAAAATAAAGCAATTTATAAAAATAATATCAGTGCATTAAATTTCATATAGATTATATTTTAATCGAATTCATTTGATACATATAAAAGTTGAAAATCGCAATCCTTCGCTATATGTAATGAATATTATACTACTATCAGTTATTAATTTATTACTTTATAAGTTTTTTCAAGTAATTTTTTCTCTAGGTAATTTTTTCTCTAAAACTTAATACGATTTCATTTTAATGGATTTTAAGTTTCTTGCAAATCTCATTGTTACTATATTAATTTTGGCTGTTTTCTTCCTAATGTAACTTAATATTATTGTACAATAAGCGATATTTTACAGGTGATTAAAATGGCACATCACTGTCAACGTGGTTTTGCTGTTCATCATAGTGGTATATTGCCTATTCTTAAAGAGGTGGTCGAATTATTGTTTCAGCGTGGTCTGGTCAAGGTATTTTGCATTTATTTTATTTATTTATTTGAAGACAGCCAAGCAGTGCCATAAATTAGCAAGTGAAATGCCAATTGAAAGAAAATAAGTGATATCGATGCGACATAAAATATAAAAAAGAAATTTGACCAAAAGCTAACAATGTAAAGAGAAATAACACAAAAATAACTGAATATATCACTGACTTATGTTAATAACTAAAATTTCAAAAACTTCTTGCACAATATAGTTTTTAAACAATATCATGAATAAAATCACTTAATCATTTTTTAAAAATAGTTAAGGATGATATAAGTGATTGTCTTTTCACTTTATTCCAGTAATTAATGGCATGAATGAAAAAATCATGAGTTTGTTCAATTTAATTTAGTGAATTTATATTCATAAATGGTAACTGTGAATTTTATTGCTTATAGCATGAATTTTAATAATTTTCACCCATTAGATCATGTTGGATTCAAATTTAACATAAATTTGGAGCAATCCAATTTGACATAATCATATAGAATATTATGTATAAAGATTAAATCTTGTTTAATTAGACGAATTGAGAGTGAGTCTAAGTTATATAATTAAAGAAATTTTGTTTCAAAATTAAGTTAGCTGTTAAGATAGAGGTAATCTACAATAGAGTTCATTTATTAATTTATAATTTACCTCGATTTATCTCGATTAATTTATAATTTATCTCGATTTGCCTTATCTAAAAGAATAATAAATTATACTCAAGAAGAAATCGAAAATTTTATATATCTTGATATGACATATTTCACTTGTATTTTTAAACGATTGAAAGATAAAATTAGTATTATTGAGGATTTCTTTACTATGATTTTAAAATGGAGATCGAAATCAAGATTTTTGTCCACAATTATGCCAAAACCTAAAATATTCCATGCATGTCTGATTAATAAGAAGATGAAGAAGAGAAAAATATTTGTAGAATATTATCAGGATCACATAATGATGATGATTTAATGATGATTTAAGTTTATTCATGGCATTATAAGCATCTTATAACATTATTTCCATCCCACTGAAACAACTTCAGTGAAGTGCTGTTAAATTTATCGTCCCGGAAAATATTTGTTAAATATATTTATACTTACAATATCAATATCGGATCATATTATCATTGTGCTGCAGAATTATTTCGTATTCGTAATAATAATTCATAATAATTATTGAAGATTTTTCTTGAACATGAAATTTTTTTAAAGAGTTCCAAATAGTTCAAAAAATAACTTCACCTTTACTTCGTCATAGAATCGCTTAGCGATGAAAGTACATGTCAGAATCAGAGTCTTAGGTCTATTTAATTATGAAATAAATTTTTTCAGGTTTTGTTTTCAACAGAAACCTTTGCAATGGGAGTAAATATGCCTGCACGTACTGTGGTATTTGACAGCATTAAAAAGAACGATGGACAGCAGTGGCGGTTTCTGAATCCTGGTGAATATATACAAGTAAATGTTTTTTTATGAAATAATAGTGGATTTATAGTTCTTTTGCATTTTTTTGAGTGTTTTTTGAATTAAGATATTTTATGGATGTTTATCCTTATATATGTTAATGATAATTGTGAATTTCGTGTTAATTTGCTGGCTTTATTAAATAAAAACTTATAATAATAATAAATAATAATAACTTTATTTATACCAAATACCAAAAAAAATTTCCCCATAAAACAAACAAAAAAAGCAGCAAATACATGGACCATACGCTTGGAGTTCGTTCCTATTCTATCCTAAATTTATTTTATATCTAATAATATCTAATATCTAATCTAATAATATTTATTTTATATCTAATAATAGATGGCTGGAAGAGCAGGCCGTCGTGGTTTGGATACAACTGGTACAGTAATTGTTCTTTGCAAAGAGCCAATACTTCCAGAACTCAGTGAGCTCGATTATCTGATGCTGGTACGTTTCTTTTTTTGATTTTCGATTCTCATGTTTTCATAAATTTTCAGTTTTCTTTACGACTCAATAAATTAATTATGGGAAAATTCTCGGTTCTTGTAGGGAAAGCCAGTACAATTGAGATCGCAATTTCGTATTACATATAATATGTTGCTTAATTTACTGAGGGTCGAACATTTAAAGATTGAAGATATGTTGCATAGATCTTATATAGAGAGCGCTTCGTTGCGGCAAGCGTTGTTTAGGAGATCTCTGCTGAATGAAGTATGCCATTTTTGGTTTTTGTTTTTTTACACTTGAAATTCTATAGATAGAGCACGTTGAATTAAAATTATTATTATTTTGATTGTTTTAATTCTCGATCTAATGCATTTAATTTATTTCCTTCTGTCAACGTTTTTTCACTATATTGTCTAGTTTTCCAGTTTTAAGCCTGTGGATCCTATGCCATATCTAACATCAAAGCATTTATTGTGAACAATAAATTATGATTTAGATGCAAGAAAAATTGCGATCTTTTCCTCCAATTGATTGTACATTATGTGCTAATGGTGATAGTGAATTTGCCTCATCACTTTTTTCATTTCACAAATTTTTGCGTGAATTCGTTAAAAGACGTTCGTCTTTGTGGGTGGATCTTTCGAATCATTTAGTTACTAATAAAATACTCTCTTGTGGACGATTGATAATGGTTTCGCTACCGGATAGGAATATTTCGGCTACATTTGCAATAGTTCTAAAGGTTGTAAAATTAAATTTTTTCAATTTATCAATTTCTAAAGGAAAAAATTGTGGAGGGTAGTGGAAAATTTTCGAAGTCTTGTCTTTAAATTTAAATTGAATCGAATAGTATATATTCATTTCAAAATATTGTTTCTCATTCTACTTATTTAATTTAGGTCACAGTTGAGCAAAATGCGTGGCGCATGGAATTACTAATTCCATCCAGTGGTGATCGTGCGCTTGAAATCACTGAAAAAAAGATAATTGATGAATTCAATCGAATGTCAGATAAGGTTTTTCTAATTTCTATTGAAGTAGGATTCATCATTCATTGATTATAATAAATATAATATTATTTAGCTTTATAAAGCATAATTCTTTAGTCAGCCAACCTCAAGTCACTTTCCAAATTTTTTTTCAATAACCTACATGTGACTTTTGTGAATTACTATTTAAATTTATTATTTTATATTTGTTTTTATTAATTATTGTAATTATTTATTGTTATTTTTATTATTTATTTTTTATTATTTTTTTATTTATTGTTATTAAATTTATTACTGTTTTTAACATGATATTTATAAGATTATTTTAGGAAAAAGAATGGAAGATACTTACAGCTTTGATGGAATCTGCTGTTACAGGTAATTTGGAGTCATTTAATTGGCCACAAAATAATGACTGGTCGACATGCCGCATTATCAATTGTATACCAATCCGTTATCTTATTGCTATTAGTCAAACAACCATAAAACTTGATGTTAATGCCATAGTCGATGCATATCGAACTACAAATCAACAGAATTTTAGGTTTAGATTTTAAGAAAAGTTTATGTGAGTAAAAAGAAAAGTTTTTTATTCAATAAAATTAGTTTTGTAAAAATAGGGCAAAATTTTTTTCTTTCCATAGATATTTAAAAATTCATTGAAAATTTTTTGCTTTAAAAGTTAGAGGTTTTTTAATCGTTTGATTTAAATGTTGGATTAATGTTTTGTAATTTTTTCTCTTTTTGTTTCAAAGAATTTCTATATTTTAATAATTAGTTTTAGAACAGATATATCTGATTGTGTTCTTGCGAGAGTATTTCATCAAATGGAAAATCTTGTAAGAAAGATAACAAGCGATAAGAAATGCAAGATTATATTGCCAGGTCGTGAAATTCAAGTCGGAGAACCTACTTTATTCTCAGAAGTACTTCGGCTCAATGAACTTCGAGCTATTTTATCCACCGAAAATCGTTTCTCGTGCTGTCGTTGTTTTTCTTTCCATAAACACGTATGTATTCTTATAATTTTTTTAAATAAATAAATGTAACTGAGTGAATGCGAACTATTTATTTATTTTTATTTCAAGCTATGGATGTTGCATGAAAAAATCAAATTGGAGGAAGAAATCGAAGAGTTATCATTATCTCTTTCCAGCAGTGGTCTATCTTTGTCGCAAGATTATTTAGACAGACTAAAGGTTTTTATTAATTTAATTAATTTATTTTCTCTTTTGATGCACCCATTTATGGTTTATTTATTTCACTAAAATACGACGTTCTTGGAAAAAAAATTGATTTGAAAATAAACAGATTTTTTAGCTATAAGATTTCATTAGCCTCTGCCAACATATAATAAATTTTTATAATTTGTAATAATTTTAAATTATCCTATAGGCCTTCCAATTTTATTATAATACAAATTTAATTAACTGCAATTTTCAACTATTTTATAGGTTTTGCGACAACTTCAATATATAGACAGTTCAAATTTGATCACCATGAAAGGCCGAGTTGCTTGTGAATTACATCATCAGGTGAACCTTGCATGAATATGTTTTAATTGAAAAAAAATGAAAGTTTGTCACTTTTTTATAATTTGTAATTATAATTTTATATAATTATATTATGATTTGTTATTTTCTATAATTTGTGAGTCTATTTCATAAATAAATAAATATATATATATATTATATAAATATTTATAAATATTGATAAACATTGAATGTCGATATTTAAATATTTATATCTGGAATAATATTCAGGAAATTATTATAACGGAATTGATGTTAGATAACAAATTGCAAAATCGTACTCCTGCCGAAATTGCAGCTATATTATCTACTACCACTAGCACTCAGCAAAAGAAAATTAATGATGCAAGAGTTGATAATGAACAATCGGAAAATGCATATAATTTACCAGTATTTAATGAAGTATTTTCCTTGGTTATCAAGAATTTTTTGCAAAAATTTTCTATTTTCTATTTAAATTTTTCAAAAGAACTTGGAAAGGATGGATCTTTTTTTTTTGTACCAGGATTATTATTTTTCTCCTAATTTTTTTCTAGCTGAAAAGCGATGTAACTTTGGTCGCTGAGCGATTGGCTCATGTACAGCGAGAATGTGGCTTACGTTGTGTCGACCCAATTGAAGAACTTAACTTTGATTTGATGCATGTGGTTTACGAATGGTCAAATGGAACTGTATGTTTTTTATTTTATACATTGGCAGATACCATTCGTAATATTTGCTATCTTTTCTTTTTGCGATGGCTGCAATGATTTATTGCGATGATTTATTTTAGGATTCATTGTATTGGCCAAAAGAATGAGGCGTCTATATCTGTCGCCCTCTCTAAAAGTAAAATAAGCTACTCTTATTCCACCTTCTAGGCCTAAACATCACTGGGCTGTCTACGCATTCAAAATCTATTATAACTATTCTTTCATCCAGGTCTTTATCAGCTTCCCTGCTCGTGATGTTGTCCATCATGGGCGAAATAATATTTAATTTCTGCAATGAATATTACCTGACTAGCATTTTTTTTGGTGATATTTAGAATGTTATTGATTGAGATTTGATATGTATCTCTAAATCCTTTTTGTGCCAAATCCTATTGTTTATTGCTTATTTGATAATTATAGATTGAAATCCTTTTGAAATTTTGATAATTTTGATAATTATAGATTGAAAAGCCTTTTGAAATTTTAATCAAATGGTTTATATCGGATACGATTGGTTTAATTAGATTACAATTGTTAGATTAAAATTTTAAGAAAATTCGGCCATTCGAATCGAAAGAATTTGAAATTGAAAACTCATTTCCTGTGCAGGTCATTTAATATTAATGGGTATTTTATAAACATCAGGTACATAAGCTGAGATTAGTTTTTTACTGGTCCGCAGGCTCGCGTACTCTTTTACGTACAGCAATAAACAAGTTATAAGTTCCAGCTTTTTTCTAATTCTTCCTATCAGTAAAAAGATTGCATCTATACTTCGGGTTGATTTGCTTTTTAATACTAGTAGCGTTTAAAATCCGATAATTAATAATTTATGCCAGTCCCTCCTATCCAGACCTCTATAATAAATCAGTTTCTTTTTTTTTTCTTATGAATAATAGTAAAATTTGCAGCCATTTGCAAAGATAATGGAAATAACAGATTATCAAGAAGGTATTATTGTTCGATGCATTCAGCGCTTGGATGAAATATGTAAAGAAGTCCGTAGTGCTGCTCGTCTCGTTGGAGATCCATCGTTATTCGAAATGATGGGAGTTGTTTCACAGTCAATAAGGCGCGATATTGTTTTTGCTGCTAGTCTATATACAGTTTCCGTTTGAATTTTTACTTTTTTTATTAATGATATTTACGAAATTATTTTGTTTTAAATATAACTCAGATTTATTTGGAAATTTATTCGAAAGTTTTAAGCTAATTTTTTTTCGAGTGATAACAAGTGACAACAAAAAATTCGCTCATGATTCGCTTTTTCGCCTGTTTTGTTGTAAATATCACTTAAATTTTAAAATTTTGAAATGTATCAAATATTACCTTTTCGTTGTTTCTTTATTTATATCCTCCTAAGTTTTAATAAATAAAATGACTGAATTAAAAAATGATAATTATACCCTTTCGTGTACATAGAATGCCTTGGACCAATAAAAAATTAGAATTAATTATTATTAAATGATCGAAAATTTATATTATATTGTTTTAGTTAAAATAAAATAATAAATTAATAAATTAAATAAATAATAATATAAAAAAAATATTAATTGAATAAACAAATAGAACAAAAAAAGATTTCATTTATTTCCATTATATGCCACTTTTATTTCATTTTTAATTTGCCTTTTCACTATAATTAGGGTACTTTAGTTAGAGAGAGAAAGAAGTACGAGTGGGTCTCTGGCATGGTCACCACCACACCATTTTATTTTTAAGAGACAAGTAAAGGAATAAGAAGTCGAACTCGAATACTTGAAGCGATACATCACTTCGAAAATTTTAGCAAAAATAGCTGAAATAATATAATAATATAAATGGAAATGAGATTTGCGTCAGCTATTTAGACATTAATATTGCGCTGTAAAACTTCAAACTAGAATATCAAAGCGATTGCTTGAGGTCTGAGTGTGTAGAGAATTCTGAAGGGTCAGAGTCGATTTTGCTTTTAAGATTGGTGTGGTGGTACTTCCGATGTTGTCTTGAAAAACTTCTTTTTTTGCTTCTTCAGGGGTTGAAATACTCTAGGGGGGGGAGGAAAGAGAAGTTTTTTTCTTTAATTTTGATAAATTATCGAAATAAAACATTACTTTAAACTTTCGATGGAATAGTCGATCAATAATTTTTAAAATATAGTTTATAAATCATAAATTTTTCACAGGCAAACTTTAGTAGTGTTACTGACAGAGATAGAAATAATATAAAATTAATGGTTTATAAAGGGTTTTGTTAGACATTAAGCGATAATGTGGTGGCACATTTAAGCCTTTTTGCTTTTAACATTTTTTAATCGTTCACATTTGGCTATTTGTCCAAAATATCCTTCAGATTTGTCAAATATTATCAAATATTAAACTATATGTGTTGAAGTTTTTATTTGGTTAAATGATGAAATATTAAAGTTATCTTAGAAAAGTTATCTTAAAAGTTATCTTAGAAAAATTAAGGTAAAAGTTTAAGCTGATAAAAGTTTGTGTTTGATAGTGAATTTTAACGCTTCTAATTTCGGTTGTGATTATTTCATAGAAGAATTGAAACGACAGAAAGTTGTACTTTCGATATGCCAGGTTTCAACACTGACAAACAGCTTTGCTCTTTGTGGATCGTATTCTTTAGAAGATTTATAGGGGGGAAGTAAGGTTTTTTTATCTTTTCTCTTGTTAAATGAGTGTTCATATAATAAAACATTGTTCGCTGAACCATAGTTTTTTGATACTCACTGCTTTACCTTATATCCATCACATCCCATAGAATCCAGTATATTGTCCAAGCAACTTTCGTTAAATCTTTTCTTTTTTTGTTTTTATCTGCTTTTATTCTGTTTTTATTCTAAATTCTTTTGTTCCGAAAATTTCTATCACTTAAATCCTTTCATTTTCCTTCAATCTCCTATTGTCTTTATACTCTTGATTTAGTTATTATTATACTGTTTCAATAACTCCGAAAATCCTTTAAAGATCTTTAAAATTCGCTGTTTTCCACTCTACTAAATTTTTAAAAAGCTTTTCCTCCTCTTCATTTGCTAGCATCCCATTAAAGGCCTTTTGAGAGCTTTCCAAACCCTATGCCATCCCTGTTTCAGTCTCTCAATCTGCTGTAACTTTCGATTGCCCTTAAAACCGTCATTTATGTTTTTCTAAATAGCCCTTTTGGCATCCTTACATTCTTCATTTTCAGATATCCCGCTCGCTGTCAAAATCAAAATCCCTCAACAAGTATCCTTAAAACATTTTAATATCATTTTTATATTCGCAATTCATTCTTTTTTTGCCGATTTAGATAGTAGTAGAGAGAGGATTGTGGAAGATTCGGTTTTTTACTCAGAATAAACCCATCCTCTGTTGTGCTGCTGAGGATGCATCTATGCTTCCAAAACAGGAAAAAGATATGAAAAAGACACGATAGCGATCTCACGAATTCGTAAAAGAATTCGAAGAATTCTTAAGAACAGATTTGGATGGGCAAAGATTAAATACTGGTTTATACTAACTCTAATTTTTTTGCTGGTTTTTGATTTTAATATTTGGATGTCTATGAATATATTTAGAATATATCAAGGTATCTCTGTTATCATTCTTATCTTCGATAAGATAATTGTTCTTTCTGTCTGTAAAGCGAATCATTTTGGTATATGTATATATATATTTGGTAGAATATATAAAACTATCTGTTTTGGTTTTCTGTTTAGTTATTCTCGCTTATTCAAGTTTGTTATTGCTGCGCGCGTTATACATTTAACATTTGACTAAGAATTTTTTGTTTACGACTGGTTTGGCCCTCTTTCTGTCTGACGCCAGCAATTATGGCTTTTCAGTCATTATATTTCACTTCTTATAAACATAATTTCTATGATTTTTAGTGGGGACTATGGGTGATAGAGCTAAAAATTCGAATCGAAAAACTTATGATTGCCTTATGAATGGAGACTATAGGTTACCTAACGGAATGGTACCCTCGCAGTCGTTTTCCCTTATATATTTTTTACAGCTTACACAAACACCTTTCAGATATCCACCATATCGTCCTTTTTTTCTTTTTTTCGTTTTATGGGTGCTAGTTTGAAAAAAAACCGGTTCCGAAAAAAAATTGTATAGGATCATTTATAATGTCTTTTTATTTTTGAGAAGGAATATTGAGCAAAAGAAAAATATCGGCGTTTCACTGTAATACTATTTCATTGTGCATTACATTTATCATTGTTTATGGTTTAGAAAGACTTGAAAATTATAAATGCTATATAATTTTTATATAGCATTTATAATTTTTATAGTCGGTGACTAATTTTGTTATTTTTAAAAGTATGATTTGAAAGAGAATTATAGGAATCATATATATTTATAAATAAATATTTTATATTATATTAAATATCGAGGGCTGAAAAAGAAACTGGAAAACGTGCTGAAAGTAAAGGCCAAAGTAATTCCAGTGATAATTGGAGCACTTGGATCTATGATCCGTCAACTTGAGCAAATTCCAGAGATAACACCAAATATCTATCCAGAAGGGTGCACTAGGATACGGCTCAGAATCCTCAATCTCTCAAGTCTTTAGTAGAGGACTCGAGATTGAGGATCATCACGGCCGCCCACAGAGGACGAGAAATAAGTTTTTTTAGAATAAGTGTATTAGAAGTACTTCCAGTTTGCAAAAAAGGTTTGAAGTGGCAAGGGATATTTCTTTATGGAACAAAATTATCTATTCGCAAATTTTGTTATGACATTAAATTTTTAAATTTTTAAAAATTAACTTTTCTATTTATTTTGTTGGTTTATTAATTTACTTATTCTCATTTGCTCGCTGAATTTTAGATTTTTTTTTCAATTGATAGAATTTATAATTTGGAAAAAAAGAATGTGGCATGATTATAAAATTTAATTTAGGTGATGGGAAATATTAAAGGAATTATCGGTTATCAGCAATGTTCCATTGATCTTCTGTTCTTTGAGATCTTATTGGGAATAACTTATTTGATAACGCATTATTGAAATGATTACACTAATAATTTCTGGGAAAAAAATGGGACGAAAATGAAATGCATATTTTAGGCGTATCATTACATCTTAATATAATTAATGAGATATAAATAATTTTTTCCATTTTCATTGATTCTTTTTTGAAAAGAAGTCTTTTAATGTTTGACATTTCGACGAATGCTTATCGTAATTATTCATTATAATCAATTTATTTTTTTAGCTCGGTTTTAGCAATCATGACATGCAGTTTGGCGCTGAAGAGGCCCCTTGAGTTTAACGATCATATAAGAGGTGATAGCCCGAAGGAGATTAAACGTGCTCGGACAGCATTTGGCTATTGCTCACCATTTCCAACGCCTCAGGCAGAATTGATTGCTCGTATGCCTTCATCGAAGTCTAATAATGTTTCTTTGGCCAATGTGCACTCACAACTGGCGACTGAAGCTTTGCCATTTGTAAATAATCGCTTTACGATTGATGAATTCGTTTCATATATGAAGTCGGGTATAACAAAAGATTTGCCTAATGAATTTAAGAATGTAATTTCTAAACGGCCTGTTCAAGAAGAAGTGCCTAAAATTGAGTCAAATGGAGTGCCATATGAATCCTTAAAAGTAAATTTCCGCTTTTTTTTTACAGTTTTTTTAATTTGAGATCGTTGATTAGCCTGTTTTAATCTGGTCACCTATTCCATTTTTTATAAATATTTTATATTTATTTTCTTAATGATAAGAATTTATAGATTTAGTGCAGTAATAGATTATTTGCTAAATATTTTCTTCATTATGCGTCATCAAATTGTTTCTAAAAAATATTAAAAAAATAAAATATAATTTAAGCAATTCGAATAATTTTTATTTTTTAACATCGATGCAATGCATATTGAAGCTTTATCGTTTGATTTTTAATTGAGGTAAATTATTTCAGAGTCAAGAAGAATATTTAATAAATAAAACGGCGGTGAATTCGCATATATATCATTCCAATTTTGACAAATCATTTTTCGTGAGTATTTGCTCATTTATTTGAAAGTTTTTTGCTAGTTTTTTTTCCTATGAATTTTCGTCCCAGGTCATATTGGCTCAGCAAAGAATGTTCTGAAAATTTTAGGGAAATCTAATTTGCATTAATCTTCTCTTGATTTTTCTTAGATTCTGTTTCGTAAATTATTCCGAGAATTTTTTCAAGATTTCATTAATTGTTTATTTTTCATTTTTTAATAAGATTTGATCTCATATTAATTTTAGCCGAATTGTGCAAATAATAATTCTTCGTTTTGCGATGTTTCGGAAAAAATAAGCTTGACTGAAGGGCAATTGGAGTCCTATTTGCGCGCCGAGGTGAATTTTTTTGCATTTTTTTATTTTGTATTATAATATTACACTATTTTGATGTTTTATAATGCATGAAATATTTCGAAATATTTCTTACCTTTATAATTTATCGAATTTTGAAGGTTCGCTATCTAAGACGTCGTCATCTTATTGCCCGTAGGCTGCGAAATTATGATCCTTTAGAAAATTTCGAAAATACTTTGGGAAAATTGGAAAAAAGTGTCGAGATGCAAAATAAAATGATAGGAAACCATAATCCACAAAATGTTTACCGCTCACCAAATTCTCCTACTGGCAGTGTAATATGTTTTTATTTTTATATTTATTAGTTGAATTAGTCACGGTTTTTTTGTTACAGTTGTTTTATTAGATATACTTGAACAAAATTTTATTGAGCATTTAGGCGTTTTCAGTAGCCAACAAAGAATTAAATGAAAATAAGTATTTTTTATTTTATAGACTAGCAGTGATTCTGACGGCGAGAGCTTTGCACTTGCTGGAAGAAATATCAAAGCCAAACAACTTTCGCAAGAAATGAAGGAAAAGCCACAGTTCAGTATCAAAGAGGTTATTATTATTTAAAATTAAGAGAAAAAGTCAGGATTTTTGCTAAAATTGAAAGTGTTAGTTGGATTTCCTATTAGCTTATAAATTTGGAGCAAGGGGTTTTGATATTAATTGATTATATTATTACGTTATATTATAAAATTATTATGATTCTCCTATGTAACCATTGTTTTTCTTTTTTTTTATTGATTTTTTTAAAAAATCTTAACGATGATTTTATTTTAAAATTTTCTAAGCTTTTGAAATGTTTACCTAAGTTCTTATTTATTTCAAGGTAAGAATGATTTGCGAGCGTTTACTCAAGCAGCAAGAAGCAAAACTTCGTTATGAATATGAAACAGTTATTGCCGATCGTTTACAAAGTATGTTTTTCAGATTTTCTCTTGAATCTTTTGAAAAATTCGTTCTATTTATTTGTTAAAAAAGAGGAATTTTGAATCATTGAATCATTTTGAATTATTGAAAGGAAACTTATGAAAATTTCGAGTATTATAATTATAACTTTATGAAATTTCAGTGAAACATGATGAATATGTAGAAATGGCAGAGAAAGAATTAGTAAGACAGCGTGAAACAAGTGCAGAGAATCTTTCATATCTTTCGTAATTAATATTGACATTTCTTGGGATAGAAATAATGGTGCTTGTGCTACTGCTTATCGCTATCCCTAAACGACGTATTCGTATTCGCCATTACTCTTTTTTTCTCCTTTTTGTAGATATTGAAATTTCTTTTGTAATCGCTTAAACAACTGATATGATATGACTCCTTCTACGGGTTCTACGAACCTCTTATTTCTTCCATTAATTTGAAATTTATCATCATTCATTGAATATAACGTAAATCATATCAAATCTATATTCCGAAAATTTTGATAATATTTTGGAACAAATTTTTCATATTATTGTTTTTAAATGATGAGCTTTTGAACATTTTTTTAAAGAATTGTTCTCGATTTGATCGCTAGTAAAAAACATTGATTCTAGCTTAAAATTAATTTCCTAGCTTTTTTTATTTCCAATATTTTTTGTTTTGCATAGAGTCTTGTGCTGGCTTAATTCAGCATGATCAAATTGCTCATATTTAATTTGTTAATCTTTTGAATTGTTAACATATATGGAAATAGATCCGTCCTATTTTTATACCCTATTTAATATACTATAGGCTATTATTAATTTGTTTGGCTTCACTTCACTGCTTGAATAAGGCCTTCTCGTCTGAGAAGTGGATCCTCAGCAGCATTTAGATATGTCCGTTTTGATGATAGATTTGCTTTCATCAAAGGGCAGCAATCAGCCCAGTGATGCGCATTATTGACCTAAAAAACATGCGGTTCTCTTGCCTTTTATTTGATTAAATGGTCAAATCTACATAATTTCTCAGTTGGAAATCCTGTGGTTAATTAATATTTCATTTGTGAAGTTTGTAATTTTTCTGAATGATACTGAACTATTTTTTTCGTGTGAAGCATTTTTTTATGGAATTTTTTTCTTTCTTTCTTTTATGTAATCACTTGAAGCTATTAAAGTCATTCTATTATTCTTAATTAGTGAAAGAGAGACCATGATTGAAGGGAAATGTACCATTTCCTGTTCGATTAACCATGGTGATGAAATCCTTTCAATGCAGATAATGGGTCCACAGCAGTCACTCCGGTTAGTACTATCGAATAGATAAATGTGAAGTTCCTAGAAAATTTATAAGTAATGATTCTATGGTAGCATCAATTACTAATTAAAAATTTGCATATTATCGATTGTTTTATGAATTTTTATTTAAAATATTTTAAAATATTTAAAAATTCGCGCATCGAAACATCGATCTGAAGGTGATATTTCTTCATTTATTTTGTTCAATTTGTTAGTGTGAATTTAGTGTAAAATCTGTCTGATGATCTGTCTATTTGCGCGGTCGAGGTTGTTTCTTGACATAAATAAATTTTCGTTTTGGTGGTTCTGGTGTCTCTTCGGTGTAGCCTGTAATTGGAGAAGCATGAGTGGTACTACTATCTGTGGTGTATTTTTCATCTTCTTTATGTATATTTTCAATTTCATTGTCAATTTCATATTTCTTTGTGTTGGCTGAAATTATTTGGTTGATTAGACTAGGTCGAGTAGTTCGTTCTTGATTCTGGTTCTTCAGCAAAAGCATTTCGGATTTAGATTTGTCGCGTTTTCCCAGATCTGTAAGATATTTCACTTCCACTTACATATAAAAATTAGAGCCTAAAATGTTTTGCAATCCTGAATGGTTTGAGTAAAATGAAAGAAAAAGCGATATTGAACGGTACAATTCTTTCGGGACCTGAATTTTGTGGCTTTTTACAATGGCACTTGGAGGTTGAATTTTATATGAGGATTTCCATATTCATTTTTGAAATTTAACACTTTAACACTTTTAAAAAGTAGAATTCACCTTTATGCAAATTCGAAGTGTGGTTATTGTGCGGTTTAAACCTTTCGTTATCCTCAAGAACAGGATCATCGTACTTAAATTCATTTCCAAATACTTTGAATTCCTGCAAGATTATTTTATTTCGACAAGTATTCAAGATTGATAAAAGACATCCCTAGAAATACTATATATTTATATATATCAGTGATGGTACTCTTCAATACTTTCCAATGAGCATTACCTTTCATTTGGTCGGGTGTGCTCACTATAAGGATGGAATCCTGAATCCTTTTTTTCGAATGGTGGTTGAGAAATATGGGTGAGTCCACAAGCCATCACAGAATTTCATTTTAAATGAAAATGCTGGTATTATCATTTATCATTTGCTTATGTAAATGATAAAATTAATGGAATTGTTAATTAAGCCAGAATAGGCCAGCAGATATTTGTACTGCATTGAGGAGTCTTTGCCCAAGAATTCTCTTTCTGGCGAGATACGTTCCGGCAAGCGTGTCAATCATGGATTTTATTTTCGAGCCCATAATATTTAGCAAATTTCTATTTATAAATTAATTAAAATATTATTTGACCATTGTTTTTGTTTCTTTAGTTGGTTCTGTTAGTTTTTCATAGTTTTCCACGGATGGCCTTAATGAGGTTTTTTCTGTCGTTTTAGAATTTATTTCATTTTCCTGTTTATCACCGCCATTCTGAAATTGTTATTGACATATGATAATCTATTATGCGCAAAGAAAATTGCTAAGATAAGAAGATAAGTGGAGTATGGAAGTGTCGAAAATAACCTTTGTTTGTATTTTTATCATCTCTAATTCATTAGGGCAAGGGCAAAATAAGGCATCAGCTCCAGGTTCTCCTGGTGGCCCTCTTTCACCACGTGCTCCAATGTTACCAGGTAAGCCATCCAATCCACTTATTCCTGCCTTTCCATCTGGTCCCGGAGGTCCGTAAATATAATTCCTTTTTCCTGATATACAGTGAATGAACGACGTACGATGATTGAATTGGTTGGTTTATATCACAAAATATAAATAGCGTAAGAAAATTCTTAGTAAAAAATAATGGGTTGAATAAGGGGGAAACAAAAATAACCTCTTTGCCCTTGCGGTCCGGCTCTTCCTATAGGCCCTGGAAGTCCTTTTGGTCCGACAGCCCCAACTCCTCCAGTTGCTGGTCTTCCATCCGTTCCTTTTGCTCCTGGTCGTCCTGATGTGCCATTGTAACCCATGGGTCCTTCCAAACCGATTGGTCCTTTATGCAGTGATTTTTTCCAAGCAAAGGATTACTGATTTAATTAGTATAATTTCACGATGAAATTTTTAATATATAAATATTGAATATATCGAAAATTTTTAATACATAAAAATTGAATATATTGAAAATTAAATATCGATTAACCATCAAGCCCATCTATGCCTGGTAATCCTGGCTGGCCTTTATCTCCTTTTGGTCCAGTTTCTCCTTGATTGCCCGGAGGTCCTTGAGGTCCCATAGGTCCTTGTGGACAAATCACACATTTCTCCTCAATTTCAGCCATCATATCTCTAGCATCTCTACCTGGTAATCCATCTGGGCCATCGTCCCCGGGAGGTCCGTCTTCACCATCATCACCTGTATTTTTTTATTTTTATTCTAGAAATACTAATTTTCAAATTTTTTAAATCATTATCAGAGTTTAAAATTGCTGATCACTAATGGTTGCTTATCGCGTCGAATCACTCATAAAAAAACGTGTTTTCATTTATGGTCTCCATTCTTTTTTCGCCAGTAATTTTAATATTTTTATTGAAGCTGCAAACTATGGTGTTTTAAAAATATCTTAGTTCAACCTTGAGGTCCAGGTGGTCCTTGTTCATAAGGCATACAAAGTTCAGCATTGCGCTTGCTTCTAAGTGATTTCTTTCGTAAATGAGAAAGATGAAAATCCGCTTTTGCAAATGTTATCTTCAAATTTTAATGAAAATTTCATAAATTTTCAATCATGAATAATATTTATATATATATTTATATATAATATATATATTTATGAATAAGGAGAATGGTTTATTGTTGTTTTTTTTCTTCAATTAGCCAATTTTTATTTATTTTATTACTTAATATTTTTGTAATTTTGTAAAATTCACAATATTATAACAACGGAAGATGCATGAATAATGGCTTATAATGGCTTGTTGAGATTGTGAAGATTCGTTTGACAAGTACGGTTGATGCTCTCAACTTACTCTGTACTTCGAGCGTCAAGTCCTCAACGTCAAGTCAAGTTCCTCACTCCTCTCTAATGGAAATTTTTAACCGTATAAATTAGCCGAAAGAGTGGAGCGAGCCTAATTGAGCACTTTAAAAGTAATAAATTTTTACATAAAATTTCACATACTTTAAAATTTTCCACTCGTTTTTGTATATTTTGTCGACTCGAATCATTTTGTATAATAAATATTGGAAAGAAAATAAGCTGAATGATAACTGTCATAGCTGATAATGAAATTGTTGCACCAGCTATTAGTTGATAAAACATTTTTCTCTGAAATTTGAATTATGGAGTATCTGGTTGGGGAGAGTTCTAAAATTATGGAGTATCTTGCTGGAAGAGTCCTTAAATTATGGAATATCTGGCTGGGGAAAGTCCTTAAATTATGGAATATCTGGCTGGGGAGAGTTCTAAAATTATAGAGTATCTGGCTGGGGAGAATTCTAAAATTGTGGAGTATCTTGCTGCGAGAGTCCTTAAATTATGGAGTATGTGGCTGGGGAGATCCTTAAATTATTATTATGATCAAAGAGAATTTCATAAAAAATAGTAAAACCAAAGTTTTTTAAAAAAAAATTTGCCAGTGGATTATAATTTTTTTTAAAGCCAAGCAAAATAAGTGGTTAATGCTTACCATTTCTCGTTGAAGAGTTCCTCTCTAGGATAACTGTTGGAAATTAAGGTTGGAAATTTTTATTAAGGATTGATTTTATTAGTACCACAGAAATTTTACAATGATAGGATGGCTTATTCCTGCCGAAAATATAATCCGAGCTCAGCTCTTTCTTTCGCGTCTCTCAACACAACAATCTGAATTAAACTATCAACTCCGTTATTTTAAGTCCAATTGGCAAAATATTATCAGGATTGTATTATCAGAATTATAAAATTGATAGAAAATGTGATAATGAATAGAATCTGTGAGCTAAATTCATTATAATTAAAGAGTAATCTCGGTGAAATGATTAAAAAATAGGTGAAATAAAATCAAGTGACCTAATTTTTTATTGTAAAAATAAAAAGCATCGAGAGACGCTTCATAAACGGAGTTGACCTAAAAATTATTTGAATAACTTGAAGAAATTTTTCTTTTTTTTTTCAAAAATAACTTATCTTCTAAATTTTTTATTCATGTTTTTATATTATTCATGCGTTTCTCTTTTTGAATTATAACAAGAATACTTTATATTCAAAATTCATTGTCAGCGATGGCATGCGATCGAACAGCTTGGAAACGTCTTACTCTTATAGCCAACGAAGCTAACCTAACCACTAGTGATAAGAACTGTTAGAAGAAGAATAAAAAGAACCGAATTTATTTTAGTATTATTACTATTACATTACATTTACATTAATTTCAAGCAGAGAAATATAAAAGTATTTTAATTAGATTTTTGAATATTATTAGATCTTTATAGAACAAAATATATACATATTTATATATATATATATTTATATATATATATAATTTGAAGTATATTATTTATATTATAGTATTTGTAGTACATTATAGTATATATTCATTGGAATGAACAATGGGGATAGAATGGCTCATTGGCTCGTGGTTATTGCTCAGTTCGAAGAGCCAATACTAAGGTTCTATTCCCCGCAGGAGTGAATCCATCCAAAAATACGGGTGAGTCCTGTATTTCTCTCGCCAAGGGGCTCCCTGGCATATTTGCCCAATGCGACAAGCCAGCGGAGTGAGTTTAACCAGTAGTGGTGAGGATTTTTAAAAATATATATAAACCTCTTGAAAAATAAAAGTATTAAATCCAACATGCATTTTTTCTCAATTTCTTTCAAAGTTAAAAATAAAATATCGGTGAAATCGGATTGATTTCATTGTGCATTGTGTAATATATTGGTCCTTCGCTTGAAATACTTAATCTTTTCCTTTTTCTTCTAACAGCTCTCACCATTGCTGGTTAGGCTGGCTCCGCTGGCTTTTGCATTACATGGGCAAGACGTTTCCAAGTCGCGTGATCTGATGCCATCTGATAACAATAGAAACCACTCTTTTTCCCATCGTCTAGGTCCGTATATTGCTGATCCACCTATACATTCAGAATTTTTCCTGATCGTGTCAGTTTCTGATCGTCTTGATTGGCTTTTGATGTTTCTTAGATAGTGGTCAAAGGCTTCTTAATATCCTCCACTCTCAATGGCCAGGTCTCGCAGCCATATAGCAAGATCCAGAGAACTATGACTGCGCACACTTTCGTTTTTGTAGTGATTTCGTGACAAGTCCACAAAGACTTCATCAACCGGAAGAGAGCACTTTTAACTACCACTAGGAAATGCTTTTTCCTAGTTGAGGATAGATTATCTGTGAAGAAGTCTTATCCGAATAATCTGTGAAGCTAATATACTCGTGAAACTACAGTTAGAGCAGAAACTGACCGCATTTTGCGATGGCCATGGCTGCTGAATTTTCTCCAGTATGAGGAATGCTATCCCTGGATCTTTTCCCGATTTTACCTTTCGCGTTTAATTTAATTTTGGGTCTTTATTTTTCGCTTTTTTATGGGGATTTTTTTAGTCCTTGTTGTCCACTTTGGTGAAGGTTAGAAATAGTCTGCGTCAAAATAAACATTTTTCTATTTAATTCAAAGAAATGCAACTTTACTATTTTTAGATTCGCATAGGGTTAAAGATCTGATTTAAGGTCAAATTAAATAATTTAATCATATCTTATTTGTCAAAGTCCAAAGGTGATAAGTATACGAATAAATAATAGAATAAATGTAATAGTAATGATAATAGTGTTATCAGCGATTTATCATGATAATTACGTGGGTTACAGAATCGTAAAGAAATTATATAATTCCATTTATTTAATTTTTTGAAGCGTCAATAATAGAGTTCTGCTTTCGGTGGGAAAGAAAATTCAGATAGTATCGATAAGTGACAACTTTTTGCAAAATTTATCTGATCCGACATTAAGGGAAGCCGGCACAACCAGAAATGGAATGGTGGCTAGATTCTAGATTTTAGTAGCTCATATCTTGCTGGTTTGGCTTGCCCGACTGTCAGCCTGAAAAGAAACGTTATCCACTACCGAAGCCCGTATATTACTGAGCCGTCTATGCTTTCAAAATTCCCTCTGATTGTATTAGTGCAGTTGGAAACCCTGCTCCATTTCCTTCATCGTATTTCCTCTTCTCATGCCATTGAATATGGCTTTTGCAGGTATCTTACAGATACTGGGCAGTATGTGAAGAGTTTTAATGTTTCGCGTAGTTACGGCCAAGTCTTCTTCACGTGCACAGATATCCGGCCGAGATTTGCCCCATTTCTTTGTATGATAAAGCAATTTGCTCAGCTCGAGAAATTTTTTATCATGTTTGAACCTAACTCGCAACCACCGTCGCTTTATCACCGTCGGAAGAATACGCGAATGCCTTTTGCGATTTGCTTGTTCACCATAGGGTCACTTGGAGATAATGGAACAGATATCTCATCCTCTGCAACCACCCTAATTTAATGAAAAATTCACTCTCGTCCAGACAAGCAAAGAGATCATTTAGCAATTATAATAATTATGAAATTATGAAAATATACGAAATAGAAAATAAAGACGAAGAAAGAAAAAAAGGAAAGAAAGAAATTAAAGAAATTTTATGAAAGAAATTTGTTTTTAACGTTAATTTATTTTTTCAGGTTATGTTATATTGTAAAGAAAAAAAAAGTGAATATAGAATTTAAATAATGGAAAGATGTAAAGCAAAGCGTATTGTCAAACCGATTGTTTATGGAAATACAGCTTCACTTCTGTTAAAAAAGCGTGAAGAAGATAATCATACGCATGAATGGACGGTATTTGTTAAGCCATATTATGTGGAGGATTTGTCAAAATTTATTCGTAAGGTGCAGTTCAAGCTACATGAGTCGTATTCGAATCCATCCAGAAGTAATTTTTTTCTCTTTTTAAGAGAATGAGGCGTCGGCTATCTGCACTGATTGCTAGGGTTCCTTTTGGTACTGATTTTAGCTGCTACTTTTGATGATAAGTTTACTCGTTTCGAAGTTCAACAAATCACTAGTCTCTTCACAAATTTGTTATAGTACTTTGAGCTTAATGGTATTCTAATTTTTGATTTTGCTTTATCGCGCCAGTCTTAAACTGTTTTAGTCGTCGAGAGGCCACCTTTCGAAATCACTGAAACTGGTTGGGGTGAATTTGAAGTTCAGATACGAATTTTTTTTGTGGATGTCAATGAAAAACCTGTAAGTTAGTCGGTTTTTTTTGCACTGCAAATTTAAATGTTTCCCCTTCTGTTGTTACATCAAGACTTCGTACTATTTATTTAAATGTCAATAAAGGTGAGAAAATTGATATTATTCGGCATATATCAATATAAGAGAATCATGATCATAATTATAGATTTATGTCATAAAATTTTTAATACTGGCGCTTAATTTGAGATTAAAAAAATGAAATCTTTATATTATATTATAATTTTATATTATTCGCCAATTTTTTCACTTAGAAATCTAAAATTTTTTTATATAGAGAATTAATTGATTATAAATCATTTCAGCTCACAGCATTCCACTATTTACGATTATTTCAACCACAGGTTACATTAACAAACGGTAAAACAATAGTGGCCGCCGAATATTATGATGAAATAGTTAGTTTCTTCATTATTAATTCTTATATCCTTACTGCAACAATTTTCGAAATTTCAAACAATTTCTATTTTTAAAGAAAAGATTTCTTTAATTAAAATTTTTTAAAAATATTTTCTCAAAATTTACAATTTTTAGAATCCAATTTTTTTAAAAGATTTGATTTGGTTTTTGTTTTAAAAATTTAATTTAAAAAACATTTAAGATATTTCAAGAGCCCACAGTTTTTATGTATAAAGCACTGACAAGTGTCGAAGGACGAAAATATGATCAGAAACGTTTTCATACTGATTGTATGTTATTATTTTAATTTATAATTTTCATCAGTATGACTTAACGGTTTCACTATTTTTTCTTGTGAATTTGAGAAGATTCAAAAGTTTATTCAGTGATTATTCAGTGGTTCGAATTTGATCTGGAGTGTATTTTCTGCACACTTTATTACTAGTGCTTTATTATTCTCTCTTATTTATGACTGATCATTTATTTTGTAGATGCTTTTAATTTTCAGTTATACATGTGCGAAAGCGAACTCTAGATATGATTAATAATGCACGAGCTGAAATTGGTAAAGAAGTTGATGATCTTAGAGATTCATTGCGTGCAGCTCATAATCTTATTGAAAAATATCGTAAAGAAGTCGAAAATTTAGAAACTATGGTTAACAATTCCGATTCCAATCAGTTTTCGCTTGGCAATGGGCAGGATACCGATACTAATGGTACCAATGACTAATCTAGGTTGACCTCATTTCTTTATTGTCATAATCTGATAAACTTTTAATACAAATTACGAATGATACTCTAAATGTGGCATTGCAAATATTTTGTAAATAAGTGAGTCCTCTATTAGCCTTTTATCATGGTGTGTATTTTTTTTTTTACATGTCTGGCGTGCTCATTTTCTGAATACCATTTGTTTACTTTGTTAAATCAAATTATAAAATATTGTTAAAAAATAGGAACAAATTTATTATTTTTAGTAATAGTGAGTCAGATTTTTTTAAAGGGATGAATTTTTCAAAATTTTCTGTTTTATGTGAGAATCGAAAAGCTCTATAAGATATAAAATATATAAAGTGTTCATTATTATTAATTAGTTATTGACGTTAGAGGTGCATATTTCTTACTACGCCTGATGACAAATAACATGGGTATCGTTCGCGTCCGCTACTGTAGTAAAAGGAATTTGATTAATCTCTGGAGAATCGCTTGGACCACTAGTAAGTGACTCTGTGAAAGAATCTCATCCTATTAGTTAATGATGCGTATTAAGAAGTCCATTTTCCAACCCTCCATTTAGTTCCATTGTTTGATGTCTTGTGAAATTTTTTCAGAAATTTTGATGGTGATGAGCCATTATATTTCACATTTTTTAAATCTTCACTGTCAATACTCTTAGTATAAGTATTCCACCTGGAATAATTTAATATTTCTATATAAATTAATTAATTATAAATTAATTTCTATAATTAAATCGTTCATTCCGATGAACATAGAATGAAATTCGAAGGAACAATATGAGCGACTAGTATGGTCCCTGCGCAAAGATGAAATAAGTGCGTGAAGCTTTCCAGATTCTTTTTTTAGGTGTATCGGTGGTTCGGTGGCAAGTTAATTGTCACCGAGAATTGAACCTTGGGTTTAGATCCGCCGACGCACCACTCTTCGTCGGGCATCAGTGTTGTCTAATATAACAAAGGAAAAACTAAAGAGAATAGAATGACTCATTTGGTGTTGCTTAATTGGGAGTGCTGATGTTGATGTTCAACTGAAGTGAATGCCTTGAAATTTATAATTGTTTCAAAAAAAGGTCAAGTTTGCTTAAAAGATATAATTTAAGTTCCTTTTTTCTAATGAAAAATTTTAACTTTGAATAATTTTCTCAAATTCTAACTTTGTCTACCAGATAGACTTCATTTCTCTTCTCTTCTTTTTCAGCTCGTCATTCCAGTTTACTAATTGCGTGTATGAATAAATAGGAGTGAGAAAAGATACTTATAACTTGAGAACTTGAGAAATTAAATCCTTATGGAAGAAATTGGCAAAGAAAGCTAAGTTTATTCAAATGGCAATTTATGTTTGATAAACATTAATCAATCCATCAATTTATTACAAAATTTAGCGATTTTCCTTGGCGAATATGGTCATGAATTTAAAATACTATTATAAAATTATTTGGCGATAGCTCTCGGTTTTTATTTTTTCGGAAATTTTTCATTAATATACTTCCTTGAAAATGTTTTTTAATTGCCTAACTTTATCTAACTTTTTAATTACCTAATTTTTTTGACCAATTTTGAGCGGTCAGAAATCAGCAAACTTTTAAAATATTTATTTTTTTGGAGTTTTTTAAAATATATTTTCGCTGCAATATTTTATATCTTTAATTTTATTTATAATTTATTTTCTGACCAATTTGAACCAATTTTAAAATATTTTTTAAAATATTTTAAGTTACAGTTTTAAATATTTTGAAATAAAGGAGAAAATCCGCATCCTCCAACCATAATATCCCCATCCCTTTCATCTGTCGATTCGTCAGGAGATGTGTCTTCTTTTCATACTTTTGTTGAAACGATAATATTTGCTTGTCTTATTAGTCTTCTGGTCTGGCTTCTTTCTTTTAATATTTCCTAAATGGGAATAGAAAATTTCCAATCTCTTTTGGTGATTGCATTCTATAGTGAGTAAATTTTTTTTTGAAATTTTGTTGAGCTGAAGTTGTTCTAAGAGTTATGAGTAAATTTTTTTTTGAAATTTTGCTGAGCTGAAGTTGTTCTAAGAGTTAATTACATGTCGCATTGAAATTTTATTTTGCTGAATCCATTATTTAGGTCAGTTTAAAAGGATTTGATTAATTTAATTGGAATTATTGTTGATTAATTGATCGGTCGCATCATCTGCTTTGCACTATCGATTATTAGTTGTATTAGTTGATTGTATTTGTTGTTAATTAGTACCATTGTAAAATATTTAGATTTCTAAAGATTCACTTCGTCCCAATTCTCAGTGAAATAAATTCTTAAGTTTTTATGTATTTTCCATTTCCATTTTTCATCCTTAATTTTTATTTTTTCGCCTCTGGTCGGAATAAACCAGTCGCCAAGTGATGATGGGAGATATAAATTCAGGGAGGGCCATTCACAACGCGCTTGCAGTATAACGCTTTCTTCCTGACCAGAACTTAAAGGAACAAGAGTTGCAATTTATAGTCAAAAATATGCTTGGGGATGGATTTATTTCGTCGTCATTTGTGTAGGCGTTGCTCTTTCCCTTTCTCTACCGTTTCGCCGTTCGGACCAACCTTTAAGAATATATTTATAATATATTCTTTTATAATATATATTTGTAATATATTTACTGTTTATAACTATATTTGACTGGTTGCAGTATATTAAGTTACTCAAGCAATAAATTTCCGCATGGCAAATAGAGTACAACTTACAACTTTCAATGAAATGAGGATCTTGGACTCTTTGTTGTAGCGAAACTCAAGCTCGTCTAGCTCATCTTTGGTATGGAGCAAATTTGAAGAGATTTGTCCCATTCACGGCAAAATATATGACCAATGGATCAATAGAAATTTATTGTAGATGTGCCCGCTATTTCGGAATACTTTCTCGATCTCTAACCAAAAGGCAACTGGAAATTCTTTGTCTTGGCATAACGGAACTGGGACCAACAGGGTCCATGGCAATGCCAGCTAAGGAATTTATGTAACTGGGTATCTAGATTACATAAAAGATCCAGGCTGTATGTGTCAACAACATTCTTTCTGATATCTGTTAAATTTGGCGTTCCCCAAGGTAGTTGTATCGGGTCATTGCTTTTTTTGTTATATATAAATGATATCACCAAAGTGATACTAAATTCTACTTAATCCATTAATCTTTGATTGATCGCTGATGATTGTAAATTTATTATTCTCATGGTAGATTAGATAACCTATCTCTACTGGTGGATGACCTAAACAGAATAGCCAACTGGCTATATGACAGGCAAATTACTTTTTTCAAAAGTGTAATGATATAATCAGAAGAGTCTCATATATTTCAGATCTTGGAATAATCATTGGTTATATCAAACTAGATTGTTCAAAATATTATAGTTTCAGGCTAAATTTGAAAAATAAGAACTAATGGGCTAAAATTACTAAAACCTATGTGCAAAACTAAACTAAGGACTCTAACTTCTTTATTCGCACTATTAATTACTGGAATAAATTACCGAACGATGTAGCTTGTGTATCATTCTTGGCTGATACCATTCTTTTTAAAAAAGGATTAGATAATATCATTTGTCGCGAAATGCGATGTCTTTTCTAAAATTATTATTTCAAACCGGTGACTCCGATCCGCCAGAGAAAACTTTCATAACTTAATCGATTCTTTGTTTATTTCACTTTATAGGTCAAATAAACATAAAGGATAATTTACAGTTTTATGTTGAAAATCGTAAAATATATAATCAGGATGTAAATGCCCATCGCGATGGTTCAGGAGTAGAATGCTTACTGCGCAAGCGGCCAATTCCCGGCCGATGCACCGTGTACTGAAAAAAGGGTATATAACACTACGAAATTTTCGTTGGGAGCTCGGCGATTCCCACTTTCAATGTCTACCTATATAAAATTCTTGTTGGGAATCCGCTCCACTGCGTTTCTGTATATTTTTATATATTTTTAATAACTTTCCTGCTACGCGGGATTTTTATTTCTTAATAATATTATAAACTCTGCGGCCAGTATTCTACTTCTTATTTTTCTCGTTGCGAAGCTCAAACTTACCTCAAACTTGGATAATTAAACTATTAGTAAAGATGCAAATAAATATAAGAAAATAAAGCGAAGTAATTGCCTTACTACAAAGAAATACAAAGAAATAATACATTAAAAAAATTCAAATATAAAATCAGGAAATGCACATCGCTCACCGACTGCTCTTCCACTTGTTCTAATAGAAGCACAGAATGATCAAAAATGATCTTTTGAGAGCTTATACTTAATTTAAGATGTGCGAGAATTCAGATGGCTTGCTCAAATTTACAGCTTTTTTCGCCATTCGACTACATCGTTCTTTATAGGAGCGATCCAAGCGGTTGAGTCCCAATATTAATATTAATATTCAAGCATTCATTTTGTTAATTTATTCTTTATTCATTTTATTGGTTCTTCTTTTATTTTGCCCTTTAGTCTCTTTGATTAAATCGAAGCTTATTTTTATGACTATGTATTAATTGGTTTGTGTACCCAAGTTTGAGGTGGCAAATAAAGATTTTATTATTACGTGAGGTAATTGATATAACCTCAACTACTATCCAGTCCATGCTTCTAAAATATTAAAACGTGGCGAGCATCCGCTACAAACAATAATGTGCTATTTTTTATATGGTGCGTCAGCCTAGAATCGAACCCGATTCGCCCTCGTGATAGGGGAGCTTTCTACCGCTGACCACTGGCGCATCTATGATATTATTTAAACTCATTTATATATTGATATACATTGATATTATATATTATATTATTTAAAAAGTTCACATCATGCAGAAAGTATGCAATCTCGATTATATTTGCTTTTTCTTTTCTTATCATTAATTATTATTTGTTATTTTAACTGTTGTTATTAATACAAGCATATGGCGTTTGTCGCTCTACTTGCTGGTTTCTCATAAATAAATAATAAATAATTTCGTAATATTTCCCATTGTTTCTTTGTGCATCATTTATTTGAGCTG